ATTTCTCGAAAACTACTGCTCGGAATGGGCTGAAAATCTGCAGTTATACTTACCTAGGCTAGTAGTATAGAATCACATATGCAAGAACGGCTCAGCATTGCTTTTAGAAAAACATGAAAATTTTTGTTTTCTCAGTCTGTAGTCAAGGAAAAAGTACAGCAACTGCACATATGTATATCATATATCGAAAGTACTGACGTGTGCGAGTGGGAGGTCAGTAGAAATTATTTGGACGAAGATCTGATTTTTTTCGATTTTTTGGGCATTTGGATATCTTCAGATTTTGAGTTCGAACATTCCGTGGATCGAGCTTGGCGCAAGATTATGAACGCCATCTTGTAGAGCTTGCTTTGCTCTATCGGACAATACCCATAGAATAAGTTTATATAAGAACATCAAACAAGAAAGCAAGAGTGATGAGATGTTTGTTTTACGCATACTGGTTTCGGGGCTAAGAACTAGACCAGTATTGCGTCCTTCCTTGGCGCCCCCGGGTTTAGAACCCTTTCATCAGTAGTTCCCAAGGAAGGTAGCAAAAGGTAGCTAAAGGAAAGAAAGAAATTAGAACAATTTCATGAAATGTTGGGACGCTACATATAGGCAAAGAAGAAAGAGGTACGATTATCCTGTTTGAGTGTAGTTTATGATGCCTTAATGTTTAAATATTTCATTTCCCGCCATATGTTCTCAATTGGCCGCGGCCCACATATTCCGCACCTCATGCAACAGGGGCATATGCACTCCGGTATTTAACCCATATTTACGTAAAATGAAAGGTCTGTTATATAAACAATGGTATATGGTTTTGAAAAGATTATTGCCATCCCAACCATTCTTTTTTGATGTTAAACTAAGTTCCAATAATCTCTTTCTAAAATCTGAGTATTCGGAACAATTTCTATATATTCTCAAAACTTCCGATGTTAATGTATTAAGAAGAATGTATCTTGGTATATTTGACGTCCAGTTTGGATACCTAGTAACCTCAAAATTATAATCGTCCGTTTTGTTATAGAGACAGAATTTTATCCCTCTATCTTTAGTGGTAATTGTTAGATCCAAAAAGTTTGTCTCCGAAGTTCTAACAGTTGTAGGCTCTATTTCTAATGAAGGGTGATAAATTTCTTTCAGTTTACTGGTAAACCTGGTAACATCTGCGGAAAGGTGTAATATGTCATCTATATACCTAAAAGTATAATTAAAAATTGCAACATTTTGCCTTTCCCTCATTTGTTTTTTAATGAAGGAGTACTCCATGTATGCTAAGGTTAGATCTGCAATTTGTGGACTACATGATGCTCCTTGTGGTATTCCCTTTACTTGTTTGAATATTCCTCCAGCAAAGCATACATAACTACAGTCTAGCAATATGTCAATCATGTATAGAATATCTTCAATTTGATAATATTTACCTTGAGCTCTAGTTTCCTGTGTGTATTGTACTATATTCCTATATACTCTAACATATTTATAACCTTTCATACATAACATAATTAGATTTTTAAGACTATTTCTTACCACATTATGTGGGAGACTAGTGAAGAGGCTAGAGAAATCTGCAGAATAAATCTCCATTTTTCTACTACTTCCACAAAGGTCATTGACTACTTGCCTACTGTTTTCTATAGCCCAAAAGTATTTAGTATTAGTTCTAAGGCTAATGACTTTGCAGTAGTTATGAAAATGTCTGCGAAAGTGTGACAATATTATTTGTAAAGTATTGGCAAGGGGTTTCAAAGTACTTTTTCTTGCACCGGTTATATATCTAAATTTAATAGGGTCTTTATGCATTTTTGGAATCCCATAAATTCTTGGTATTTCTGTATATTCCTCCCTACTAATTATATTCATTTCATTCAACTTATGTTTATGTATATCTTTTACTTGTTCCTTACATAAATCTGTAAGTAAGTACGTGTGACCGTTTGTGCCCGTTTGTTGCATCTCATTTTTCAACGTCTCCACATACAATTTTTTTACAGGTAATACAAAAATTCGAACTGGCTTTGTCTATAGGTGTGATCACAAAGAATTTCTGAATGTATTTTAGGCTACTAGGACTATATTTGTCACTTTCTATCAAATCGTAATTGTCTAAATCGAATAGTTTGGGTTTTATGGATTTTATTACATGTTTCTTAATTTCTGCTTCCAAGGCTTCCCTTATCTGTATGTTTGCTTTAGTTAACTTCAGTACCTTACTAACCATTCCCTTAACTAGTTCAACAACGTTTCCCAATATATCCTTTTTCAAAATTTTCTGATGAATGCGGTACTTTGTACCCTTCTTAAGTAAATTTCTTAGTTTAATATCTTGAATTATGTCGAGATTTCCTGTGCATATATGCTTCAACTTATCATCTATAAACTGCGGAAACCTATCACAAATACATGCTGAGTTAACAATGTGCTTTACAATATTGTTATCTAATGTTTTAAGAAAACTATTATAATTACAAACTCGTACACCAAGTGGTGGATCTAGAGTATATCTTATGGCAAAACGAGCACTCTTGATAATGTTTTCGTGACTTATATGTTCAATAAGAATTCTCCTGATTGTACTACTGTTACATATTTTACCTAGTTTTAGTTTTTCCAGATTCCCTAAATACGGTAACGTAATGGTTACTAATGTTTTATCATTAGTAGGACTTTTTTGACTACTCCAAAAAGGTTTAGCTATCAATGCTAGTATTTTGTATTTGTGTTCATATTCCAGATCATGAAAAGAGGAAGTGAATGCAAAATCTATCAATCTATTTATGTCATGTTTATTCAAAGATCTAAAGTATACATAGAGTGCATGTTGATTAAGTTCATTTATTTTACTAACTATATAATTGGTTCTATCCCTACACTTTCCTATTCTTTTGGACCTTCTTTTCTTACCCTTACATCTCTTATTCCTTACAGGGCATTTGAAGAATGGATGCTCTTTCTTCTCTAGTGGATTAACTGACTCTGATATATTACCAAATCCTTTTATTTGGTCATTAAAACCAAAGGGGTAAGCGGTCATAAGATATTTTATCCACTGAAGCTCTTTTTCTCTTAAGCTATGTTTAATATCATTTTCTTCATCCGAATAATCTAATATATCAATTGTGAAATTATCTGCATTATGTCCAGTGTTTTTAAAATGATTCACCATAAATGTATTCAGGGTAAATTTATGAAAACTTCTTTTGTGTTGATTCATCCTAGCTCTTAATTTTTGTTTAGTTTCCCCAACATATTGTAAGCTACAAGTACCGCATGTGATTAGGTAAACTACATTAACCGAATCGCAGTTCGATTCAGGCGGTTTATTTGTTTTGAAAGAATAATTAGTAGTCGTACTAGTTACATAGTTTTTGAATTTTATTTTGTCACATATCTCACATTTATTTCTACTACATCTATTACCCCTGTTGTCATTGTAGTTAGGATTGTTGACTAGTCTCAGGTGGTCACCTTCATCCCCATTTTGAGACATGGACAACAGAGAACATACATTATGGTTGTTACTTTGGTTGGCGGACCTAAATCCATTGAGTCTGAGGCGGTCCCTCCAAGACTCTTATGCGGTTTCCTTATCGGAGGGTATTTCCTCCTCGGCTAGGGCAAGCCTCATCATCGCTGGGGAGCGTTACCCGTGGTGCAAACCGCATCGGATGAATGCCCAACACCACGCCAGGGTTCTCCCGAACTTGCTAATTTAATGAAAAGAAAGTTAATGGAAACAAGCACAGCGATAATTTAATATCAACTATCCTAAAGTTCAAGCAGGCTTAGTTATCAGACCACATACTAAATTTACATGCCAAAATGTAATAAGTTATATACGTTTAATTTAGTGTACTATCGTAATTCTGTGTGTATATGTATATATCTCAGTAATGAATAATTTTACTAGTATAAACCGTTAATTTATCTGGAGGTCCTTACTGCGGAAGATACTAGCAATAAATTTAGAATACTTAATGTTGAAGTTCTATCAAATCTAGATTTGAATTTATCGAATTATATGCGATGTGTAATTATGAAGGACGACAATATTAATTACTATAAGTTATCCCTAGGTAATAATGCCGTGAAGTTTAAAATTTGTACTGTCCACCAGCAGACCTTATGTCTCCTCTGACTCTTAATGTCAGAGGGGTGGACACATTTTCTGTCTGACTATTAGGGACCAAGCCACCTACCGAGACTAGTCGAATATTTAATATCAAATATTTAATATTTGATATTAAATATTTAATATTTAATATTTAATATTCAATGAATATATAGTGTGTGTATTGCCAAAAGTGTAAAATTCAAAAGTTTTTGATATTCAAAATTGAATACTTGTAATTTACTTACTGTATATGCTTAGTACTCTACATATATAGTGTGTGTATTGCCAAAAGTGTAAAATTCAAAATATTAATATTCAAAATTGAATATTTGTAATTTACTTATTGTATATACTTAGTACTCTACAATGTGTTAATGTGTTAATGTATTGAATTAAATGTCTAATATGATTATTGGCTAAATGAGTTAGTGTAACATGGACCACATATTTAGTTAGGAATCCTCAAACAGACCAAACTAGTACTGGGCTAGCAAGATAGTTATTAACTGATACTATGGTCATGTATACCACCTGAAGACCTTATGTCTCCTCTGACTCTTAATGTCGGAGGGGTGGATACATAACCAGATCAAAAGGCAGCCCACCATGTAAGTCATTGTCTTTACATAAAATCGAGACTAGATTGCAGGAATTACTCAATCCATAAATTTTATATTGTATGTATGCATAATCCCTGCAGCGCGAGGTGCCCAAAGTGGACCACAACCAACCGCGGCCCCCAGCCACCATTAGCTCAGATCATATTTTAGGCTAAATATTGGCGCCCAAATCCATTTGCCGCCTCCCTGTGGCGCGCAAAATTAGTATAAATATCAATAAGTTTCTTTCTAAGTAGTTTACTCTCTGCAACTGTTCCGGTGTAGTATTCCTATCCGCTATGTTAGGTGTAAATAGTATGGCCAACACCCTACGCAGTATTCTGGCTCCAGGGAACAACCTAAGTAGCGAGTTGTCGACTGCCCTAATATCCATTGGAACCTCTATTGACCATATGCGCACCAAACAAGATGCTTTATCAAAGGAGCTAGAATTGGTTCGTAAGCTGTCTCGTTCCAACTGGCTATTGGTGGGTATTTGTATCATTGTAGAATTAGTATTATTTAGTAATAGCAAAAATTCAGATCATCAACCTTCCATTACCATTTGGAGTTACCAAAATACAAGCAGTTCAGAATTTGTTCTCCGAATTAGGATTTTGCAAGCCGTTATTCGATGCGGATCGAGACTTGATAGCAACAGACCTCGTTTACGTAAATCGATCTGGGTTACTGGCAAACATGTCGGTAGGTCAATTATATTAAAATAAATTCAAAAATGGATAAACTTAATATTTCAGATATTCATACCCCAAAGGCATTATGACCACGTGCTAAGCGCTGCGTTTCAAAAGTCCATAATGGAACATAACAAGAAGTTGCCGAAAGGTGAGCTTATTTTAAAGGACATATGAAAGATTCTTTCAAAGTAATGGACCAGTTGGCAGAAAGTATACTATAGCCACAAATATGCAAATTAGAGTGGGAAAGTGTGAGTATAAGTTAGTAAGATTATGATCAAACGACTCACTCAATTAGCGCCCCTACATCTTGTGTAGCGATCGATGAAACGCTCGATTATTCCAAATGTATATGTGCAAGTGAGACTGAAAGTGTCATAAATCAAAAAGGAATTGTGCAATACCAAATATTACTCCTTAGAGTTATGAACTATCTATTAGTGAAAAGCAATAACAGTTATTGATTCAAATCAAAATGAATGATCAATTAGCGGCAAGCAAAGTCGGTGACCCAATATACGACATATATCGATCAATACGTGCAAGATAGCAAAATACGTCTTTGGTCAGTTGCCACATAACAATTCGGAGATGATACGTGACTTTTGAGAAGTATACGCATCTAGACGTGATTGCAAAATACGTGCATTAGCCCAATATGACAGCAAAATCATAAAATGTGATTTTCGGGTACGTAAGTGCACCAATTGTTATAGCATCACGCGCAAATGCTACAAAAACCATTACGGTGAAGGTATTTGAGGACTTTAACAGTTCAAAGGACATATTTGACTTAACTAATCGACTAAATTATCAACTACTTTTATGTAAGTGAAGTATTTGTACTTATAGAGCAGTGGGTGGCTGTTGGCCGCGTACTTACCCCGCGGGAACGCGAAGACTATGAGACTTGTTGTTCGTTGAAACGTCTCATTCTGGCTAAACTTCGCCACGAGAAATTAGGAAATCCAAAGTTACATGTTCCGTTTATAATCGTTGATAAAAGAAGCTTGAGATTGCGTATTGACAAAGAGGTAAGTGTTCAAATGCATAAAAATATATTAGTTTAATATCATATTTTCAGATGGTTCTGCTAGATGAAGCAGCCGCCAAATATGGTATTTCAACCGACTCAATTTCGGATGACCGCGCCCGCCATGCACGTCCACCCGCAATTGATAGCCGAAAAAGGCCAGGTCCTTCAGTTGCAGGACCTGGGGGCAAGCAACCCCGTAACTGAGAAGACTGTAGCTTTATTTAGCATTGTTTTTATTAGAATAAAAAGTTTGTTTGAATGATGATTGTACACTGTAGAATATATAATAACCATTAGGGTACTCTACATGTATTTACAACATGTAGATACTGGGTTGGTTCTGGGAGCGGGCAGTGCCTCACATCACCAGACCTAACCAGTACTAACAATAGAATAAGTTTATATAAGAACATCAAACAAGAAAGCAAGAGTGATGAGATGTTTGTTTTACGCATACTGGTTTCGGGGCTAAGAACTAGACCAGTATTGCGTCCTTCCTTGGCGCCCCCGGGTTTAGAACCCTTTCATCAGTAGTTCCCAAGGAAGGTAGCAAAAGGTAGCTAAAGGAAAGAAAGAAATTAGAACAATTTCATGAAATGTTGGGACGCTACATATAGGCAAAGAAGAAAGAGGTACGATTATCCTGTTTGAGTGTAGTTTATGATGCCTTAATGTTTAAATATTTCATTTCCCGCCATATGTTCTCAATTGGCCGCGGCCCACATATTCCGCACCTCATGCAACAGGGGCATATGCACTCCGGTATTTAACCATTACCCTTTGCTGGGTTGAGTCTGGTTGCTCTGTTAAAGCAAGCAAATAAAAAACGACATTATTTTCTTGACAACCTAATATCAGACCAGCGAACTTATCTATGAGAATAACATACAGCGTGGCCGGTAAGTACGGGCGATTTCTCCGAAAATTAGGACCTCTAATATGCGTATAACCTATGGACAGTCTCCAAGATATACGAAATTCGAGCAAACTGAGATCTTCTAATGACTGACTTCGAAGTCTGCTTCCGTTAAAAGGCACTGCGCCACAGTCAGTCAGTACCTTGTTTGTAGTACCGTCTTTTCCTTCGGAAAAAAAGACATTACCGCCGTTATGGCAACATCTTATTCCGCTGAATACGCTTCACAAACTCTGTGTAAGGGCCGCATGCATTGACACCCTCGCCGGGCAGGGGAACCTTCAAAGAAAGCTTCTTATCCTGAAGCTCCAGACTTCTGAATCTCACGCTGTCTCCCCATCCGTAACTATTCTACATCCTTTACTATTAACATATTAAACAGGAGCGGACTTATCTGCTAAGTCTGCTGCGGACTTATCTGATAGGTGGACTTACCTGATAGGCGGACTTGTACGGATTTTAGGGTACGTTTTTTCGAAAAAGTGGAGACTCTGTGTAGCTGTTTTGAAAGCAAACAAGGATAAATCGGACAAAAAAAACTTGTTATCACAACGCTTTTCTCGAAAAAGGATTGCTCAGATATAGCCATTGCATGGTTTATTGGATGGAAAATCGAGGCAAAAACCTTGATTTGTATAAGTCCTAATAAGACTCTGTGACATACATGTTTCTCTGAACAAAGTTTGCATGTTCTATGAATAAGCGTCAAAAAGACTCCCACATAATGTTTTCGTGCGTACGCGCGTATGCACGGGCCAAATGCGCGAAGGGTTAGTGTGAGTTTCGTCCAAAATGGCGCGATCCTCAACGTGTTAAACAGTCCCCGTACTTCGTTTCAGCTAATCAAAAGCTTACATCTGATAGGAAAGAGCGTTTGAAAAGAGAAAGTCATCTGAGAAAGCTTAGAGCGCGAGCATTGGCCGCAAATTCACCGACTCTCACGATTTCGCAGAGCCAAATATAGCGCCTGATGATCCCCGGCGGCCGACCGTATTTTCTTCAATGTAATTTTCCTCTATTCGAAGAAAGCTTCTAAAGTTGCACAAATTACCTAACCCAACAGTGCTTATGCTTAGCATGTTGCTGATAAGAACAAATGATGTATTGAAGTCATGAATCTTGCAATGAACCACAAGCCGAAACCTGGGGTTGATCAAACTCGATTTTTCAAAAACTTCGAAAATCTGAGTGTGTATGAGAGGCATGCAGGATGTCTAAGAGCGGAATGTGCCATTTTACTACCATCATTTCTTCACTTCCAAGCATGGAATAGATAGAAAGTGTATCTTTGAATGTTTAAGAGGTAAGTGGGAAATCTTAAGCTGCTTTCGGGAAGGGTTACAGCTTCACATATCGTGTGGAGCATAATTTAGGGCTTGGTATAGCTATTTTAAAGAGCTTGCTTTGCTCCATCAAATGTTACTCAGAAAGTCGAAGGGATACTTCCGGGGGGCAAATGCCGGGGGTCTGCCACTTCATTGCTCCGGAGCCCTCCCATTTCACGCGTTTTGGTGCTCCGGGCTCCTCCGAATCTGGCGCACCCCCGGAGCAGAGATTTGCGAGCACGGGGAGGGGTCCCATTCTTTCTTTTCCGCCTTCTTGTAACGTCACGGTGACGTTTCTCTTGTGGAACTTCTAGAGGCTGAGCAAAAGCGCCATCCAACATACCTATTTCTCGGGGTTCCTATATTGCATGTATGTCTTTGATTGTCATGCTTGACGTCGAACATCAACGTCAGCTGGGAGGTTAGACATACATCAAGGGGGTCACGCAGTGTTTTGTTTCGGGCAAAAGTGTTGCCGTCAAGATTGGCAGCGGCGGTGTGGCATCGGGCCGCGGCTCCTCTGGGAGCACTTCGGACACCGTCTCGTCGCTTGCTCTGCCTCCCTCTATTTTCATAACTTCCACTCTGCTTTTAGATATTCTCCATCGATTGTACTTCATCACAAGACATGAGAGCGAGTCGTGTCACTTCCATCCGAGAGATATTCAGCCCCCTCCCACTGCCATTTCACTCCTGGCACTATATTTATTCGGCTTAAAACAGCATTATCTTCCCAGTGTTCTTTGTCCTACAACAACCGTGTTAACTCCTTTCAATTACGACAAATAACAAGCATTAGGGGAGGCCCATTAGTGCAAAAAGGAATGCACATGAAAACTTTGATCCACCGTTGAATGAAGCGACCTAGAAGGAGTTCGGTGGTTCCTTTCGTTTCGCTCACCACTTTTAAATACGATGGAAATATCTAGTGAAGATAATTAGGTTGATTAATAAAATTTCTTTTGCGGCTCCTCAAATGTTGTGAATAATTTTTTGTACAATGTTTGGTACCTTTGTAAGGAGCACTTCAACTGAATATATTCTATATGAGTACAACCTGAGCATTGACTTCAATGAGAATTTGGAGATGCAGTCATGTTGAAACGTCTCTGTTCTTTAGATGATGATCTGAGTAGGTAAAATATGGTAGTAAAGGCCTCAAACTACTTTTCGCAGCACAAGAAAAGTTTTTTATGGAGATTTTGCCAAAACGAGATTATATTCTAGACAACCTAAAATCAATGCTTTTTTCCATTTGTTGATTTCAGTATTACGTAAAAGAAAACAATGGCAAAAAAGCTCCACACAACAGTGCATAAGAGGGGATAGAGTTGGGGAAAAGCGCAATTTTGTGAGAATCTGTATAAGTTGTGAATGTCGCAGGATAAAATTTATATGTTCATTGTGCAACCTAGAAAACTTTTCTTCGAGGCTCTATTGCGTCTAGGTTTTCTTCGAAAATTTCGCTGCCTTACAGTCTAATGCGAGTTATCTTGTTATGTTTATGTTTATGTTATTCTCCCTTGCTGCTCAAGTAAAAGCAAAAAGGAACTAGATGAGCCTTTCCACTTCTCGAAAGTTCGAGGTTCTCATCAAAAGCTTTGTGTGGTAGTTATGGTAATGCACTTGTTTTTTGAAATTTCTTCTTCCATCTTTCTGTGTTATCTCCAGCATAAGTGACAAGGATGTCGGTCAATGATTCCTACCGTATGCATCATATCTGATGAAGCAGCAGTAACCGAACTAGATTCTGCCAGCGTTACACGCCAACCATGATTGAGTGACTGAACTTTATCCCAGTCGAGCGAAAACTCTAGCTTCTGCGAGTACTAGCTTTTTAGAGGTCTGATATTCAACAACCGCTTCTTGACTATTATTTTTGCGCGAGCGAAACCCGAATAAACTATGCACTCTGCTTCCCATTTCTACGTTTTTCTCAAAGAGCATTTGCAATTGGAGCAGATTAATGTGCCTCTGAGGACACATCTTTTACTACGACTGTTTTACGAGGCAAAGTGTTTTATTGCTTTCTTTATGAGGGCGTTCATATTCGAAGCGCTCTACAAGAAAACATCGGAGCTTCAAGAATGCAGCAATTCGACCTAGAGAACTGCTGATCAACTTTTGCTGATCTCTGGTCATCCTTGCAATTAATTTTTGATATAAAATTTTAGTTTTCGATATTACGGTTTCCTCTTTGCGAACTTTATCAATGCCTACTTGCATATATGAAATCGTCAGTCCCATAAGTCGAAATTATTAGGTTGAACCGAAAGTTCTGTCGCACCATTTTCAAAAAATCATAACTTCTTTCGGTCACGACGATTTTGCGCAACTCAAATCTTGTCTGAAAGCGTAAAGCATGTAGTTTCCAAAAGGCTCCCTGGATAGTTTCCGACATGCTCAGGTGGCAGAGATAAAAATGAAAAAACGAGATCATCCGAAATTCGGAATTTTTAAGCAAGAATTCTAGAAATTCAGAAACTGTGCGATAAAATTCAGAAAAGCCATTGTCCTAATTTTTCTTACATTTGATCACTATCTGAGTCAAGTTTGTGCTGATCGAGCCCTTCTTTCAAAAGTTATGATTTTTTGAAAAATAGTGCCGAAAAATCAATTTCCTAAGAATTTTTAACAAATGGATTTTTTGGCATTCTTTTTCAAAAATTCATAACTTCTGAAAGAAGAGCTCGATTAGCACAAACTTGACTCAGATAATAATCAAATGTAAGAAAAATTAGGACAATGGCTTTTCTGAATTTTATCGCACTGTTTCTGAATTTCTAGAATTCTTGCCTAAAAATTCCGAATTTCGGATAATCTCGTTCTTTCATTTTTATCTCTGCCACCTGAGCATGTCGGAAACTTCCCAGGGAGATTTTGGAAACTACATGCGTTACGCTTTTAGGCAAAATGCGAATTGCGCAAAAAGGTCGTGATCGGAAGAAGTTATGATTTTTTGAAAATGGTGCGACAGAACTTTCGGTTCAACCTAATATAAACATTTTCAGCTGTTTTGCAGTACTTCGCTATTTTCGTGCCACCTACAGCATGACAAATTCGGAAGTTCAAACACTCACAACTTTTTTCGAAGATTAGTTCAATAGAAAAGGAAGACAGATCCGCAATCCCGTTTGAAGCTCTACAAAATGATATAAGTTTTGTGGAAAGCTCATTCCGACTAAAAAAGTTTCCTTGCTAGTTCAAAGCGCCAAGCTGCGCGGTCATTCATTTTCACCGTTTGCATGACAATGAGAAGCAAGGGAATCTCCATTTACACGAATACTGCAAGTACTACATACGGTGCGATTCCTTCCATTAACGTTTGCATATCTCAGAGCTTCACACCAAATTCGAAGAGAAGTTGAGAAGTGTTGAGGCTCTTCAACTTCCTCGCATCTTAAATTTCTTACAACTTCCTCGCATCTTAAATTTCTTACAACTTCCTCGCATCTTAATTTTTCAAGTTGATGCAAATTCAATTTGATTCTTATTGTTAGATCTTGTAAACCATGAGATATTTATTTTTTCCAATGCATTTCCCTAATGTTGTTTGTACGTTTGTTTATTGTTTAACTAAATAACTACGCAGCGACGTCGCAACATTACATCTCGAACATGCAAAATAGGTGTAAATTTTGCAAATTTTAAATTTGAAAACCGGAAATATGCCTGTTCGCTTTCCACATATGCGGCATTTGTTCCATATTTTGCGTTCGTCGTATAGTTCAATATAGTTTCAAATTATACCGCAGCAACTGCTACTCATGACTCAATACCTGAACATAGAATGAGTGGTAAGGTGTTCAGCTTCACCTCTGGCAGAGCTATATAGAAGCTACAAACGGAAATCATGAGATTGTGTGCTGTTTTGCATTGCATTTTGTACAAATATTTATTATCTATTTATTTATCTATTTATTATTTTTAATTTTTTTGAATGCATTTTTTGCGAACAAAAGTAAATGACAGATTGACATATGAGAATGAAGTATAATAGTTCAAGCAGTTTTGATACGGTTTACGCTCACTGCCCGAAGAGAAAGAAAAGCACCACGTAAAATTTGAGCAAGGGTTTTCCTGAGTCGATCAGCATACAGTCTGTCTTAACCTCGACCGGGCCCAAATTGGCATGGAGAAGTCCTCGCTTGGCTTTTGCGTCACGCCTATGATCTGTTTGTCTGCTCTCTCTCTTTTATCGCTTTGTTCTCTCCCACAGCCCTCTTCTTTTGAGCTTATGCAGCGCAGTCACTAGCGCTGCCTAAGCTCAAAATTGCGCTAACTTGGCCAAATCCCAATTGAGATAGACTGTATTTGAAAGTGCGACATCGCGGCAGCAGCGCCCATTCCCCAGATCTTCCACGCTATACTTCAAGAGGTCGATTATTGCGCATATGACATCCGCAACCTTCAACCTTCTGACAACTGCTAGCTTGCTGATAAAAAGTAAATGCCGTGCAGTCATGACGTTTGTTTGGCGTCGAGAAGCAATGCATCAAGTTGACACTTGTCTATGTTTTCGGAAAGTTTCGAGAAGTGTCCTCTTCCAGATTTACTATTTCAGTAACAACATATAGCAGGGTAGTTAGGTTGCACTGGATGCTTTGAAAACATTTACCCTAAAATCTCACAGATAAGTCCTCCCATCAGATAAGTCCCTCTACAGATAAGTCCGCCTTCAGCCAGGTCCGCTTTTTTTTGACTCAGATAAGGTCCTTCGGGTAAGTCCGCCTACAGACAGTCCGTTTTCTTTCCATTTTAACTACCCTGAAATCTTGTCAGATAAGCCCGAAGACTGTCAGATAAGTTCGGACTTAACTGTAGACGGACTTATCTGATGGGAGTACTTATCTGCAAGATTCTTGGCGGTGCGAGGGTGCATTTTCATCGATTTTTTTTTGTCAAAAAAGCGGACTTATTTGTAAGATTTTAGGGAATACTAATTGTGACGTTATGAACTATAGTAGCACTTTGAAAAATCAATATATAATTGAGTAAGAAACCAATTTGGTTCGAAAGTATCTTAAGTCGTTTCCAAATTTTTAGTTTTAAAGCATTTTGGGCTTCTAAGATTGTGTTTGCTTGAAGGCAGTGACACGGAAAATGGATGCTATTCAGATTTTGGTGCTGTTAGGTAGAAGATCACAAAATCGTATGTTTTGGCTGAATAAAGCATATTGCATTACCTTACTTTGTGATTTTTGTCACAGCTGCAACATTCTCTGTCCGCTCTAAAACAATAGTCCAATAAACTGATGAAATGGCATACATTTGAATTTAAGCAAGTGCTTGTCAGATATCCTCTCCTTCATAGAGCAAATGCAGCGTGGCTCAGATTTCAGGCGATTGTCATCATTCGCTTAGTTACTAGCTATCAGCATTATCCTTCATCAAACTAAGCTGTTAATACATCATTAAAAACACCATTTTCGAGCTGTTATAGAACAGACCAAAAATAGTGAAGCCACACATTGTATACCTAAATGACTTTGTTATTTTGCACTTTTGGAATTGAATGGTACGATTAAAAAAATTTTTGATTATAAATGTCTGCGAGGCCGATCTGGAAGCCTGTACCTATAATTTCCACTTTCTCACCAAGCTTTAATATGTGTTGATGATTTATTGCTGCACAACGTGTTTAGGAAAGCATCAAGAAAATCCATTAGATTTCTTATCAACAATATGTACAACAAACTCATAATATTACGTATTATAATGCCTTTTAATTTATACTTGATTCAAACTTTCCGTTTTCTCCTCGTATCTTCGCCGCACCTCCGCCATCTCGCTTTGGCTGGTGCTCAGCTGTTAGCTACTTGTAAACTCAGATGGCTTTCTACTTTGCTCTCCTAAACGTATCGGCAAAACGAGAAGATCGTCCAAATCCACCTCCACTTCACAAGCAGAAACGGCGGCGGCACAGCATCGCTTCAGTCGAAAGTCCAGTTCTCGATTATCGGTTATTACCAAGGTTGGTCGAGCATATTTTCAATATGTCACACATCTCTAGCAATTACAATATATTCCATTCATGCCACGTAGAGAAAGGGAGCGACTGCGGACGTTATCGGCGTCTCCTCATCAAGCGCTCTTTCATCGCTCTTACCGTCTGCTGTCTCCTCCAAGTACATACTATCTCAGTCAGATGCAGCGGCTTCCAGTCTCTGCGTGGAAAGACTCGCCTATACTTTTTTCTGTGTTAATTATCACCTATTGAAAATACTGCCTTGCCTTAATTTTCAGTTCCATGTTAAAGAACTTATGTAGACAAACATTTAGATTGCGCCCAGTGTTACTGGTGCCGGCGAGCCAGCACAGTGCTGGCGTGGCGCTGGCACGGTGCCAGAGGCAACTCCAGACACAGCCTAAAAATCCTAAACATATTCAAAACATGAGAGTCTTTGATCAAATTCGCAACCGTGCCTGTGTACGCAGTAATATGCGCTCATGTCAGCTCAAACTACTAACGTAAATTTTAGGCCTCAAGTCGTCAGAAATCAGTTTTACCGTGACGATCAACCAGATGACGATCAGAATGATGATGGCAGGCAGCAACAAAGACAGAATCGCACCTCCCATAATCCAGAACAGAATCGCAGTGCATCATCTTCACGTCAGAATGCGGCCACAACTAGCCAAACAACTCGCGATCACACTTCAAGGAAAGGCGGGGGCTCCCGAAGCGCTAAGGAGCGACCGCAGTCGAGGTCAGCAAAAAATGCAGAAGCAGCTTCTGGCGCCGGCAAAAAACTGAAAGTGAGGCAGAATAGCGAAGGTGCAGTTCTGCACGAGCGGCGGGAACGCCAACAACGGCTTGCTGAACAGGCAGCGCTGAAGCGGGAGTTCGAGGAAATGCAGGTCGCTACGTCATCTAGAAGGGAGCAGCCGGAAAGGGAACCCGTGTACAAAATCAGAATGAACGGGTCCACAGAACGAGCTCCTGCAAAAGTGGTTGAAACGCCGAGCAAACCGCCAGCGAAGCAGGAATACAACTGGAGGGCGAAACGACCGATCGTAGTGAAGCGACGAGTGTCCCCACAGGAAAGTTCGACAAGCGACAGTCGACGATCGAGCAACCAGAGCAACAATCGCAGCCCAATGAATGACAGTCTGGGTAGGCACTTGTACTGCTCAACCGAGCAAGAAATGAATTTTGTTTCTAGCCTCAACAAATTCTTCTCGTCGAACGAGCGAAGCAGTCCAACCAGCACCAGTCCCATCGCCTTGCTCACCTTGCCATATTGAAGTGGAACCACACAAGGTGATCGAATCCCACATTGTTAAAAATAAGTCGAAATAGTGAAATTCTCATTTCTTAGCTTCTCAGTTTTGTTCTTTAGTCATAATCACCACACCATCCACACAATACCATTAGCTGTTCGAGGAACTTTTCAAAAGGGTTGAGCAGCCCCGAGCAGATCTTCTTCGCAAAACTAATTAAAATTTCCAATTTTGTAAACATCTCATTATTTGAAACCAGGTGATTTGCACAGTTTTATAACTTCAGTCCATATGTCATCAGTTTGGCAACTAATTCACCCAATCCTATAATTTACTTGCTGCTCATCCCTTTGTATTGATATGCGTATTGAAGGGAGAGGGCAAAAGAATGGAGAAAACGGGCAAAAAAGGGATCTTGGTCTGATATTCTGAGGGGGATGGAACCGCAAATTTGAAAAGGTCCAAAAGAGTCATGAACTTGTGACGGCATGTTACTTGTATTTAACTGAGGTAAATTTCTACCTCACAATTTCAAATTAGCTTCGTAAATTTTTCTGGTGTCTGGAAAGCTTCAAAAAGATTTCCCGGAGTCATGGCTGATTCCAAAACCCTCCAGTGAAAAATTTTTTCCCGCGCACGCCTCCTCCACAAAACAAGTGTCTCGAATCTTCACTGCTGATTGATTATTTCGTCTTTCAATACAAATAATTCCTCAGGTGTCTAACATCTCGATGCCTTCAAAGCTTTCTGACATCCCAAGATCTGCCACTTTGAAAAAGGTGACGTTCGAGAATGACAACTCCGAGTATGTGGTCAGCAGCGCTTTTTTAGGTGAGACCAGCTCTTTCAGTAGATTCAAGTTTGATTGCACATTTTGAAATACAGGCGATCGCAGAGTGCTGGTTCGTCGCGGCAGTGGCTCTGCGGTGCTTCGGCGGTCGATCGCCCAGCAACTGTCACCGTCTACAGTCCCAACCACCACACTTCTTCCGTTCGCTCAAGGAGTATGTTATTGTTTATGAATTGGAGCTAAGAAATCATAAGCTCAAAGATAATTGCGAACTATTTTTATGAACTATTTTTACTAGGTTGTGTAAAATATCGCATTTTTGTTCTACTTTTTTCTCAATGGTAATGACCTTACTGTTATGATTTTGAAAGCTCTAAGTCTGCTCTACAAACTCGTATGATCATCTCCAACTTAGCAAGAGACTGAAAAAGATTTCCTGGCATTAAAACAAAATCCGAGGAGGCAATATCAATTTTCGACATCTTCTTTCCAAATTTTCCCGTTTTCCATTGATAAAATTGATCCAACAAGTGGGCAGCCAACAGAGCAACCTATTAGGCTTTTATGTTTATACTATCACTGTATATGCTCGTTCCCTTCCTTCTACAGGGTTTTTGATGTCGTTTTTTCAATAGTCGGCGATGCAAGACTTTGTCGCGGAGAGGTTCGTTATCTCGCGTGCCTAAGCTGTGGAACCACCAAACTTTGATTTTTGGAGTGACTACCTATATAGTCGATGACTTTGAAGCTATAGATAATTCCTTCTGCCTTTTCTGGATTGTCTGTCTACAGTCTTCTCTCAAGACTGCCTACAGATGCCCGAAGTCAACGTTGAAGAGACCTTGAAAAGAAGGACTTCTAGAATTCACAGAAGTAGTTCTCAAAACTTTTTAGCACTTTTGAGAAGGAAGCTGCAGAAGCTACAACATTCCCTCCTCACGCGCAACGGAGTTTCGAGCTGTTTCGTACGCATTACGACTTATTTGAAAGGCGTTATAATGTGTTGTCAAAATGGATTTTTCCTGTTTGTTTTCCGAGTTTGATGCTGAAAAACTTTTGTAAGTCTTCTGATGTAGAAAACTTAAACGAAAATTTTGGTGGAGCAGACTTAGAGCTTTCAGGGCACACATACATTTGCAAAACATCGTGCAAAATGTTGAGAAAAATCAAAAGAAAAAATGCGACAGAACTCTTATTACACAACCTAATATAATGGTTTTATGGTTAGCCCCTCGAATACCTTCGTCCTCATTGGTGTGCCTGAGAACAATGATATTGAGAATTTTACCTTAGACCCAATAATTTTGACAGACTGGATCGGATTTTCGAGCCCTTTTTGAGCTTCTAACAGCCCTTGCGCGTGGAAATTTGGATATTCGAAACACCTTAGACTTATATTCTTCATGAACAAATATGGTCAAATTTGAAAGAACTTTCGAGCTCTCATAAACCTTCACCTTAAGTAATCTTTATTACTCATCTCTTTCAAATGCAGTTAGAAGTCCCCATTCAACAAGTACATTACATGCTAGAGATTATTTGAAGCAATTGGAAATCTCGTCTAGTTTGGTGCTTGGATGTGATCGATGCTGTTTCGCTTGCATGGAAATAAGATTTGTATCGCAATTTCGGTTTTTATAGAGACATCACTCTTCTGACGGGTAGATATGCAGCTCTAAGAGTGCTTATATCTTTCTACATCTAGTGGAAGGTCTTTCGGGTAAACAGATTCGAGGGATTGAAAACTAGTATTTTAGATGGAGGGCGAGCATAAAACTATCTGAATGATTGAATGCGCGAATAATTTATCATTTTCATTCCTCCAATTTCCATTCATAGCAGTATTTGGAGCGAATGATATAATTTAGGAGTCTTTTCTTCTTCAAAAAAGGTGTCTGTTCTATGAAGGCCTTCAATAACTTTTTACTGTTCTCATTGTATCTTCTTCAGACCGCAGCGCTAGCAGGTCTCGCTTATGGCGCTGCATTGTGGGCACCATTTTCCGGGGAAAAAGAAGTCACTCCCGATCGGCAGAACGTAACCAACGATGCCATCGAAGAGACGTCTAGGTATGCCAGATTTTATAAAGGGCGATTGAAGTAGATTTCTAGTACCCTGCCTCCTCTTAGGCGGAGCCGCTCGCGTGGGCTTTTGCGACGTCGATCTACGTCGGACAGGCAGGTCGTGTATGGATTTCAGAACCAAGGATTTCGGTTCGTCGATGATGGAACACCTCAGTGTGGTAAGTGTAACGTGAATAATAAATGCAAATCAAAGAGACAAAGCTGGGTACACTTATCAGTTAAAATGTACCTACCCAGCTATCAGTTAAGACAATTTTTTTTCAAATTTCTAAAACTTTCAAAAAGTGCTCCGTTTCACCGCAAAGGAGCAGTACTAATAACTAATTCTTATCTGAAGCAAAACTCAAAAAACAAACACATTACACTTGATTTAGCTGTAAAATCTGACAAAAGAAGCCTTTTTAGCCAAATCAGCTCTCTAAAATGACTCCTACACAACTTTTGAGAGCATTGAGCGTTGATTCCGGTTCTGTTCTCAATACAAGCCAAGCTCCTCTGGAGGCCGAGTTATAAAGAACGAAGAATTTGGTTCAAATCAGCTGTTACGGCCTTTTCAGCGATCAAATAAAGCAGTGTCGAGTATGAATGTCTTTCACAGAAGGCCACTGAATGAAGTGCCGATAACCAACACTTGACCATTTGAGCAATTTTGGCATACTTCACGCGATTTAAGTCGCCACGCGATTTGGCAGCATTCCAACTGTCCGTAACTCACTGAAGGCACATTTTGAATGTACAGAAGATAGGGCATTTTATCAATCGACATAAGTTACACATACTATGCATGTGCAGTTTGCTAGTGTTGGATCCGAAGAGTTATAGCAAATTGCCAAATAGCGTCGCGAGTGAAATCGCATGAAGTATTCCCGACCCTTAAGGCAAGAGCATCTTATTACAGCCTTGTGAAGGCACTCACTCCCTCTTCTATTAGTTTCCTGAAATTTTTTTTCGTGGTATCTATCCAGTTTAATATCAAGGAAGCAATCGGGTGGTTCGAATGCCTCGCAGGCAAGACAAGAATTTGAGAAAAATCAGGATAAAATCAAAAGGACCTTTTGTGACTGCGACGCCTATTTCCACCATGTATGATTTTGCTCATCATCAGAACACCTGCATTACATAATATGGAATTCTCAAAAATAAAAGGTGAGCTATCACTGAAGAGAAATGCACTCAATAATAGAGTAGGTAGACTTTTGATCTTGATAAATTACAATTTTTGAGACTTGAAATTGAGGAAAAGTCAGAAAGTATCCGCCAATGTGATATTTGCAACCTCTTCATTGCTGCACAATACCGAAAACTGTTCACAAAAAATTTGACGCTTAGTAAACCAGTCTTTTAAACTTTCTAGTGATTCTCATAATGCAATCCCTCAGCTATCTGTAGATTTTAGTTATCTATATGTGTGTAACTAATTTTTTTTCGAACATTGAGTAGCCAGATGCCAGTAGTCAGAATCAATAGCTTTCTTTTCCAGAGATTGCAAGAACTCCCTCTGGGGCCACTCTGGTTCCATTTGCCGGATAAAACATCTACGATGTCAACGAATCTGCTACTTTCTCGACCGTATTCCGCTTTCCGTCTGTGATGAAAAATTCGAATGCTTGTGAATAATGTGAATAAATAAATGTTAATCTGTTCGTGTGACAAACAGCAGCGGTGCCCATCGCCATCACTCCAAGTAGTCCCCCAAGGATTCTGCCGTAATCCCACTACGACTTCGCTATTGATTCTCCAACGGCATTGTTCGTAGAAACATTTCGATGCTCTCTATCAGGACTGCTCTGGTTCTGACAGCCGTAGCCGTCGTAGAGCCCAGCTTTGATGAATATCGTCTGCTTCAATATCTTAAAGAGGTAATTTCAATTTGTCTAGACTTTGTTTGTGTCGGAATTTGCAAGTTGGTCATGAATGAGGCCAAAGCAAATAATTCTGCTTGCTTTGATTGACATCCTTAACCACTCTAATTGTCCAGGTTCGGCTGTCTCATAACTTTGGCATGGTGGATATTCGTAGTTGAAATGGCTGAGCGAATCTGATTTGGTTTAGCATTTTTGTTTTCGAATAATACTTTGATCTTTTGTTGACGTCTGGGCGAGTAAGTTCATATGTTTTCGGCTTGCAGGCTCTGGAAAAGGCGATTACGCCAAAACAGCGATTAAAGAATTGTTCAACCTAGGAAGTTCGCTGAGCCAATTCAAGTATCCACTGATAGTCGGTTTACGCATACAAGGCTATTTGGTACGGTAAAAATTAAGTTGCTGGCTGATTGAAGGAATTACTCGTCCTTTCGCACATGTATGTGAAGAAATAGTACATATACTATGTTTACAAACTATTCTCTTTCTTGCACTCGAAAAAATATGTTGGAAAGGTTCCTGACTAATTCTGCCTTCCGAATGCATTATGTTGGTCCAAGTGTACTAAATTCTCTGTAATTTCTGTAGTTTCAACAAATTCATTTGGTTTGATATAAATGAGAAAGAGAAGAAAACATGCGCATTTCTGATATTAAGCTATAAGCAGACATCGAAATGCACATTACAGCGATAATGCTGATAAAATGATACTTCAGTTTGTACTTAAGTTTTAATTGTCGAATAATCTGAAAGACCCCAGTAAAATCTTGTTTCGGGTGGTCATGATGGTGTCTCAACTTACTGCGTAAGAGATTTCCTGCTTGTTAAAGTGTTACAATAAGTACGGTTTGCTAATTAGGTTACTCGACACTTTGACTTTTTGGAGAAGATGGAAAGTTTTAAATGCTCAAAACGTAAGCAATACAGTCTGCAATATTTCTAACAATAAAACGAATTTTTTATCTGTACGATTTCAACCAACTTAGATTCTGTCTGAAGGTAACAATTAGAGTCTTGCCCTTACCACTGCACTGCTTACTATGTACGTAGAAATATCTTGAATGGGAATTTCGTGAAAAAGATCATTATAATAAAAAAGCAAGATTTTGCCTTCCAACAAGCTCGCCATAAAGCACTTGCAAGCTGAATTGCATTTTTGCTCCATAATCGTTTCGTAGGCCATCGATTCTTGGAATCCTAGTAAAACAAAAAAAAACCCGAGTATGCACAGTTGCTTTCACAATAGCCACTTACTCTTCGAAAATTGTCTGATCCTAGCGTGCCTAAATGTCGGCACAATTCTCCTTTCTCAGAACTACGATCATTTCGAGCGTCCCGTCGAAAACAGCTCACTTCCACTAGATGTCAAAGTGCGCTTCCTCCTCAACCAAATATTGGACATTGTAAGGTTTACATATAATCTGTTTTGCAACTGCTTAAGCACTATTTTAAGGACGAGAAGAATCAAGTGATGTCTATTCTCGCCTATATCGATTTCGTAAGTTTGATATAAGATTAGCGAGCGTTAACTTTTCTGAAGTTTTTGAAGACGTTGTTCTAGCACTGGAATGACTATAAACTTCGCTGGGATCCCAAGTCGTTTGGAGGGATTAAGGATGTGCGTTTCGCCGGAGAAAGCGATGCACCATTCAAGCTTTGGAGACCAGATGTGCTTCTTTTTAACAGGTATTTGGAGCAACGAAAATCTAAAAAATCCCTTATTCCCAATGAAAGCATCCCAAAAAGATTTAGAGAAGGGCTACTAATTCTACTTTTGATTGAGGTTAAGGTCATCCAAGGCAATCAAGGCAAGTTTCTCTCAGTAGCTAAACAGGGAAAAATTATCAACTATTTTGCATGCGTAAATTCTGGTAATCTTTGGGGAAAGTATTGGCATCGTAGAAGGACCTTCAACTACTAAAAATGAGGTCGAAAAAATTCGTCGAAAACTCATTCGATAATGTTGTCGTGCATGGAATCAAAACAAACATGGTAACCAACAAGGCGCATTTCTGCATTTTTCTGAACAAAACCGTATTTTTGAACATTTCGCCTATCATAGCATTTTTTTAGTGTCTCGGAGGCATTTGATGCAACATACTCATCTCGATTCATTGTAAACTACGACGGTGAAGTTCAACAAAATCCTCCAGGAATTTTTAGGTTCATATGCAAGGTTTGCTTTTCCATTTCGCCAACGAGTTCCTGCAATTGATGCAGTGATCAGTAAGACTGATTATTTTTTTTCTCAAGGTTGATGTGACGTACTATCCATTCGACACGCAAACATGTTTTCTAAAAATGGGCAGTTGGACATACAGTGGCAATTATATAAATCTTGACTTCATGCTGAGCCAAATCATAGGTCAGTACATTTGCTAGAAGGAAAAGTAAGCATTGCTGTTTACTTAGCCGAGAATACAAACAAAGTCTGCAAATCTTTTTGAGAATACTGACCAGTAAAGAGCTCATATTATCTGGAGTTTCACATTTCGACTTACCCCTTAGTTCATTATATCCCTTCGTCGCAGGAGTAAAAGGACATCCCGTAAATGCGAGCAAACGTCCATATGGCGAAAATCCCGGCAGCTATATGCTAAACGAATCTATCGACTTACAAGTTTACCTTCACAATGGCGAATGGGATCTCATGAGTAAGCAAACGCTTCTCTGTTCCTACGAAATTAACAGTTATTCACAGGTACTCCTGGAACTCGAGTGGTGACCCCGTTTGGGGATTCATCGTATCACGAGCTGTATTACTACATACGCATTAGAAGGAGAACGTTGGCATACGGTATCAATCTGATCATTCCTTCTTTGGTGATCTCTATGATGACAGTGCTAGGTTTCACGCTGCCACCGGATGCTTGTGAGAAAATAACATTAGGTAAGCAACATCAAGTCAGAACACACTGGTCATTAGCCAGATATCGGAGGGTAGCTTCTAAAAAAAGCAAGGTAGTTTCTAAAAAAGGAGAACCCGAATTCTTCTATTCTTGTCAACATTACTACGATGACTCAAAACAAGTGTGTTGCTCTCATCAAAAAAATAAGAAAAAGCGTGTTTCTCTCACGGCCAAAAGGTGCTTGCGCATTAATAAATAATGTCCGAAAGACTGAACCTTCTTTGTATCTCATTTGAGTATTTATAAGAGTCTCGACCTTTTCTTCTCATTTTATGCATATAAAAATGATTGTGTTATGACTTGCTCTGTCAAACACAATCGAACGATCCTCACAACAAAATTCTACAGGTTGTGGGCTTAGTAAATGTGCTTGTTACAGAAAGAAGCAGAGACAAGAGTTCAGAAAATTTTTTTCCAGAGACAACAGTTCTCCTATCAGTGATCTTCTTTCTCCAAATGGTTTCAAACATGAGCCCACCGCAGTCGAAGAGTGTTCCGATTTTGGGTAAGTCCTTATCCATACATTTCTTGAGGAAGTTTGAAACAAAGGTATCATTTTTTTCGCATTTTATATGCAATAGATCATTATTCACTCTTATTCAGTTGTATCATAATCTCGATCAAAATAGTTTCAGCAGCGTTCTTCTCGTGCTGTTTGATGGTGGTGGCATGCTCATGTGTATTTACAGTACTCTCGCTTTGTTTGTACTCAAGAAAAGCTGAGACTCACGAAATGAGTCCATTTGTGAGTTGTAGCTCTTACAGTATAAAAAAGAAATCTTGCAAGCATGAGCATATTTTTTATAATCAATGTATAATACTTACTGGAAGTGAGAAAAAGCGCACCCTTTGAACGAGCTCAGTTTGATTCTGAGGCATTAAGAATGAACATGTTTTTCATCAACATTTTCGCTTGATAATGCTCGTTCTTTCTCCTTCCATATGAATGACTAACGGCGTTGAATACAGATGCGTCGGTTGTTCGTGGAATGGCTCCCATATGTTCTCATGATGCGTACGCCAGATCATCCAAGAGCCCCAAAACCGAAGGTGAGGGAATACAAAACACATAAATTTGCTCATCCTCCACCCTTCAGGTAATCGGCAAGACCGTTGCGCCAATCCACCGTTTGAGTACCTTACCAATTCTGAACTTGCCTCGACCGTCTGATGTCAACGCTGCCATCAAAAGTAGTTCTAGCGTTGAACAAGGTGAGCGGATAGAAGTCAGCCTCCGTGACGAGGTATTCTGACATTGCAGAGAAGCGTCCACCGTGCTTGAAGTACTTCGATCAATTCTGCGACGAATTGAAAGCGATCAACAAAGATCTAGAGAAGATGACGGCTACTATCAAGGAGACGTACGAGCACGAATTGGTAAGCTAACGATATAAGCAAGATGTGGACACGTCGAATAAGGAGAGAGTAATTCTACGACTTCGCATTCAGGAGAAACTCTATCAGGCTAATTCACAATATTAAAAAATTAAAACTGAACAAAACCTTCAAAGTGCATATTATACGAGAAGACCTGAATTTCTTCCACTAATGTGCGAAATTAGGCGTCTTGCAATGCGGTTACGGTAGTACTCCTTAGTTTTAATGCATCTACAGTTATCGACAACGAAAAAACTAAATCTCTTTACAAATCATGGTCGCCCTTGAGTAGAGCGTTCAGCATTTTCAGGCGGACATATAAGAGGCGCTGAGGAACAATCTATATAAGAAACCAGGGTTTATGTTATATAGATTCCGAATGGGAATTCCATATCCAAAACAACGTCGACCAGACTCAGCTCACATGCGCTGCGGGACGGGACGGGAGTCCTCAGCTGCTTTTCGTTTTCGGTATCCATATTGTCAATTTTTCGCAAACTTTGCGCCAGGGGTCTGGGAGTTAGCTGATTACGGATACTGTATTAGTTTCCAGAATTATCGACCACTTTTATCGATTTCATCGATTTTTGCAAACATTGAGCTGGGGTGCTGGGAGTCGTAAAGGGGATGTGTGAGGATTTTGATTTCGAATACAACATTCATCTTTAGAATTACAATTGCCTTTATCGACTGACCTCTGCAAACTTTGATCTGAGGAGCTGAGAGTTGGTGGGGATGAGTGGAAGTACTAGGCTGTTCCAAAAGTTCAGTCCGATTTCGGATTCAAATTGTTATAACTTTCCTCGGATTCATTATTTCGGGTGATCTTACTTCCTTGGATTGAGCAAGTTTTTGGCTACCTCAGGGAGACCGTGTCATATAAAAAAGTCAGCCGAGGGGGAAAAGAGAACTCAAAATTTTCCACAAATTTTTCTCCATAACAGTCCATTTTGGCACAGCTATGCTCTCACATGCGAAATGACAGACATATCTACTTGTCATCATTGGAAAGCTTAAAATCCGAAGAGTATTTCTTGACTAAAGTGAATTCATGTAGTCGTTACCGTACAAAAATTTTTGTGAGCAAAGAAAAAAATTTGTTGATTTGTCTTGCGCATGCCGAAACACACTTCTTTTTAAGAACTTGAATTTTTTTTTCATGTCGCAAACCAACGCGGCTAACCGAAGAATAGACCTTGCTTGCGCTTTGTTTACTCTTACGTATACAATGCTGAACTTATCACTGATCGCTATGCGTAAATTTCTAGGCTTGTGGAATGGCTAAGGAAGGCTTCAATCTTTCGACAACATAATTGCCATTCAAAACAATTTTAGTCTGGAGGAATGTGCATATGCTAGCCCTTTGATTGCTTAATCGCTTCACAATTTTGCATAAATCACTTCGTTAGCAGATTAGGGGAAAATTCCTCCAAATACAACTTTCTTGGATATTATCAAACTGTAGCACCTTGCGCGCTCAGGCACAAACTGCTGAACAATAAGGATTTTGACCAAAATTAGTAAGCATCGGAAAGAGCAAGGAAGGGACTTAACTAATGGTTTTAATATCACCATATATATGCAAGACTCCAAGAGAACGGCTGCATCAAACATGAGGCAACAAAAATCAGACAGGACTTTCGGAACAATCTAGTACTCTCTACGACATAATGGAGGCTGGAAAGTGGCATATAGAAGTGCGACAGGGAAGGGAATGTTGTATAGAAGATATTATAGTGAAACATTTAGGTCAGTTTTTAGACTAGCAAAAAACTCAAAGAAGAAAGTATGCCCAGTTTATACTTGAGCAGAACAATTTTGTTGATCTGCAATGTTATATCTTGCATTATAAGCTATAACTCCACTATTATCAAATTTTCGAACCATTGCTTTGACGAGACTCCACTCCATATCAAAATGTACTTCTCACAATGTTATCATTCAGAATTTTTGAAAACAAAATTTAGATTAGAAAATAGCTAATAACTTCACTTTTTATGATCATAATCATTCATCATTCTAACAGGATGAGGCATTCGAAAAATGTGGCCTGTGCTTTGTCCCGATTTCTGTTATTACAATTCTGACACTTTCAGATTATCTCAGAGTGGCGATTTGCAGCAATGGCCGTGGATCGCCTTTGCCTCTATATGTTCTCAGTCTTCATTGCCGTTTCGACTTGCGGCATCATCATGCCGCACATCATCACGTGAGTCACACTACTTGCCTCTTTGCAACTCACTTCATTCTCTAATTTCAGGGGTTTGCAAGAGGAACCATAATGGGTAATCGCTGGAGAAAGTTGAAGACATTGTGTGAACTACCAGAAAAATTGATTTAGTTTCATGTAGACATTTTTGATGAAATTCTCAGGAGTGTAAAGAACAAGCCAGAAACGTTCGAACGCCAAATGATTGAGCAAGATGAGCGCCTACTCCAAGCACACCTGAGGGGATAATCAGGGGCTTTGGCTCCGCAATTTCGATCTTCTCGACCACCTCCTCTCCATTTCGTTAGCCGTTCCTTGCCCCCCTTCCTCTGTTCGTTGCAGCATTCCTTAGCCACACATCGGGGCTATATTCACATATACAAATCAAATTACTTCAATACTTTTGCGGAAAATCCCCACTGATTATTTTGTTGCATAATTTTTTTCTGCTTCTCTCGTTACTAGTGTTAGTTTGAGGACCGCTTTCTTGTTTACAAAACTATTAACTAACATCTATTTTACACCACAGTTACCAACAAATTCAAGATTTGGCTACTACTGCTGGCGAATAGGTTCATAGTATTTGCTACTAAAAACTAAGTCTTTCACAGCACAACATAGATAGTGTACGAACGACTCACAACGTCTTTGCAGGAAAAAGATTCCAGGAATAAACTGTCTGTCATGAGTCTCGTACAAAAAACAGAGTGTCCAACTGTCAAAATAGCCGTCTCTACAGAAAAACTTCCGTTTTGCAGGGCTTTTTTGTAAGCAGGAAATGTTACTTACAATGCAAAATTAGAAGCTTTTTAGAAGTGTTAGGGTAGCTTGCTGCACATCAACTGCTTTTTTAGAAAATAAGCATGATGAGCGGATGTCTACAAGTTTCATTCAAACAGTTTAAGGAACAAAACTATGTGCATATTGCCTTTCTTTCTTCACATGTGCTCCAAAGTGACACTAAAAAGCTCTTTTTCGGTGAATAACTATGCTAAAGGACACATGTGCAAACAGAAGAAGCAGCAGTCTGAAAAATGCAATAAAACTTTTGCACCACAACCACATGTGGAAGTGCAGCCTTCGTGTCTCTGCAATACTCGGTCATACACCATATTCAGGTTTCTTCTGCCCGTGGTTATGCACGAATTTGACAAAGAGTTGCTAGTAGATAAACTTTACTCGCCAGGCGTTTCAAACTCTGGTGCTAGTTTTTGCTATGATATTAGGTTGATTCATAATTAATGCACGTTTTTCTCACCTCTTCTTCCAGGAGTTGGTATTTGACGTGTAATCAAGCTCGTCAAAAATCTTTTATACTATCTAAAAGAGCGTTTTTTCTAGTTTCTTATGCGGCTTTTCCCTTTCGTAAATCTCCGTTCATTCCAAAGTTCTCAGCCTTCAAATAGAAGAGACTCAAACCCAAAATTTTTGCTTTTTATTCTTTTTGCCCTAAATCCATGAGGAATGGCCGAATTAATTCCAAAAAATATGCATAAGGATTAGAAAACTTTGTGCTACAAGATGCTCTTTGAACAAAATTCTCCATGAATTCTGAGCCGAGAAATTCAATTGCGAACTTGAATGATCGTCGCGGCTCTTTCGTGCCATATAAAACTTTAAAGCAAAAGGCGATTGCAGGTCTTTTGCACTATTTAGCAAGGGTAGGCCTAGTTCATTTGATAGTAGAAAAGCGCTAGGGTTTTCTCACTTTCCAGCGGAGAAAAATGAAATAATTTCAAAAATTACCGATTTTTGAACCCGCCGAGATGCCAGAAAAAAGTGACTACTTTCGACTTTTTCGCTATATTTTCTTTCAAAAATTTTCCGTTAAATCCAAACTTAGTCTCACTGCTCAAGAGACCCTTGGTTACACGAAGAGCGAAGTCTGCTCTATTCTACTTCATTTCAACATAAGTTATGCTATCTCAAAGTAGAGGCTTCTGAAAAAAGTTGTTGGCAATCTTCAGGCCAGAAAATCTTTCTTGTGATAGATACAGTCACGCAAAAGTATCTGTTTTATAGCCACTGATTTGTTGGTTACAGTAGTTTTTATTGCGCCTAGAAATGTCTTTTCAGAAAAGAATTATCTCGGTTGAAAGTTGAAGTATAGAAAACGTGCATTAATTATGAATCAACCTAATATGTTGGCAATATTTATGACACCTTACCGTACTCCATATACAATTGAGCTAACTCATGGAAAAAAACGGATTGCGACAAATTTTTCCGTCGCGACATATTTTTCTTCGCAAAACCGTCGCAATGCTGTAACTTTTTTTAAACTAGTTTTCAAAAGAAACAGACCATCATTGGATTGCTGAGAACTTAGCGATTCAGAATAACTGTTAAAATTTTGATAATGCTTTTATTTGATCTATCGCGACGTATTTATCGCGACAAAACCGTCGCACCGAATTAACCTGCTTGAACATAAGTTTCATGGAGTAACAAGTAGATTTTTGGACTCCTGGCAGAATTCTGACTTAGAAGATGCTGGCTGATTTGGCCTCTCAAGAACGATCTAGCCTGCAGGCGTCAAAAAATCAAAAAAGCTCTTGTACAAAGCATTTGGTGATTATTTGAAATATTTTCATCAAATTTAGGTCAAATTAACGAAAAATTTGAATAAATCGCAAAATTTATATCAGAAATCGACAGCAATGAGCACTGCGTTGCTTTATTGCTAATTTCGGATTTCACCAACTATGATGCAGGCTGATTTGGCCTCTCAAGAACGATCTAGCCTGCAGACGCGAACTGCCGATTTCAAGGCTTCATAATTTTCAAATTTATGCAGCCTTGTTCAAATAACTTCACTATCAGTAGAGTACAAGGACTCTTTCAACAAATCAAGGTGAGTCTAGTCTGTTATATGGAACGCCTTCCAAGATACATGTACTTAAACTGAGGTGCGCATGCATCGCTGTCATTATGGTGCCACATTATCGAGACCGTATTGCAGGCAGTCGGTCATAAAAGAGTCGAAACTTCATCCACATCTGTAATAGTGCTTGCTATTTGAGAATTTCACCTTTGAGAATGTAATTTGCAAACAAGAAGTGTCTGATGGTTTCGGTAAAAGTGCAAATGTCAACGATAATCACGAAATTTTCACGAATTTCATGTCGCCTTAGACTTCATAACTTCCACATATTCTGAATCTACGCAAAAAATGCTTCTAGAAAATGTATAAATGACACACCCTTGCATCACCGAAAGAGGCTGCATTTTCACCTCTTTTTCTATTATGATTGCCAGATCTGACTGGGTGCACTTGCACCCAGATTTGGCATAATCGCATCTAGAGGCGGATTTTTGTATGTGCAGGATCTCATTCTTCTATCTTTTACGACTCTACAGAAGCTTGCTCATACTTTGCTAGTTTGTATTGTTTCCAGTCGGATGTGTTTTGAGCTAATTTTTTCTAGGAAAGTGAAGAAACTATCCAGTTTGCAACAATAACAAGAAAATAAAACAATGAAATACCCGATGTAAAACAAGGCCCTTTAATTATGTTGTGAAGTTTATTATTTCCTTCCTATGCACTTTGCGAATATTGATTCACTAAATGAAATTTCACACTCTTTCATACCCCTCCCCCTCGCTTTGATAGTACAAGCATAGGAAGGAAGTTAGGCTACACTTTTTTGTGCGTGGCAAGTGGTAATGGAAGATGCAGTTTACGTGAGCGCTATTGTCCTAAAGTAAGGCGGTAGAGGCAGGGTATTGTTTCTTGAGAAGGAAGGGAATGTGTGAAGTTTATTATTTCACGCTGAATACGTAGAAGACAAACCTTGATTTTTGATCATGTCGGCTGGGCTGCATAGTTAGCCTTGACACTTTTCAACCTCGCGCAAGTGCGCTCTATTGGAAAATCGCCGCTCTAGCATTAGGCTCTGGATTAGTCATACACGAGGGAGTGCATCAAAAGTAGTGTTTTTCATAAGCAGCCACCGATATAGCATCACTGCTATGTTTATCACATTTATCCTCAATTGCAGCTCTACTGCACAACCATAGTCTGGCCTTGCCTTCCCATCAATTATTAGATTGGCCAAAAAATAATTTCGGCAGGCCGTTTTTGACGGTTTGTGGATTTGAGATGTAAATTGTAAGCTAGAATTCGTGTATAATTGTTTGGTACTATTGGAAAGAGTAAGTCAAGAATCGGATGGTCAACCTCTTTGGTTCAAATTATTTTCTTGTTTGCGAAATGAGGTAGGATTCAAATTTCAAAGGTCATACTCCAAACCCAAACTGAAATCGGGTGTAAAGTGCATGAATGGATGCACATATACCATTTTGATGTTTACATCCATTCGTATGACCATAGATGGTCGAATCAGCAATTTGAATTGCCACAAAACTGACTCCCAAACGCAGAAACCTTGAAATTCTCACATTATTGGACTGCAGAAACACAAACAGCAGGTCACTGCCTGCATTGTAGTTTGCCATGTAGCCAAAAAATGTATGTACTAAACACCAAACTGCTTGTCTGTGCGCTCACTACAAGCTGAGAACGAAACTCGATAAGGTAAAAAGTAATTTTTCAATGGTCATAATTGCCTCTTGTCACGTTTGAGAATGCTATTTGATAAGTATGTGACAGCAGATGATCAAAGCTACCTGCACACAAACATATCTAATAGCAGTTACTTGAATTTTTATTGAGCTTTGAAGATGCTAGCCAACCTAATATTTAGTGTTTATCCTCTTTTCACAACTCTAAAGGTTTATGGATAAAAATTCAGGCAATGATTGCCTGACAGCAAGCTCCACCTCCTGTACCTTTTCGATTACACGATATACTATATTGTATTTATCACCTTAAAATGCTAGATTGCATAAATATAGACTGAACCAATGACTACGTAAGCATGACAACACTTTGTAGAAAATTTCCTAAACAAATATCTGGTCGTAAGCTTCCATAGAGAAGAGAAAGCATGGCAGATTTGCTAAATCTTGGCTCGACGATGGCAAACATACACGCAACGAAAAAATCCGGCCTTTTGTTTTTTACGGAACTGAGTCATGCCGATAATCCTTAGCGCTCGTTGTTGACCTTACAGGTGAATTGAAAACTGTTGAGGTATTGCTGTAGAGGTCTCACAAACCCGTCATGCGTAAACAGTACTTGGGTATCACCTTTTTTGGGAAAATTTTTGAATCATTTTTTTGCTGTGCATCGCTATCAGTTTGATCGGTTGTAATGTCTTTTTGATGGTTTTTGTCCTATTTATATGTAAGAAAGGTTTACCTCCAAGAAAAGTTAGGATCTTTGCCTAAGAACATAAAAACTCGAAGCATTCGGTTTACCGTCGATGGATTTTTTTGCGGATTTTGGCTCAGTCTTTGATTGAGACTTGAAAGTTCCAATACTATGCAGTCCAAACTCAAGATCCTAATTTTAAGTAAAGAGTCAAAAAAGCAAGAAAAGTTTTCTAAAAACAGAAAATGTTTTCGAAATTAAAACAGATCCTGACAATAGCTTACAGTAGGTGTGCTCAATATCTCACTCGCAAACTAGGGACCCATTGAACCGTAATTTTGCGATAGACTGTAAATATAAGCTTTCGAGGATAAGCGTGTTTTGCCTCTCAAAATTTCAATTAATTCGCTGTGTATACCGTGCTTGTACTGTTGTCTACATCTTGTGTGAGATTTATAGTACTCTGATTTCAGAGCAGCGGTGTAACCACATATAATCGTCTTCGACTTTAATCAAGAGCAAAGTCCTTTTTGTTGTAATGCTCTCGAGTAATCTGATATATCGTGCCGTTCCGAAAGATATGTCGTCGTCAGACTGAGGTTTTCCCGGCGACGCAGGAAACTTTTTGCAATGTGATTTGAGCAATGTCTCTCAATTCTCTCCATAGCATGTGCGGAAAACGGCATCTAATCTGTCTTAAATCACAATTCGCAGCAGCTGTGCGGCCTAAAACATCTGGATTAAAAAAATTCATTACTGAGTTTTTCGCCCATGGAGTGGGAGGTTGTATGTGATAATACATAAGGTCGGTTCAAAAGTTCATACCTTTTTTTGAAGCAATACGCAAATCTGGTGTAAAGAATTTTGAAGGATTTTTCTGAACGGACTTCCAATTTTTTCTTGGTTTTTTGGGGCGCTTGGATCTTTTTCGTTTTGGCTTCAATCTTCGCTTGGATGAAAGCTGCTGTAAAAATTCAAGCACTTTCTTGTAGAGCTAGGTTTGCTCTATCTAATGATAAATCGAATCCTATTTGGAATATAGGATTACGAATTATTGCGTCTGTACCTATTTTGGTGCAGGAATTATGCATCAACCTAATGGTAAAAGATCGTTAGCGACGCGATTTTTTTGCCGTTTCTCCAGCCGTCTTTTCTGAATGTCACGTATTATTTTCTGTGATCCAATTTTCACATATCGTCTAGCCGAACTTGATAAAACGATGACGTGCAAGCGATTTAGGCGTCTGTATGCAGCTTTTTGCCCTCCTTTGACTGCTATTTTTTTATTTGCGATCTATGCAAGATTTGCAATTATTTTCTTTTGCAAGCATTTTTTCGCGATTTGCGAAAAAATGCTTGCAAAAGAAAATAATTGCAAAAATAATTGCGATTGCTAGTATTAGGTTGCTGCATAAGTTCTGTCCGATTTGAAATTTTTGTGTTCAAAATGTCATAACTCTCTTCAAAGTCAACATTTTTCCAAGATTTTAGTTTTTTTGTGTTGAGTAATTCCTTGGCTATCAGACACATATTGAAACCTGCGAAAATCCTTGTATAGGAAGGAGAAAGAACTCAAAAACTTCACAGCGTTTTTCTTTAAACCTGTCTTTTTTGACATGGCAGTGCTCCCTTATGAGAATTGATAGGCATCTTGTCCAACAACGGATAGATAGGGAATTTTTCGCAGATTATTTTGGGACATAAAAGAGCCCATAAGGTCTGCGTTGCCGAGAGATTTTTTTGACCGAACAGAAAATTAGCCACTTTTTGAACTGGCTTCAGTGCATGTGTGCATGCCTATTTACGAGTTATGAAAATTTTACAATTAACGTGAGCGCCGAAAAGAAATTACCAGATGGCCTCTGCTAGCCCTTGCTTTACGCTAGCACCTCCAACTTTGAAGTCGTCGATTACTTCTATTTACAGAAAGTTATAGCTTGTAAAACATCTATACAGAAAATTAATGTTTGACGACAAATTTCACTAGCAAGACGTTTTCTTCATGAAACTGAACTTATGCGTATGCTAGCCTGTTACACCCTTATTCCGGAACCGATAAAAAAACTTGACCTATAGGGCGCATTATGGAGATTTCCTCGCAAGAACATATTTCTAGGGTGAGAACGTACCTCGACCACTTGGAGATTTTAGGCCTGAAATCTCCTTACACTAAGAAATTTATTGAAATTTGATATGCATTAGAATGCGCAAGAAAAGCACTTATTAATGATACTAACAATATCGCATCAGAGATGAGATCCTCTTAGAGCAGCTGCTTCAAACATAAGGCAAAAAATTTCGGACAGAACTTATGCAGCAACCTAATATATACGCAGATTCGCACCAGAAATTACGAAATACTTGCCTTAGCAATACAGCACTCGCGCATTTACTTACAAGTTAATGCAAGATACGACAAAAAGTTTGAACACTTCAGTATCCACGGGCATACGAAGTGAACGATACCTTTAAAATTTCCGACTTATGCAGAAATACTTTGTAAAATTTGAAAAGGCCAGCCAAGAAAGACGAAGAAGTGCTGTATTGCAAAAACATTGCTCTATCTGCGTTATCAATGCTCCTTTAGATGTCTGTTAGAAAAATGCTGAAAATGGTGGATAGACATCAAAAAACGGTGGCCTAGATTTTTTAAGATTATCTAATGTAAGCCATTCACATAGAAAACCTATTTGTTGGACAGAGGAAGAAGTTCTGCATTATACAATTCAAATTGCCAGACTATTTTCATTCGGTATTCGGATGGGTAAAACTTAACAAATTTCAAATCGATTTACATAGTACAACACAGCTCTAGGCAAAAGCAAAAATGATACACAATCTCCTGCTTGAAGTTCGTTACCTTCTTTACTACAAACAGTTCAAAAGCGGTCACAAAATTCTCTTTGAGAGAAGTAATCTTTTTGTACTATCTGGACGTTAATTTTGTCAGCAATCTGAGTGATTTTTCATTTGCAGTTGGTTTTCATTTGCTAATCATGTTTCAATGATTATTTCATGATTTTGATACCTTGTTGTTGAGCTGCAAGCTATTCTGATTGAAGGGTCACGACATCGCTCTGCTTGACTTAGTGTAAATAACTTGGGATCATTTCCAGAATAACCACTCGTGTTCTATTAAAATCCATGAAGCTTCACAAATGAAGTTTTCTTCATTTCTTCATTTTATTGGGGCACTTTCCCTCGTAAATGTTTTGTCTGCCGCTGGCGCTCCTAATACGCCACTTTACACGCGTTTCCGTTGCGCTCGAAATAGCAATTTGTTTTGCCTCTTTGGCCTCATAATGCAATCAATTCACAATTGGTCAAGTATAAAACTCACATCTAATATTAACATGCTGTTGTCGTACAACCCAACATGGGCTGTGCCTAGCAAGGCAGCTGCTATTAAGCCATAAACAGTGGATGTGGAAAGCTTTATTTCAAGAAATGGAGCTTGTGAGGTACCAAGTAGCTTCATTTTTGATCTCCTGGTGATTTTCGCTTCATCCCGCCGTTGATTCTCCTAGAGGGCCGAAGGGCATTCGACCACCAGCTTTTATTGTTCGCCACTGCAATTTGTGCAATTGATGTTTCATGCCCGAGCAACCTCTACTGACTGCGCTTTCCTTTGATCACATATGACGTGTGTGCCTTGGTCTGCTGAGACTATTTGAGTGTAACGGAATTTGTAGAAATAGCCGTGCCATTTCGGAAAAAATAAAGATTTGATCTTAAAACCCTGGGTCGCGACAGACCCAGTAATCAGTGATCCTTATTTCTGCTCAAGCATTCACGACGCTCACTTCCCTTGTCGCTTTTTACCTACTTTCAGTCCCAGAATTTTCTCACTTTCTAATCAAAGCTATGATGAATGTTGAAAAAAAAATTGACAAAGAACTCGGGATCGCTCTGCCAAACTCTTTTTATCTGCTCGTTCCATATCCAAAATAGATGATTAGGCAGAGAATGTGTGATTTCCAGGAAAAAGAATCTTTCAGCATGCCAGCAGCTCACGGGTAGTCTCCATAAAATGTTCGTGTATCTCGTCTGCGTCTACTTGATCTCATCCCTTCACATCGCTGCTGGGGTAGGTCGTTGGTCACAATAATATGCCAAGAAGATTCTTAGAGTATCATTTTTAGTACAAGTATGAAATAAGTTTGAATACTGAAGCATATTTTCCAGAAATTTTTACAAGTGAATAAATGGCATGAATTTCTGTTGTTATCGGATGAGCAAGTTACACTCGATCTCAGTCTGTTTATGTCCTGCGAAAGGTTAGATGTGATTCAGATGTTACCACTTTGATTTAACTTATTCATTTACTCAAGGTTTCGTGCACCCTACATTCCACTCAGAAGCAAATAAAATGCTGGGATAAAAATGGGATGGAAACACTAGATACTAAATACAGAGTGTGCCAAAAATATATCGAATGTGCGAACTTTGATATAATGTAGAATAAGCTTTGCTGTCCTTTACATACCATAGAGCTGGCTTCAAAATCTACAGTATAGAGCGAATCGTCAATTGCTCGTCATTAGTATATGATCGTAATAGGGATTCTGAAGAGAGTTTTGGCTATTGAGGGACCTCCTTAAGAAGCAAGCAAACGATTTGAGATCAGACGTTTGATAACTTTTTAGCCTTTATGAGAGTAAATTTTGCCTTAGTTTACCACCGCTGCACCTCTTGCAAACTTTTTGATTGATATCGAATGTAATAGGAGCTAGGGCAGTAGTGTGGGAATTAGGTATCGCTCCGTTAGTATCCATTGGAGAGTAAAGCTTTGATTTTTTAAGAAAGCACATCAGAACTCGTGACTCTGAATTTGGTGGTAAACAATTAGTTCTGCTCAATGCTGAATGATCAATTCTTACTCATGAAGAAATCAAGATTTCCATTCCAGGTTTTCCATGTTAGTCGCTACAGACAGGCATGATTTGAGCAGGCTTAATCTCACCTTCAATGAAGAGGTAAGCGATCATCAATGCAACAACTACTTTAGACCGTTCGATCACTACGATTTTCATTTTGGTCAAACAATTTTCCCCCTAGTTGAGATTCTTTTTTTTTGAAAGCTGTGAGCCAGCTTTCAACCGCTTTTCGTTCCCTTCGTGTGATTTTTTTTCGAACGTGAGCGGCCCACAAATCGAAACTTCAAGCATTTGGCTTATGAATTGAAGTATTTGTACAGTGGCATAACATCTTTGAAAAGTCTGTGCCACAAAATCTGTCTTCTTGAAAATCATAAACAGAACTGCAAACGCAGTAGACATTGAGTGTCATATCCTTCTCGAACTGAGTTCGGCTTTTGAAAGAACCTTTATGCCCAACGTTTATATTGTCTTTTCTAAAGGCCAAGAACAGAGTCAATCACGTTTTCATCAGTCGGTTTAAGCCATCATATACCTTTCTCGAATGAAATTGTTGAAGAATACTACAAAATCGTTGAAGTCTTGCAGATAGACATGCGACGCCCAAATTCATGAGACAACAATTGATTACGATTTAAGAAAGCATTTATTCAATGAGACACTCGCTGATTTTGTGATGAAGCTAATTCAGGAGCTATATAAAGTTGATGTCGATTCACCCGAAACCTTCGAAGTGCCATCACCACCTCCCGTAGTGGGAGGATGTCGAGAGACAAATAGAAAATCATTGCGCATTACGGTAAGCCACAAACTTGAGAGAGCTTCCATGATTCGAATATTTTTCAGTTAATCTCCAGAATAAATAAAATAGAAATTCGGTTGCAAGAGCAGGTGATTACACGACCGAAACATAATTATTCTGACACGATTAGGGTAGGTTGCGGCTTTGGTCTCGTTGTCACACCAAAGTCCTTCAAGAAACTTGTTTAGATATTATTACCACAAAAACAAGCCTGCTGTTTGATTTTAGGAAATCTGTCCAACGAACGCGGTAAGTGCGTACGATTTTTGGAACTTTTCTTTTATTACTGCCAACACCACGTCCTTCCAATAACACAATCCTTTGATCAATTACCTTTACTATGTATCTTTCCTTAGCTCTAAAAGGGATCAAATGCGCAGAAGAGTCTCTGTGTTTTTCAAGTGCATAATTTTGTATCTTAAAAAACCTATGTAAGAGTCGTACCTATATTACTGGTATGTTATAACCATAAAATTGCTGCCCATGGACTGCAATACATAGTAAAATTTATTTCCTCATGCCCATTTCATGTACGTTCCTTTAGGCTTTACTTGATTGATCGAGGTAAATGCTTTGTAACGGCGTCCATGCAACTGTTCATTCGCAAGTTTTCTAAACTTTACAACATGTTTTTCTTAAAAATTGTTAATATCAAAGGATCTTATTCCTTTCGCTAAGACAAAAGCATATCTGTAAAAAACTTTCTCAATAAGATGGTTTCCCGATTCTTTCGCGGCAGCCAATCCGTCTCCACTTGCAGATAATACAGTCAGACCTCAAAAAATTCCATCTGTATGTCATCTTAAAAACAGACTCAAATTTTTTGAAATATTTCGAACTTTGATCCTTACGAGCTTGCGATGATTTTATATGATTTCATTATCTGCGCGAATCCATCGCTTTGCGTTTCTTTCGGTCCAATTTTGAAAACTTGTAATGTCTCCAAAGAATCAAAAAATTATGAAATGGAGATACTTCAATCCGCGTGAATTGCTACACATGCTTGCGTCCCTGTGTTCTCATCACATTCCAAGAATCTTTGTTAAGGGTTTTTTTTTCGAATAAATGGGAGAGGGCGGGCTAGCGTCTTTATTTCGAACTAATTGATTTTCCCGGTCCAGTCCGGGCCATTGTTCACCTGCACTGCGAGCCCCCCTCCTTATACGTTATGCATGACTTACCTTGTGACATCCGCTTCGAAACCGCATCCTCGTGACCCTGAGGTAAAAATGAGCTTCACCGCCCTCCTTTACATGACTGCGGGAAAATGCTTGATTCAACATGATAAGCCTTCAATTCCTTAGGAAAACGTAAACAGAGACATGTCAGAGGGCGCGGATCACCGACCTACCGATCTTCAGTGGCGGGAAGAAAAGCCCGCGCTGACCCCTTCGGCAGGGTATAAATACCGGGAGTCAGGGGGAGTCTCGGAGTCAGCGCTGAGGAAGCGCTAGCGGGAGCTAAGTCCGTCGAAGAGAGGCGGATCTCCCCCTTAGATAGAAAGTAACTAGTAAGCCTGCCGAAGTGGTCAAGAGGGTAAAGTCCGTTGTTTCGTTGTTAAGCCTGTTCAAGTTACACGTTCTTGTATTCTTGTTGTTTATTGCCGTTTTTCTGAGATAAACTATTGGTCGTTCAATCCGTGTTGTCTATCGATCCGGTTAAAACCGTTATACCACTAGACACCCCGGTTACATGGGGGCCGAGCAGACCTGGATCGATTGAAATACACACGGGGCGACTGATATTGACTGTCTCAGAGGCAAAACAGCAGAGAACGCGTAGAACAGGCTAAGAAAACGAAACCAAAAGACCAAAAAGGTGGGAATTCTATACGTCATCAAGGAGGTGACGTACGTAACAGGCCAAGGAGGCCAGATCTAAGATCAACTGGAAAAAAGTCTCTATCATACCATACAGAGCAGGCAGTTAAGGTATAAGGGAGAAGTAATTATTGATTAAATCATCCACGCTCAATAGAGGCGTGAGTATCGACTGTGATTGACTCTCCTCGATCAGCTGAAACGCGCGATTTCGCGTGCGGTGTTGATTACCGATGAATGTAAAGGCAAGGCGAAGCATTTCGCTGCCGAGTACGTTCATGTTCGTGGATATGGATCAGAAGCTAACATGTGCAGATGATATCCGTGAGAGAAAAGCACACTTGATGATGGAGGAGATAAGTCTCATCAGCAAAGAAGTGGAAATGCTACCTGGGATGGTAAGCAAGGTCCTTAGCCGATGTGGGATACCGGTGATGGATTGCCACTTGAAGAAGAGTTGGAGGCCACGGTAGCCACAGTGTTGGGTAGGCTAGAGAACCTAACAGCCGAGTTAAACCAGATACTCGGTCCCAGAGCAACGGCAGTTGCAGTGAGGGAAGGCAATGTGTTGAGAAGGTCGGATGACGGACCACTCGACAATCATCGAGGTGTGGAAGATCAGTTGCTCAGCTATTTTCAAAGCATGACTTTTCCTGATCCTGGAGTCTAGGGCTATGATGATGAGGACTTTGACAGGTTCATTCGAAGGTTCAGAAGGAAGTATGGTACCATCGTCCAAGATGAACAGTTGCTGATAGAGGTCCTAGGTGACGAGCACTTGGAAGGACGGGCAAAGTCCTTATTTTTGAGCATACCCATGGGGGTAAGACAGCAAGGCTTTGACAGAGTAGTGAGGGAAATGGCTTCACTACTGGCCTGTGACTCCACAGCAGCTAGGTTAAGGGCACTGACAATCTTAAGGAACATGCGCTTAAGGCCAGGCCAAGAGGTTGCAGACTTCTGTGTCGCCCTCGAGAACCTAGCGAGGAAGGCCAATCCTCAATGTACCATTGAGGAAAGATCAATGGAGTACGCACAGATTCTGCTGGAGAATCTGACGTCATGGCCGAAATACGTACAGCTGGTGGGAGCCCTACACCAGGTGGACCCAGCCGAGGCGTATAATAAGATAAAAGAAATAGCGATTGAGATCGAACAGTCGCGAAGATTTTGCAAGTTTGAGAGGAGGAGTGAACAGCAAGCTCCGTCCTGGAGGAATGCAAATGAAAATGAAGGGCCAGCTAGGACGCAAAGTCGAAGCTTAGCGGAAAGAGGCGAAAGGAAAGATGGTATGAGAAGGCAGGAGCCAACGAGGAGCTTGGGTGCCTATGATGAGGACCAGGAAGAAAAAAGATACTTTAAATATGATCACTTTGGACATGCGATGAGAGATTGTAAGCACAGGAAGACGGAGAATGAAAGCACTATCAAGACTTTGAATGGAGTGACATCAATGATAAGTAGGAGCCGTAATATGGTTGCAAAAACCTCTCAAGTTGAGGCAAATGGGATTGTTGGTAGAAGAACGTCGACTCAAGCCAGGATGTTGCGAAGACAGGTGTCAGCACACATTGACACGGGTTCAGTGATAAGTATACTACCCGTGAATGTGCTTATAGAAGCAAGGAACATTGGATACGATGTCGAGTCACTTCAGACTTTCGACATTGCGGAAGGAAGCATATACGATGCATCAAACCATTTGATGAGCTTTCTCGTAGGTGTAAAAGTAGAAGTTGAACTAGAAGGTGGATGCAAAAAGGAGGTAGCCTTTCATGTTTCGGACGATACGAATGAGGAAGTACTCATTGGCACAAATGCATTGAAGGGTCTAGGGGTGGAAGTAGTGATACACAAGAAGCCTGAAGGCAAAGTAAATGCAAAGGATAGGATGGTGCCTCTACAGAAGACACCGCCTCAGTGAGAGCGAAGATCCAACAAGGTACCATAACTGTGAACGGATCTATGCCAGAGAAGGACAGGTCTGTAACTGTCAACAAGAAGACTTTCATTGAGGGAAAAAGAGATGTCAAAGCAGGCAAAGGAATCTGGTCAGAGGAAGCTTGTGAGCGCAAATGGAAGAAGTCGACATGTAGGAAGGGCAACAAGAATCAAACCCCTTCCAGAAGTGATCGAAAAATGTGCGGAGAGGCACAGAAAGGAGTCAAAGTTCAGAAGACAAGCAGTGAGAAGGGACAAAGTTCTGAGAACGAACGTCCTGTTGCGTTTATTGCACCGAGATTTGCAACATCACTTGAGGAAATTGAGCTGAAACAGGTGGAGTACTGACCAAGGTGGCAGTATCATTCAGTCAACTCAAAAAAGCGTTGAAATATTTGAAGAACTGTCGTATGTGGATCATAGTATGGCCCAAGAACCCAAGAAGGGAGGATGAGGCTATCATTGAAACATTGCGGATATGCAAGAAGTACCTCGAAGAAGGAGGAAAGATTGTATGCGTGTGGCCGCCACTATTTTTCAAGAAGATTGGTATGTGGAAAACGAAGTCAAAAGTGTGGACGGTGATTGAATCCGTACTGAAAAAATGGGCAAACTCAAATCAGTTGTTCACGTTGGCTTCCTCAAGGACAGAAAATGGGGATGTGAACAGAGAAGCAGATGGACCCCAAAATTCTTTTCAGGTATACGACACGCATTTCAGGGACGGATATGCTCGCTACCTTTACAACGACATCCGCAGGAGAGTTCCCGGTGCAAAGCTCAGCAAGTTGCAGCAGCCGCCGAGGACGTCGGCTCCCCGGAGGGGAGGGATGTCAGAGGGCGCGGATCACCGACCTACCGATCTTCAGTGGCGGGAAGAAAAGCCCGCGCTGACCCCTTCGGCAGGGTATAAATACCGGGAGTCAGGGGGAGTCTCGGAGTCCGCGCTGAGGAAGCGCTAGCGGGAGCTAACTCCGTCGAAGAGAGGCGGATCTCCCCCTTAGATAGAAAGTAACTAGTAAGCCTGCCGAAGTGGTCAAGAGGGTAAAGTCCGTTGTTTCGTTGTTAAGCCTGTTCAAGTTACACGTTCTTGTATTCTTGTTGTTTATTGCCGTTTTTCTGAGATAAACTATTGGTCGTTCAATCCGTGTTGTTTATCGATCCGGTTAAAACCGTTATACCACTAGACACCCCCGGTTACAGATAGAGATAAATGGTGGTGAGCTAAATTAACACAGCGTACTGATGAAGTAGAATACAAGCAGACGTAGACTGCTTACTCAAGCTTAATTTACAGTTACTTCCAAGCCGACATTTCGACCCATGATGGGTGACCAAACGAGCCCAAAGCCAAGCACTTCGGAGAAGTACCAACGGTTATCGTGGTAGGGTATACAAAACTTGTAATGTGTCAAAGCATACTAATTACAGGACGGAAGTTGTGAATCGTGAGTGGTCAACCTCGTTTATTATATGCTCAACTTGCATAGCCATCATGATGGTTGTTATGATAACCTTCGGTATATGCACTTTCATCTACCTGCAGACCCAACCGCGTGGAGGAAAGAAACTCTACACGGCTTATGAATAATCTCGAATAAGCTCAAAGAATTTGTTGTAGATATTGGTGTCTTTATGTAACATATATGCTATTCCCGAAAGGAAAGGTTGTGATATAATCTATCTCCTCATTTCCTCATCAAAGAACTTCGGAACTTCAATAAACATCCTGCGGAACTTCTAATCAATTTTCTGAGCTGTTTGAAGGACCATACACATTCAAGCAACATATCTAATTCAAGGAACTTGGAGACCCGTAAGCAGTGCTTTAGATTTCGTATGCTGACTTCTCTATAATTGTAAAGGTGTATGTATCACTTTAATTCCGCCACCTGATATTATCAACACGTCGTATGCCAACCTTCCTACTCATCCAGTATTCTCTATATGGAGCTGAGAGCTTTCCATAATCCTAGAAAGCCAAAAGTTTAACGCAGTACTACACTTCCGATTCTATACTCTCTTCTTCTGAGTCTATCATATTGACGCGTAATTCTTTATACGTTCAATGGCACCAAAGACTGGTAAATATATAAGGTCATATAGTTGCTTTAAAGCGATACAATAAACACAGTTTGATTCGCACTTGTGATCAAGTATAAGTGGCAGATCACTACTGCTGCTCATACATGCACTTGAAGAAAGAGAATGAGAGGCAGCAACCACAAAGATAAAGCCGTCGCCTCAAAAATGGCGGTATGCGGTTTTAGGCCTTGGAAAGAGTTCACGCGATTTGATCGTCGCGATTCAATCGCTACAAGACAACTGTTACGAGTTCATTGCATACCGACCAGCTTGCATTTCGGTTGTGGTACTTTTCCAGCGCGAAATTTTTGAATGTAAAATGAAAATGAATGAAAATCGCGACGATCAAATTGCGTGAACTCTGTCCGAGGCCTTACACACTGTTCAGATGCTTTCTAGAAATTTACAGAACGGAAATCCTGAGTACGCAACTGTCATACACGAATAGAAAGACCGAGAGCAAAAGCCACAAAATGACTCTGCTGGCGAAACCGTATCATCGTATCCAAGATGAGCTCCAAGAGAAGCCTCTGAGAAAACAGTTTCAAATACAGGAACGTCTACTGAATATTCTGCCGACAACGGCGTAAAGCAAAACGTGTGAAACAAGCCCCAACATGGCGCGGGGGCAAACCTTTTGCCTGATGGGCTCTATAAGTGACAGCACCCATTTTTTGTCCACTTCTCTTCTATATGCCGACTGCTCTAGTCCGGCAGCAAATCGTCAGCGTCACGACCTAATATGTTGGCTGTCCGAGCTACAAACTACTCACACTAGACAACAACGGGATTTTGAAAAGTGATGCCACCCGAAGCACGAGCGTATATTGCAAACTCGAATTTTTGTGATTTATACTAATCGTAAGATAAAAACATCTGACCCACGATAGGTTTCTGCAATGGGTAGAAGAAGATACAATGGAAAAATCTAAGCATATCGCTCGGCTTGATATTGCTGATAATGAGCGAACGACGCACATCATCACCAAAAATTTTAAAAGATGGTGACAGCTTCACCAACCAGTCAGAGTTTGAAAAGCTGGAAAGAAAGATCAAGGGCTCAGCAACGATTCCGATTCTTTTGAAAGGAAATAAAGGAAAGACACTATATATTAATAATGTGAGTTTCACAAATATACAATTAAATAAAGGCTGAAAGCCTCACGGAACAATCTTTCCCATAAATGCCCAACTGGCAATGCACCGATTTGTTTCTGAAGCGAGGAATCTGCTTCAGAAGTGGCGATAGGAACGCCCGGTGACCGGGACGAGTTAGTTCGATAGTCAGAGTGCGCATATCGAATACACTCAAGTCGTAGGGTCCCACAAAGATTCTGCGTCTCAACCTTAACGGCAGGCGACAAAATTCAAATCAGAGCTTTTAAAAAAGCCCCTTTTCGGCGTTTTTGTGCCCTCCAAGCTGCATTTTCAGAAACAGCGGGATAAAAACTAGAGTAGTGGTATGTGACAAGTGAAGTGATATTTAGGCGATTGATTCGATTTGATCTCCACATTGAAGGCAGTGTCCGGGCAAAAAGTCGATTTTGAGATTTTGTGCTTACCCGGGCCTATTCGCTATGCTGAATCCGAAAATCCACACTGGAGAGCGCGAAAACGGCGAAAAAGGGCTCTAACACAGGGAGGAAATCAGAAGGTGGGCGGGGTCTCCCCACTGCGAATTTACGCTTCAAAGTTTCCGGAGCGATTTTCTCGAATCCGCTAGCCGCCCTGACATCACTATCGATCAAGTGCGAACGATTGACTTAAAACCGGAATCAAAAAGGTCGCTCTGGAAGCTGGGAGCGTGAATTCCTAATGGGGAAGACCCCGCCCACTTGCTCATTTTCCTCCGGCGTTAGAGACCTTTTTCGTAGTTTTCGCTCTTTCCAATGTGGATTTTCGGATTCAGCATAGCAAATAGGCCCGGATAAGCACATAATTTCAAAATCGACTTTTTGCCCGGACACTGCCTTTAATTCTCTTCAAGAGTGAGAATGAAACAGAAACGCGAATGTGAGTTCATCACTGAATTTCCCCCGAGCGGCCTCAAAGATATGAGCTTAAAGGCGCATCCGGGCAAAAGTTCGAATGGGTTCTTCGCTTAGATTCCAGAAACTCTAAGAAGCAAGCTAAGGAAAAGAAAAAATTATTCTATGTCCTATAGGGTTTGCACTATCTAATACCAGTCACTTGCACTTCTTCGGCGTGTCGCAGAAACCAGAACCTTGATTTGCTTTCGTGAATTGACGCCCCGAGTTGGTGTTGGGATTTACTTGAACTGACGAGTCCATATGGATGCATGGGATCTTAAATGGCCTTCATCTTGTAGGAACGGACTGTGACCATACGAGAAAACAAGTTTCCAGAAGAAATAATGGAGATATCAAGGAGTTTGAATTTGTAAGGATCGAGATATAAAGCGCACAAACATTTAGCACGTCTTGGCTCACTTCTTTTACGATTATAATAAAATCCACTGTAGAAGGAAAGGAAGAATCAAAAAGTGAAGAAGAACTGTGTGTTGCGAAGCTAGGGAGGGGAACGGTCAACTAAACGTTAGCGCTAACGCTCATGCAGGGCAAGCTCATCATTGCGCAACCAATCGCTGATTCACACCGGCAGGACCGAATGCCTGAGCACCGATCGGTAAATGTGTCTTGGAATACATAGCTGTTAGCCGTTTTAAAGACAGGGGAAGTAAACACCCGCTAACACGTTATGGCCGCGTATGATTTTGCTCAGAGCGCTCGCCATCTTCTCGGACATTCTGGTCGTGAATGCGGTTTATCTTCCTGTTGCTGTTACGCCACGCAAGTAAATCTGTGAGTTTTCGTACATGTTTGATCATTTTATGATAGACATGGAACTACTCTACTATGTATATATACAACAAAAGCGCAAATACTCCAATTTTGACAAAACTTTGCCCACACAGTTAATTGCTATGCTGATCACGAAGTTTCATTACATTTCATTTCATTTCATTTGTACGCTCAAGGCGTTCCATAAAAAAAGACACATCAAGAAGTTGGTAATACAGCGGAAACGAACAAGACATGTAAACAAATGCAGACATCATCATGTCAGTACCCAGTCTGATCCTAATCAGACTAATGTGAGAAGATGAAACAGCTTGCACTGAATATGTTGAAAGGCTAATAGATAAGTATGCAGATGTAGGCATTGAGATTTATAACTCCAAAACTTTGAATCCATGGAGATGGGACGCATGCCCCCTCGTTGCCAGCGGAACGATTTTTAGTTACTCTTAAAAGCAATCCGGCAGCTTATAAGGCAGGTCTACTGGCTCAGGTATATTAACCATAACCCAACCTCGCCGGAATGCTGGGGAGGCCCAATGACCCCAAAGGTGAAACGATTCACATTTTCAATCCATTTGTTGAAATAGCAAGCTGTACGATTGAATACTAGATAGCTGAGCGAAAAAGACTCGGACTAAAATGCTGATGAAACTGTGTTAGTAACTAGAACATAACGAGTACACCGAAAATACAAGTTTGACGCAACGTGAGGAGATACACGAGAGGCGTCAAAGAAATAATTTACAGCCATAACTGAACCCGCAAGTCAATGCAAGATCAACGAGCACCTGAAAAGACAGGTTTTAGAGGTAAAATGGAGAAGAAAGGTGATAGAAAACAAAGCCCAAAGCGATTCCATCCGCCATCATAGCACGTCCAAAGCAACCAATGGAAGCCCAAAAGGTCTAATGCAGAAGGCTTGCCCTGTTGTGCAACACTAATCAGTGTTAGCGATACTTGACAAGTCAAGCCTTCTCAGTCTACTCCTGAAAACATGACTACTCTCTGCACTAGTGGTCTCAACCGGGAGGTGCGAAAGCGACCTAGCCGACCTATAGAACACGTTGTTGAACATCAACAAGTATCTCCTGCGCCGGATTCTTGGATATTGCAGGTTAAATGGGCCTGACCTTTCGCTTGTAGGAACAAAAATCCAGTATTTACTGGCTCTTAGCTTGTTCTCTCTTCTCAGAACTTGAAAACAGAATACAAGATCCAAGAAAGCACGACGGTTTGTTAAGGATTTCATATGAAACCTCTCAAGCCGGGTCTAGTAATCGAGAGGGGTGGTTCCGGGCGATAAACGTCTATACAACAGCCGTGTAAAAAGCTGTTGAACCTTTTCAATTCTGCGAATATCCTTTCTACGAAAGGGGGACCAGACCTGAGAACAGTATTCTAAATGAGGAAGAACTACCCTAAAATTCGGCATATAAGATCGCCTCGCAGTAAAGACCGCCTCGCCGATAAGACCGCAAAAGAGCTCTTAGTTAAGTCCGCTTTCGTGACAGCCTCGCGCGCCTCGCGCGCCGCCAAGTCCCGCGGATAAGTCCGCCTTATTTTTTTCACATGAAAACAAGAAGGATGCGCAATTGCGCTGCCTTTTTTGGTCTCAGAATGAACCGAAGCAACAGATCTTTTCAGGTAGCATTCCATGTTCATCATAACAAACATTCATGGCAACAACTTGACCAAAAGAACGACCATCATTATCGTTATTATCAGCAACAATCAAAGCGTCGAAATCCTCGTTCATGCCTTCTATTATTGATTCGTCATCGAGAGCCTTGGTGAAACTGTTCGCAATGGTTTCTTCAGTGATTGCATTGAAACTCTGTAGACTAGTGCAGCTACCTCTCCGTAGGTCATCCTTTTCCTGGCGCCGCCTGTTGTGTACCTTGCTCGTGCTGAATCGGCCATCCATCGCTCCCATCCCGCCCTCAGATTGTCTTTGAAGGGCTTGTTGATGCCGACGTCGAGAGGCTGTAGATATTTGGTCATTCCGCCTGGAATGACCGCGATCTTTGAGTGCTCCTTGAAAAACTCTCGGACGTCTTCTGTGAGATGGCACCTTAAAAAAGCAAGATAAGCTCAATAAATGATAAAATACGAAACGATACCTTACAGAATCTAATATGAATAATGACTGAGAGGGATCGTTGACATAGCATTTCCGTTTGTTCCACACCTCATGGAGCCATGTCCTCATCAGTTCGTGATTCATCCAGCCTTTATCATTGGCTCTAACTACCACTTCAGGAGGGAAATTATCCTTGGGAATCCTCTTTTTCTTAAATATGATCATCGGTCTCAATTTCTCTCCAGCGGCCGTCACAGAGAGGACAACGGTAAAATTCGATTTTTCGTGTCCTGTTGAGTCAATCCTTACAGTATCGGCTCCCACTTGATCCACGGTCCTTGAATAAACCATATCGAAGGGCACTGGGACTTCATCGACATTCCCAAGATTGTGGGGGGAGATGTGAAGCGATTCCCTTTGTACGAATCTCCTGAAGTCCGCGCAGATGTTTTCATAATCCTCCGGAAGTGCTTGGCCGACACTGGTTCTTCGCCTCAGAGATAAGTTCTTTCTCTTCATAAAGCCTTTGCACCACATCGCCGATGCCTTGAAGTCCTGGTGGCCAGATTCCCGCGCTAGCTGCAATGCCTTCTCGCGAATGTCTTTGACAAGCACTGCTCGGCTTCCTTCTCGCGTCTGCACAATCCATGCATAGAGAGCTTCCTCTATTTCCTCCACCTTTGGCTTCCCATGACGGTTGGCGCGTCTCCTCAGTAGCATATCCTCCAGATTTTCTTTATCGGCCTTCCATCTTCTAACCAGACCATCAGAGACTTCGTAGCGAACAGCGGCAGCCAATGTTCCATGTTGCAGGGCATATTCCACCACGTTAAGCTTAAAAAGCGACGTGTAGGACTTCCTTCTGGGAGCCATTGAGATCCGAGATACCTGAACAGCTTGAGTCACAGCGTGTGAGAGTATGTTGGAAATATAGGGCTCTGCGTGATTGCGAACTTCGCTGAGTTAGCGGTCATTGCTTACTGGAATCACGCGGAGTCCTATAAATTTGTGCTGATCATCGAAAGGTTTACTCTTTTACAAGAAAAAGCAGGCGGCGTCAAATTTGACTACACTATCTTTTGTCTTGGATGTACAGGCTTAATGAAACAACAGATGAGAAAAAGAACAAGGAAGCCTAATGCTTTGCTAAGGTTGAGCATTCTCAGGCTGTCACTCTTCCGTTCAAGAAAGCATTTGACAAAAGCCGTATGGCATGGGTCAACAGAGACTACGTTCAGAACAAGAAAACAATAGAGGAAGCAAAAAGTATAGGAGTCAGGTTCAAGGGTTGTAGCCTGTACGGGTTCGAGAGATGTATTAAAAACATTGTAGCTTCCAGAACGATAAGATGAATGATAAGATGAGATGATCGCAATGATATAATGAGAAAACCTATTATGATTTTTCGGACAGGAAAATTCCATGTGTACAAGCACTGTCTTATATAGGAAAAGAACCCACCAGCGTATGTGATGACCAATCCGCGACGAAACTGTCAGCAATTAGACTGCACGACTTGTCGAATGCTTTGGCGGTCTCTTTTAGGGGAGTTCATGGCTTGATTCCAATCGCTGAAACATGTGATATCCAGAACAACTTCTCTGTAGCGTTTTGCAAAACTACGAACCGTTTGTGTCTTTGTACTTCGTCACTTACTGCTTGAAACAGAGTATGCGCGACGATCAGCGTTCTAAAAAAGCTTTGTAGGAGATGCATGTACTGTAGTTAGCCTATATCATAAACCTCCCCTGCCTAATATTCCTGAAAATGGGGTAAAATCCTACCTTACTATCGCGTCATCAATTCCAACACACAAGAAATGTTATATCTAAGAAAAGAACTCACCTATCCAGCGTATATGATGACAAATCCTCGGCGAAACTGTCAGCAACTAGTCTGCACGGCTTGTCGAATACTTTGGCTCTTCCTTTCAGGCGATTTCGCGGCCTTGTTTAAATCTACACCGGCAAGCTACGCGGGCGGTCGCGCGCGTTTGTGCTCCTAGGTCTCGCTTGCTCATGCTCAGGACAGACGGACGTATCTGCGATAGGATTTAGGCGGACTTATCTGTGAGACCTTTTGCGGCGTTTTTCCATCGATTTTCCTGCCAAAACTGCAGATAAGTCCGTTCTTATATGCCGGATTTTAGGGTAATGCTTTATAAAGCGGTATAAGTATCTTAATGTTAATGAGTATTTCACATAATGACCGTTTTTGTGAGTTTACGGTGTAGATGGTAGATGGAATCTAAAATTCACTGTAACCTTACGTAAAGGTTTCTGCAAACAGCCGTAGAGACTTCTGCAAACCGCATGTCCAATAATTCCTCTAGCAAGTTATAGCGAGATTTTGACTTCATACAATGTATGTGCTTTAATGGCAGTGTCCGAGAAAAAGTTGATTTTGAGATTTTGTGCTTAGCCGGGCACACTGGAAAGCGCAAAAATGGCAAAAAGGGCTTCAACACAGGAGGGAAGTCAGCAAGGGAAGGGGTTTCCCCACGGTGAATTTATGCTTCCAGCTTCCGGAGCAATCTTTCCAATTCCTTTAGCCGCCCTGTCATCGCCACCGGTCAACTGCGAACGCGTGTCTTGAAACCGGAACAGGCAAGATTGCTCCGGAAGCTGGGAGCATGAATCCACAGTGAGGAAGACCCCGCCCACCTGATAATTTCCATCACCCTTTAACACACTGACGACAATACGACCCACTTGGGTCGTACGTGTCCTGCCATTTCGGACAATACGACCCACCGGTGGGTCGTAAATTTTCGAAAGCTCTAACTTTGCCAGTTTACGGTAGAACTCCATTGAATTCTAGCATATGGTTGGAGATACCTAGACGATGCTGCGATCGCCATAGTCCGGCTTCGGGTCACTGTATGTTAGAATTACGGCAGGTATACCGTAGGCAGCGCACGAGGGCATAATCTCACTCAGGGAAGTGTAGAATGATGGGATTTCATCCTATTTTTTATGTGCACGTGCTTATAGACGGACATTTTTTTATCATAGCTTTTTGCATCATAACAGGTCATTTTGCTGCACAACACGAAGAATTGAGCCATGGCAATCTAGCATATGATATCCTAGATCACCAAAGCTTACTTTTTGACCTCGAATTGTTTATGCAGCGTTGCCTTGGTTTGCGTGTGATATTTTGCATGCACATCAAATGCAGATAACACTTTGAAGATGACTTTTCGTCTGTTCTTCTCGTCTGCCTCATACAACACAGATATAATTTATTTAGTGAAAGCAAATCCATCATAAGAAGTGATTCAGAAATGAAAAATCTTTAGCTTCGGTTGCATGCAGTAAGTAAAGGAGCTTCAATTACACACATGAGCACAAAAAGACATGACATAAGGCAAAGGTGATAAATCAGTTCAGAGTGGTGCACTTATGTTTACTGAAACAGTCTGCGCAAAAATGCTTCAAACAACGACTGCACCTCGTATTGACATGCTAAGGCCTTAGCGAGTGAAGTAAGTGTCATCTCCGTAATCAGCACCTTCGATAGCCCCAAAGCACAAATTTTCGCAGAAATTCGTGATCTCTTGCCGCCTACCGTATGACTACCGTAACCCTATACTGAGGTCCTAACAAATAAAATGAGTACCATTATCGTAATCAGCATCCGATAACCTCCTTGAGGAAGTTCTGGATTCATATACTGGACCTTTACAAAAAGACTGCCATTTCGGACAATACGAGCCTTTTTTGCTCTGCCAAACTTACGACCCACCCGTGGGTCGTAGGTTTGGCAGAGCAAAAAAAGGCTCCTGTCCGAAATGGCAGTAATCGAAAAATCGGCCTTGTCGTCAATGTGTTAAGCCCTTTTTCGCCGTTTTTGCGCTCTCCAGAGAGGAATTTCGGATTCAGCATAGCAAATAGGCCCGGGTAAGCACGAAATCTTAAAATCGACTTTTGCCGGGGCAGTGATCGAAAAATCGGCCTTGTCGTCAATGTGTTAAGCCCTTTTTTCGCCGTTTTTGCGCTCTCCAGAGAGGAATTTCGGATTCAGCATAGCAAATAGGCCCGGAAAAGCACGAAATCTTAAAATCGACTTTTGCCGGACACTGCCTTTGAATGCAGGTCAAGGAAGAAACTTTTGGGAAATTCTTACCTGGGGTTATCCGTAACGCTGAATCCGAAAATTTACATTAGAAAGCGCGAACAGTTTTGGGCCGTCTCCACGGACAGATGGTTCTCTTGCAATGCTGTTGCATGTAATCTCAGGACCAGTAGTCCGTCGAAGTGGTTTGAAATGGCGGAGTCAGGGTCCGGCACAGATCGTATGGAAACGAGCTTCGCCTTTGGGGCGAAAAAGCAAAGGGGATATCGTTTTTGTGGCCAAAAAGACGCAAAAAATTACGACGTTTTTTTAGTCGATGTTTTGTTTTTTGAGGGTTTTTTACAGATACGGTTTTAACACGTTTCGGACCACTGCTGCAGATGATGCAGCACGCATCTTTGAAGGATCTTTTCAACATTCACAGAAGGCTTCCTTTTTGTCCAAGGTTATAAGTCAAAGGCCTAAGCTCCTACTTTTCGAAAAGGTCTGTAGAGCTGTGCCATCGATATTTGTTCATGAGATATAAGGACAAATCGAACATCAGTTGCAACGAAGTGCGGCAACGCGAACGACGCGTGTGACGTCGCAGCTTCTCTTAGCTTTCAATACAAAAAGAAAAACCGTAGTTTAAATGATGTGTATCGTGTACAACATAGATACTTTCGGATACAATTAGAAACTGAGTTCTTGTTCGTATCTTTTGAAAAAGCACAGAAGTCCTTCTCAGACGACAAAATTCAAACACTTCGAATTCATTCAGAACTCTGGGTATGGATCTTATCTGATATGCTGATAACAGATATAGCACACAATCTACGAATTAAGGTCCCTTTGTTGGCTAACGGCTGAAAGTACCCTTTCCGCGCGCGATTTCGCGGTCCGAAACGTGTTAAAGGCATCGTCCACCCAAAATGGGGTCGATAAGATTTTGATGGCTAATAGTAGTGGGATCCCCAACTGTCTATTTCCCCAACTCGCGCTGCTAAAATTTGCTTCCGAACCAAGAAAATTGCTTCGTAAATCGCCCAAATGACGGATTCGCCACGTTGGCTCCTCCCCTTTGAAGGCAGTGTCCGGGCACGAGGTGGGTACTGGAATTTCAGTGCCATGCGAGAGTGCCCCCCCCCCCTCAGACACAACATCGCGCAAGTGCGAGTCATAACGCTCGACCTAAAGCAAGAAAAACGACCAGAAAGTGGGGAAACTTACGCCTTGGGGCGGGGTCCTCCGAGCTGTCCGAATTCCTGCTATGCGGCAGAGTACGCATGCCGCCACAGTTAAAATGTAGGGTCTCGAAGCGACTCTGCGTCTCTGCCTTGGCAGTGACCGTCGAATTTTGCACTGTGCGGCATGTTCTCGCCGTTTTCGCGCCTTCTAATGTGGATTTTCGGATTCAGCGTTGCGGATAACCCCCGGTAAGTGGATTTTCTAGAAATCGAGTTGTTGCCCGGACACTGCCTTTAAGTGGACGTGACGTTCCTCGCTCTCATCCGTGCGCACCAATCAATCACCGTTCCGGAAAACTCGCCATGCAAGTTCTGGGAACTGGAATTTTTGGGGTTTTTGAGGATTCTCGACTTGATATTCGGAATTAGGGATACGAGAAGGCCCCGAAACAAAAACAAAAACAGCAAAAAGAAGAAGGCGCGGAACAAGCAAAAACATGGAAGGAATTGAGTGGACGGTGCCTTCAAGGTCGAAGGAGACTTCGTAAATTTTTGCGAAAGTCAAGGGGAACTTCGTTTTTAAAAACGAAGTTCGGAACGGACTCATGCCGGATTCTGGGCGGAGTTCGTTCCTCTAGCCCAAAGCAGGAATCAAACAGGTGTGGAGTCCTGGCCCCAAGGCTTTATCCCTCCAGCTTTCCGACCATATTTCTTGCTTCTGCTCAAACGTTATGGCCTCACTCTTGCGCGATGGCATGTCAGGGCGACTTTCGCATGCATGCCATCAAAATGCGGAAACCCTCACGTTGTCCAGACACTGCCTTTAACGCGCAAAAACGGCCCTACTGTGCGGATGAGTATCAGTTTCATGGTCAGCATGTCAATCTCACTTCCGCTTGCCTTGTTTTGCGAAGCTGAAGATTGTTTACCTTCAAGTTGGTGTGAAGTATAATAACCAAAGTTTATAACAAGTTCATCCGCTCACGCACTTCGTGAGTTCATCTGCGTTGACAGCGTTAAACGTTAAAATGTTGTTATCAATGTCATCTTCAATGTCAAAACAGAAATAAGTACACTGTCATAATAGCAAACATTAGAAGCTGTTTTGAACGAAAAGTGAAACTCAGCGAGAATGGGTCGCGAATTTTTTGAGATTTACTTACATGGATTGTAAAAATGTGCAAGTGACTTGTTTATTCTTGTAAATGATTAAAATCATTTTTAAAATTTTTAAATTTAGCCTTGTAAAAAATTCGAAGGCGTGGCTGACGCCACGCCCCCTTTTTCAAGATTTTAGGGGTTATGGACCCGCAAAAATTTTGAGAAGCACTCCAAAAAATTTTCGGAGGCGTGGCTGACGCCACGCACCTTCATTTGAAAAAAAAATTTGCCGCCCCCCCCCTCCGGTCCGAAATTCCTGGCACCGCCACTGCTATATTGATCATACTGTATTCAAGTTCTCGTAAATTAGTGCTATCATGCAGCGTATGTATGTTGCAAACATAATTGCTTCTCTGAATATTCCAAGAACCAGTTCTGCAAATGGCAAATAGGCTTCCTCAGAAACAAAATCCGAGCACACTTGAAGGTTCGCGATCTGGATTGGGTGCCACCTCCGCCGGAGGAATGGTCCAAAAAAGAGATTGAAAAAGATGTGAAACGTTATTGGGAACTGGAATGGTCAAAAAGCAAACACCTGAAAGAATGTGCTGACCATGTTCTCCAGATAAGTTTTTTAATTATCTTTGCTACGGTACGTTACGATGTGTACCTAGAATACCATACTTCAAGCATATCAAATTGTTCCACCCTGGGTACACCATTTTTAGATAGTACCGGTTTATTTCTGGCCGGGAGAACGGGTCGACCTACCCTGCTATATGTGCGAATTGGCCATGGCTTACAACGGGAAAGTAAAGTACTGGGCTATGGCAGAAGATATGATCGAATTTCTCACAGCCCCGCAGGTCTCTAGACTTGTCAATTTATGACGATTTCATTTGGCAGTGGCGCTCCTAAGAAAGAATTTTGCAGCTGAACGTTGTAATGAACAAAGCTCTTTACGATATAGTGGAAAATGATGTCGAAAAACATCACAGGTAGATTACAAAACTAGCTGGAAAAAATATGGTGCATGTTTTAGCAAAAGCAACGATGTTCCTGCATACAAAATGGTCAATCTCGCGATGAATAATGGAAACGCAAGGATTGAAATGGTTGCGCCAATATTTTTACAAAGAAATGGCAAGCTTTCGATACTAAATGTGCGTCATATCATTTCTCCGAACATCATATAGCAATGAATTTAGGCTGGTGTTACTTCACAGGGAGTTTATTTTTGTTATGATGAACTATCGCTAGGAATTACGAATGTTTTCTACGTTCTGCTCGCGATGATACCACCGGTCTCAATCGTGGATAGCAAGATAACAAAAGAAACAGCTGATGCATATGGTTGGCGGTGCATCTGACAAAAGCCAGTGAGATCCGAGATATAAAAATTTAAGGGGACGGATGTGGTGAAGCTACTACGCACATCATGCCCTCATTCAATTGGCGATTTCGTTTCCAGCCGACATTTCGTGACGAGAAACCCACCCACTGTGTTTCGGGATCCTTCTGCGGCGGATACAAGGTAAGGGAAATTTTTTGCAAGAAATTGAAGTTCAATAGAATTCTAGAGAATTGTACTTCTAAGCAAAATGGACTTTTCATCATAGAATTTATAACGTTTGCAAACCCCTAGTGATTCTCAGTGTAAAATGAGAGCAAGCTAGTTTATGGCTTGTCCTAGTTATCGGGGGGTTAAAACTTCCAAAAAATATAAGAAAAAAAGCTCAAAGTACAAATCTACGTACTTAGCATTAGAGTGCGTATAGTTAAAGGTACCGTCCACCCTAAGTTGGGGGTGTTGAGCTTTCGGCAGCATAATAGTAGGGCCCTCTATCAATCCAATGCCCAAGTCGCGGCGCAAAATGCCGCTTCGGAAGCGAGAAAATCGCTTCGGAATAGCGAAGATGCACAAGGACCCCCATCCATGCCCGCCCATTTGTGCGCGCCCATCCAATCACCGTTCTGGAAAGCCGGCCTGTGGGTTCTCCGGAACGGGGATTGTCGGGGTTTTCGAGCATTCTCGACTTCATATTCGGAATCAGAGACATGAGAAGGCCCTGAAACGACAAAAACATGGAAGTCGAAAATCTGGGTAGACGGTGCCTTTAAGCTCTGACCTCGCTTTTCAGGAAGTTGCCATCGTCGGAGTACATAATGCAACCAATAAAACGTTTGAGTGTTCTCTAGATGGATGCAGGTTGGCACATCGATCACGGGTATCTTAATAACCTTTTTATAAAATTGAAATTCCATTCGCTGCCGCACAAATGCACAGATTATATACTACGCAATTTCTCCTCTATGTTTTGAACATGGTAATTGCTCTGTCACCCTAGGTCATTCTTTAAGTGGTTTGCTTTTTTCAAAAAACAGATTATAAATGGAAATCAAATCATTTTTTATAAAATTGTTACAGGGTCAATGTACCTCCGCTGAAGATGCCTACAGCAACGTTTGATCCCGGCCTTGACATCGAGCTGCGTTGGGAGCAGTGGACAAGTTGCGAGGGAAATGTCCCGTCTCAGAGAAGAGAGGGTAAGATTAGAATTACACGATTGTACTCGAGGATGCCAGACAAAAGTTTCTCCGAATGAAGGAGCATAGCATCGAGAGTTGGAATTTTCGCGTGCTTGTAATAATTTAACTTGAAAAAGGGAAGGCGCGTTGTGACGTTCGAAGAAGTATTTAAAGTGCAGAAGTTACTCGAAATGCTTGCAAACTCATCAAGTAAAAGTTCATACTCAGAGCGCTTTTCATTTTTATGTGTGTTTTGATGTCTATGTACAGAGTAGTACGAATATCCTTTTCTTTGCGTGGAGCGGACAGAGCAATAATTCATGTCCGAAAAAGTAAAGGAAAGAATCAGAAAAAATACTTTAAACAAAATGAGTAGAACCGTGCAGCACATTGCTACTTGGTGGCTCGCCCTGGTTTCGAAGTGGACGAAAACGCAGAAGATTTGGCTTCCACTATTGATCAATATATTTGGATGGTGAAAATTAGCCAACTGGTGCACACCGACTCGTTGAGAAGTACGGGTATTCGCCTATACAGGTATGGATTTATGACCTCCTGAGTTGCGCTGATATTCGGGTTCAAGTTCCTTTGTGGCATCGGCTCTGTATCGCGAAGAATACCTTACTGGATGTGCTGACATCGAAGAAGGCGTACTTGTAGCGGTAGGACTTTCATTTTTTGTAATTTTTACCACACGGGTATGAAGTTCACTTGGGAAAAGGGCTCCACCTGAATCTATGCTGTTATTAGCTACTTCTTCTAAAACAGATCTTCTGTTCAGGCAGACGACATATGGAGAAAATATTTCTTGTTACCAATGGGAGTAGTTCAGGAAGATGGCAAACCTATAGATCAAGAGGATAATGAAGCGTTTACTCTAAGAAGTCCTTTTCAGGCTTGTCTAAGGTAAGGGAAAAATTCAGCGTTTCTGCTGTTAGTGATTTAGTTATTATTACAGATACGAAAAAGCTTCAAGTACTGATGAGATAATCATTGGTACATACATGACTGAAACTCGTGATTGCCCATAAAGAAGAAACAGAAACGGATTGGTGGTAGTTATTGTTTTGAGGAAATTCACCGGCAAACACCAATAATTGAAGAAATAAATATTTGTTTTTACCACCTATGTTGGGCAACATGAACAGAGTCCGAAAGTGCCGATATTTGCATCTATTGTGGTTAGCGGATGAGCGAGGGGTAGTTGTCTCCTACAGTTTCGAGACTTTTGTTTCGATCAACATTAGCCAAGTAAGCACCCGCTTATCATTCCGGCAAAGGCTTGCTGCTCGTTTCCCATCCTTGAACTAATGCTTCGGAGAAATTTTGACACACTTTTTCATCTCCTAAACTTGTACGGCTATACTTCGGATTTGAGCAGTTGACATACGCTTTGAAAAAGCTTGGAAGCTCTTTCAGATGCTTATATGTGCAACATCTTTCCTCCTAAACAAAAGAGCAAAACAATTAAAAGTGTGCTACTCTCAAGCAGTTTAAAGTCGTAAAATCTCATGTTAAACACTAGCCCGGAGAAAACTAGAATAGCAGATGTTAGGCTCCATTCAGCTGTTCACCAAAAAAAATCAGTATGATGGATATTGGTTGAATCAATCAACTTGTAAGAAGCAAATAAGAAATACTACTCGAAACTGCTTAAGACCACATCTATGGCATTCTGGTACAGCGTTATTAGTTGGTTATGGTGACTGAGTCTACCCATTGTAGCGCTACTTAATTTCGGTAGTCTCGCACATTCTACTGTGCATTCGCTTGTTAGCTGCTTGAAGCGCTTGGCTTCGCATTTCAGCTATCAAATTTATTATAAATGTGAATATATAATAGATTGATGACACTTTGACTATTACAAGTCTCCTCCGGCTGACCCGCGGATGCTGCGAAAATCCCCGCAATTTATTATTTAAAGCCCGAGGTTGTCCGCATTAAGTGTCAGAGTCACTTTCCGACCTTGCATCTTACTAAAAGAAAGATGAGATCAACCTGTAATCCATATGATTTGAAATTCCCACACAAACATTCACCACGATTTATTATAAAAAATTAATTTGTAATTGTTTACGATCAATTCAGTATATCTTTTGTTCATGATCCCACCCTCTTTGGGGTCATCTTCAGTGGTTTTGGTGAGGGATCGTAGGGAATTATCGCTTCAGTGCATGCTCCTTGTGGAATATCCAGATGTGCTTAACACGTTGTCATCAGTTGTGGGGCTTTATATTTTCTCTGTTTTGATAGATAACAGTGAAGCAACCAACCTTCTTTTGGTGTGGTCACCTCTTTACTCTTCTTGAGGCACGGAGGTAAAGTGCATGGGGTGAGGTAAAAATTCTTATTCGCCTCTAATATTGCAAGCACATCCGCTGGCAACGGTACGTCTACCTAAATACGAAGTGCTAGGACATACTGCGAGAGTTAAAGCTCACCTTGGTGTTCACCGGAGGGATAGCGAGGTTAGGGACAGAGGATGTTTTCTGTGCCTGAAACGTATTTGGTAAAGCTGGAAAAATGCTCAAAGAAGCTTACTGGAACTGGCTGAGCTGCCGGCGATAGCGCTGGTTTTGCCGGCGCTGGCTGTGCTGACTGCGGCGGCTGCACTGGCTGCTCCGGCTGCGCTGCGCTGCTGGCCACAGGAGACACCGCCGGAGGAGTTGTGGGCTTTGGGACAGGCGGAGGAGCTATTACATCTCTTTGTCCTGCCGACGGCAGACTGCAGCGCTCCAGAGTGAGTTTCACCTTCTTTGAATAGTTGATGCTGCCCATAATTAGCTGAGATGTAATCGTTAGAGCACTCTGTAAGCATTGAGCAAAACTGACTTTTCTGGCGACATCTCTGTCCTTGATGTCAACGCTGTTTACTTTCAACAACACGTCTCCTGGTTTGACAACTTTTGATGCTGTGCAGCCGCTCTCCACCATCGCCACCACTACTTTTCCGGAGAAATCCTGTAAGTGATGCAAATGTTATGGAAAGAAAGTGAAAAGAGCAGGCTGTCGAACTCTATGTATCAATAGTCCAATCGGAGTTCCACCAGATCTCCATACAAGAGTGATTTCAAACTGATCGTAGCCTGGTCTTTTTTGAGGTAATGGCTGTAATTAGGCAGAGTCACGTGATTTATACACTAGATTCCGTCCCACCTTCATGACAAAAGTGCACATTTCATCTCTGAGATAGTCTATTACCACTGTTCCTGGCAGATTTGCATTGACTGCCGTAGAAAACTCTTGTGTATTCGTTACCTTCTAAAATAAATGGCACTGACATGGCTACCAAGGTGTTTTGGTTTACTCACCGATCCATTGACGGAAACGATCACATCTCCCACATAAAGGTATCCGATCAGCTGCGAAAAAGCTTGTATACTGCGTACCTGAGAAGCAGAGGTGTTTCACATCTCTACCACTCCACGCAGGGAATTCTAATCACCTTAGAATCTTTCACTTCTATTCCTACATTGATTGGTCCCTTGAGTTTGACCTGAGCTTTTCCCTTGACTAGCGGAGGGTTCAACTTCGCTTTCGTCGTCGGGCTCTCTGGCATTCCTGGTGACTTAGCTGGCACGCTGGCTGGAGTTGCTGACGCAGTTGATTGTTGAGATCCTCCTGGAGCGGCCATGATCGATGCTGCAGCAAGAAGACGTGAAGTGTTGAGTGGACCACACATTCAGCTTCAGGCACATTTATACCCATCGTGCTACGTTATCATTATCATCAGCCGCGGTGTCTTATCGCATATCTTGCCGTGAATCACTCTAAAACAAACAACCTCAATCTCCGAGAACTACAAAATTCATTGTATTCGACGCTAAAGAAGGTGTCAGCTGCTTATTTCTTTTACATTCCGCTACGTCATCTCTTCAGCAACATAGAGGGATTGTGGATAATTTCGTAAGAAATTGCGACAATCATACCGCACTACATTGATTAAGCGTAGACCGTCTTGTTCATATTCGCAAAGATACAAATTTCATTTAAACTCTTGCAAAATTTCTCCTAAATGTGGTTCGTCAGACTCTAGACAAAAGAGTAAAGACGAACACTAAACTGATGAAAGACCAAACCAACTGGTAATAAAATCTCAAGTGTGCACAAACTAATAATTATGCATTTTCACCCCTTTCTTTAGAATAATATCCGGAGACACTTGATGTAGCGCGAGCGACAATCAATCAATTACCATTTTCAGTAATTGCCTGCAAGTTTTAGGCATGCAGTCATGCATCTGTAATTAGCTTAAAAATTCAGGCTATCGAATTGCGACCAAATCACGAACATAAATCATTGTTATTGCCACAGAATCCATTATTGAAGATGATTTCTCACCGACCTAATGAAGTCCACACACACAGCGTATTGTGTGCAAAGCATTTCACATGATTATTCTGACGATTCTTTCGAACTGTAATCGCCATATGCGTGTTTTTTCAAAACGGTATAAAAACCTTCGAAATGATTGAAATCCAAAAAACAGGTCTGTCAGAGGAATTCGTCGCCATGGATCCTTTAAAGTTTATCTTGAGTCAAATTATACATTTGATAGTACTCACTGTAGTTGTAACGACCACAAATTTTCATCGAACGACCAATATCGAATAATCAACTTTGCGAAGATATCCGCACCAAGATTATTCGATTTGCTGATTTATCCAGATATTAGCGGCTTTCCCAGTCCAGTCCGGGCCATTATTTATTGGAAAAGGTAGATGCTGTTTTGGTCCCAGCACAAATAGTATTAAAGCGTGACCCCCTCCTCCTTCTTTGTGGATTACGTACCTTGGGACATCTTCATTTCAGTTCACCGCATCTTAGGGATCCTGAGACCAAATGAGCTTCGCCGCCCTCCTTTACATGATCATGGTAGAAAGCGGTTAGAACATGAAAAGTTTAAATTTTTATAGAAATACGTAAACAAATCGATAAACCAATACAATGACCCAACGAATCACCGCAGAGGTACATAGCGCTAAACAAACTCCGAAGACGTACCATTGCAAAGTTCCAGCTCAATCGGTAAATTGGCGGGCGTTTCTATAACGAACGAACAACCTCACGAATACCTTACAAAGTTTGAGTTTTATATATATTGGATTATATGATCAGATTTGCAAATTTCAAAATTTGAATATTCGAATGATAGAGTGATTGAAAGTGGCCGTATATTTGACTTCTTATATGGCTTGAGTAATTCAGAGGTTGAAGTATTCAGTGGAATCCTTCCTCTGTTGCAACGTTCTGCATCAGGAACTTATTGTTATGATTCATTTGCGATTTGAACCCCTTGAATTAGGTTTGACAATTTCCTACGAGTGTTTTACCAAGTGTAGAATGAAGTGATTAGATTGCAATCATGCAATTATAACGTGAGCTGTCTAGTACTCATTCAGCTTTACTCCGATCAAAAGGAAAGAGAGTTACAGCCCACAGCTTAGAAAATCTAGTCTCTGATATTCTGTTGACAGCATAGTGCACAGCATTGTATTGGCAGCCGGTTCGAACTGAAGAGGTAGCCTGGGCAGTTTCTCGTCATCAACCAAAGTATCTGTTTAGTACCAACTCTCCAACATATAGCAAATAAAGCGCCTTCCACAACCATTGTTCAAGCTCATCCCAGTATTAAGGTTGCACCATCTAAAGACTACCTACATTATTATTCTTAATGGTAGTACCAGTATTCACTTTTCATATTATTTCGCATTGGCACAACAGCGACCAAAGGCTGGCAATTCATATGAATACTTTAGGGTCGAGGAACAAAAGTCTTCCATTAGCGCTGCATTTTGATAAATAGCAATCCTTTCGCACGCTTGTGCAACAGTATGAGGGACCAGTAGCCAGTATACTTCGAAAAATTCGAAATTATTCATCAAATGAATAAATCTAATTATAAACCTCAAAAATTGCCTGTTTGGACGGTATGTGCGTTACAGAAACGCGCGTCGCTCAAGCAATTGGGCTGAAAGTTCGCACACACATGTTCTCGACCCTAAAAACGGCTTTAGGCTACTTTTCATTGGATTTCGCTTGGTTCTTCTATCGATTTATTGATCTATTTACTCATATCCATGGAAATGAAAGCTCACCGTGTTCTGACCAAGCGTTCTCCGATATTTGTGTAAACACGGATGGAGAAGCTCACTTTCCATCCGCGGTAAGGAGGATGCGGTGCTGCAAAGCGATGCAGCCATGATGAAGGACAAGTCAAAGCCAGAGTAACGGGAAACGCAGGTCTGGAGCGGATGCCTAAAGAAGAAAGGAAGAACTTGCCAAAGGATGAAGAAGAGTAGAAGATTGGAAGTTAAGGAAAAGTAAGCTGGACGCTTTGGAAACGATTCTGTACCCTTCACGGCATCAGGTGTGTACGCCAGCTAGTATCGAATAAATTCGAAAATGGAAAATCATCTCTATATATATAAAACTCAAAAATTGTCCGTTTGGAGGGTATGTGAGTTATAGAAACGCGCGCCATTCGATTGGGCTGAAAGTTTGCACACAGATGTTTTCGACCCCGGAGACGGTTTTAGGCTACCTTTCACTGGAATACGCTGGGTCCTTCTATCGACTTATTGATTTGTTTACGTTTCTCTAAAGAATTGAAGGCTTGTCATGTTTAATCAAGCATTTTCCCATTTTCATATGAAGGAGGGGTGAAGCTCATTTTCACCTCGGGAGCTTGAGGATGCGGTTTCGAAGTGGATGTACCAGGGTAAGTCATCTATAACATAAGGGGGGGGGGGGGGGGCTCGCTGTGAACAATGCCCCGGGCTGGACCGGGAAGGCCAACTAGTAACTTATAATAACGAGCTAAGGGTGTTTACGTGTTCTTGTATGTGTGTCTGTGTGTCTGCTGTCTGCAAAATTCATAGAGTATGTTTCAGCCCACGCCTGAGCTCAAATTTTGCGTAGCACATGCTACTGGCATGAAAGTCCAACATGCAAACGAGCAGATTCGCTGAGTGAATCTCTCATTGCGCATCAACTAGATCCACTTAGCTTCTGGCCCGCAAAATTGGGTCCGTAATTCCACCTTTTGCAAAGTCATGGATGTGTATGGCAAGTAAATGTGCAAACCATGAACCAAAAAAGTGACCAAAAGTCCACCATCTTAAAAGGCGTCAAAAAGAATTGATTGCGTAAAATGGTCAAATTACCAGGGTCGGTAGTAAACCTATCGAAACTCAGAGTTATAACTCAGAGTTAACTCTGAGTTATCTCTGAGCTAACGCGCAACTTTTTGACCCCCTTAACAGGTGTTTGAACAGATCAAATCCGGAAAGCGATGATATGGCAGGATTCTCCTTAACACGTAGTTTATTCCTAGTAGCGCAACATTGTCCAAATCGTCCTGCACAGGAAACAGCGCCACCAAACGCGCAACTAGTGTCTGCGATAACTCTGAGTTTGGTGCGAGTTCCAGTCTATCGTGGAACTCAGAGATAACTCTGAGTTTGGTCAGAGAAAGAGAAATAGTGCGCAAAAGAAGAGGGGCAGCTAAAAAGTCCTCCGGGGTACATTTTGCTCGTAGTTTAAGCAGGCATGATGGGGGTATCGTGGTGCGCAGTGATTTACAAAATTTTGAAATTTTGTAAAAACTTGGCTCAGGGGGTTATTCGGTGCGCTAATCACGCATATGGTACCCATTTTTCACTATGGGGTCATGTAGAGGTGTTACGGTAGGTTTACGGTAGATGGGAGAAAACCACGAAACTGATCGAAACTTGGTACACTGGGGTTATTCGGGGCGCCGATAACGAATATGACATGTAGATTATACTGCAGTGTCATCTGACGGGGTTACGGTAGGTTTACGGTAGATGAATTAAAGCGGCGGAATTAGCCGAAATTTGGTACACTGGAGTTATTCGGAATGCAGATTACGGACAATCTATCTGCTACATACACTGGTGACATATGGAACGGTTACGGTAGGTATACGGTAAGTAAGACGAAATCATGGAAGGGCAAACTTTGCCCGGAGGAATTATTCTGTGCGCAAACCTAATAGTCAATTCTTATCATTGCGTATGCCATCCGCTTTCTCTATTGTTTGAAGCTTTCAGCTGCGCAAAAGACCAATCCTCGTGATGAACCATCACTGCCCGATAGAAATCGAAATGAGTGAGGCTTTGGTATAACTTGTTTTGACCTGCTAAGTGTTAATGGAATGAGTGAGTACATTATGGCAAAGCAATTTTAGGTTTCGTGGGTGTGTCATGGTCTAGCGGTTTAGTGATGGGATCTTTACGCTAGACCATACAGGTTCGAATCCCTACTTTAACGTCGCTTTTACAACAAAGCGCTTAACAGCTCCTCAAAGCAAAACTCCGAGCTTGAGAGTTGGAATTCGGAATTACGAAAGCGGAACTCAGAGTTTCAATAAGCGTAACTCAGAGTTTCAAAAACGGAACTCAGAGTTATCTCTGAGTTAACGCGGAGCTTCAAACTCGGAGTTTCGACCAGATTACTACCGACCCAGGGTTTTAACTAGAGCATTTGACGAGATTTTTGCACAAAAATGTAGCTCACGGTGATTATTGTTCTTATAGCGACTGCCAAAACCATAAAAAAATCAAAAACCTATTCAAATTGCGTTTGTTCTTCTGCGAAAAGTCTCATGAGGACGAAATTACCGATTTCACATAAAAGAGCTGTCGGAATAAGTAGTTATGTAACTTTATGCGCGATAATCGCATTGCGCGGTGAGTTCCAGTTCCATCATTATGCGAGAATGGATAGGAGATTCAGATAGCAGAACCAGGGCGAGCCTCTACGAAGAAGAGATGACGCACTGCTTTCAAATAAACGAATTCGAGAAAATTTGAGATTTAAAAAATTTCGAATGAATGATTCCTGAGTAGAATCAGAAATGAAAATATCGAATGAATGAATGTCAATTACATTCGGACATTGGGGGTTGAATTTCGAAGAAATATTCGAATGAAATATCGAATATCTAAAGCAACCATGAATGATATCCACGAAAGTCCCCGCGAAATGGGCTTTTCGTGCGAATAAAATGGACTTAGTCCATGCGGTGCCATAAGATATCGCATTCGCGAATCCATTCATTCCATACAAAATTTCCTCAGCAAACCTTGGTGAAACTTTGCCTCAACCTGTTTGCTCACTCTTGCAAACTCATTTCCACCAAGTGGTCGATATCTGACTAAAGTGTCCTAATATTACAATGCCAGTCTTGTGGATTTTCTATTCTTTCCCACTTCGTTACACCTCACAAATTACCATTTATTATCGGTGACTTGCGTCTAAATTACTTCCAAGACTAGAATTCAAGCGATATCCGGGCCTTCGCTTTTTAAAGCTTCTATGAATCTGCATTGAATCAAATTCGTATGTAGACCTTTCTGCAGAAAGCAAATTTTGGCTTGCACTGCAATCTGTGAATCAAAATGTTTATCTCATAGGAAACCTTATACTACACTACAACCAAAAGAGTTTTTTTTAAGTCGGAAAAACTACTAGTCTGCTAGGGATGACTTTGCAAATGTTCTACTTTAGCTCTTCTTTGTCTTTCAACGCTAATGTTTATATCTCTAAGTAGTTGAATGTATGGACTATTAGCAGTAAGAAATTTTTTACAGAATTTTTCTTGCTAGCTAGCGGCACTTCAGTAATTCTTGCGACCAAACTCAAAATTCGTTCATAAAGGCCGTCATTGAGGTGCGGTTTTACGAGATTAGTCAAAAGATAGCTTCTGAGTAATTATATTGAAACGCAAATCTTTTTTATCTTTGAATACAAATCATTAATTTAGTTTTGGTTTATAATTTGAAGAGTTAACAAACTTTATCTGATTTACATAGGAATTAGCATCGACATGGTATCTGGAAACATTTGACTTTGTTGGCGAATACTTTGGTGATCTACCCTTCTTCCACAACTTTTATAGCATTTGGAAAGAAACACTCATTTCAGACTTCACAAAGACATAAAACTTTTTCCACTCTCTTGTTTCCTTAAAATAAGCCAAGGAACACATTCTCGAAAAATCGCAATCAAAAATGTGCGAAAAAGTCAAAAATGGGTTTAGTCCCAGCTCACCTTGCTGCTGGGAGTAAAATGGGCTTTCAAGTCCATTTAAAATGGAGGTAAATCCCATTTTACCCCATTCTAAATGGACCTTTCGCATGATTCTTTCGCAAGCGAGAGCTCAAGTAGGGTTGAATCAGTCTGATCCCACCGCTTTGCCTCGTGGTTGCGATGAGATAAAATTTCTTGGATAACGCTAGCGAAAGCCGATTTAGACCAGTTTCTACTGCGGACGAATAAAATGGGGCTTGAAAGTCCATTTTCCTCCATTATGGACTTTCGTGGATATCATTCCATATCTAAAAATTGCTGACATACCTGCTAAAGCCAATTCATTCATAATCAGCACCCTCACATCCTTATACCAACTCCCAGTTCCGTAGATCAAAATTTTCCAAAAATCGGCAAAATTGACAAGGTAGATTATTCATAACCAGCACCCTCACTTACTCCCTGTACCACCAGCTCCGTAGCTCAAAATTCTCCAAAAATTGGTAAAGTAGATTTTATCCATTAGCAGCTCACTTACCCACCGTCCAACTCCCAGCCTCGTAGCTCAAAGTTGTGCAACATGAATACAAGGAAGAATGCTCACAAGTGTAGACCTTTGCTGACCAAAAGTATGAGCAATGCAAAGGAAGAGGAACAGGCATGTTATCATATTTCCGGTGTATGAACTCGGATCATGAGCTTATGCCTGGAATGAGATGGGTTGCATGTTGGTTGAAGTATCATTTATTCTCTGAGTAAGAGACGCGAGACGCTTTGCGTACGTTTGATTAGCAAGTTCATATGAAAGTATTATTGCGTTTTGGTTGATTCACTAATAGGTTCCTAAAAAAACATGTTCGAGCTTGTCAAACAACGCGAGTTCGAGCACGATCCTTTACGACATGATGGTAGGTTAACAAAACGTGTCTATAGTACGCAGCCAATTCGCTGAGCTGATACTCAGCTTAGGCATTTTCGAAAATAGGCTGCTCTGATTTCCGACCCGCTCAGATCGTTCTTCTCGCATTCTTTTTCGCATTTTCGTTTTGCTCGTTTTTGGTGTTTAAGTTATTTTAAGCACCTCCTTTTCAGGTTTCAGGTTTCAAGTTTTCTGCGAATGCACTTTCCAACCGTCAGCGTCAGCTGTGTTTTCCTCTGGTCAGTATCATCATTTGGTAACAGTATCATTTGATCTGTGGAATATGTCTAAACTCAATCTTTGGAGTTTCAAATAATCCGAAATCGCTTTAAAGCGAGTTTGAGGGGAAAAAGGCTTGAACTAATAGAAAGAGCAAATCTTCTGATTGAGTATGTTTTCGATAAAATCTTGATTTGTTCGAGCAATAGGGTCAGTAAAAGACAAAATGAGGTCTTCGAGAAAAAAAAGTTTTGGATGATTGCGGGGGGAGGAAATTTCGGGGCGAGCTACCCATTAGCTAATAGGGCTGAAAAAGCTCTATCAACCAGTATAGAGCTTGCCCCGTAATTTTTTTTTGTCCAGGATTCGTCGTCGCTTACATGGATTTGAGTGTTCTCATGCACGAAGTGCACTGATCATCGACATATTCCTCAGACACATTCCTCATCGACACTTTATCGGACTTCGTCGAACCGTTTTCGGCTCGCCGGTGAGTCTGAGGCGAAGTCTGTGGAAAATCTTCTCAACGGGGCCGTCAAGCGCTGCAAGGACATTTCCATAGTGTCTACGGGTCTACCTGAATCTCCCTCAATCCAAAAATTTCGCCTAACCCAGCTGTTTGCAAAAACAACTGAGCATAGTTACTTTTTGTACTCGTTGTTTCAAACTATGAATAAATAGTATAATTTTAGCAGCGTTGACTTTTCAAAAAAAACCACTTTGAGTGGGGATTCAGTGTCTAAAGCTAATTTGGGAGAGGTTTATGGGCGTAATTTGGGATTTAGAGCTTGATTAGGGCTAGCTAGCCAGGACAGGCTTTCGGTAGTGGCGTACCCAGGATCTCCGTTCGAGGGGAGGGGGGGGGGGGGCGACAAAATCTTTTTTCGTATTAGGGTGGCTAACGCCATGCACTCCGAAGAATTTTTTGGGATGCTTCGCGAAATTTTTGCGGGCCCCTGACCCCAAAAATTTCAGAAAAAGAGGGCGTGGCAGCAGCCGCGTCCCCGATAAAAAATTTTTACAGGGCTAATTTGAAAGTTTAAAAAGTTTAAAAATTGTTTTGATCATTTACAAGTAAAACAGGTCGCTTGCATATTTTTATAGCACATTCAAGTAAATTTTGAAAATTTCGCGCCCCCCCCTCGGTACGCCACTGGCTTTTGGGGACGTCCGGTTCACAAAGTTCGGCAGGATCCTGGGCATCAGTTGCGTATTGCCGCTGGGGAGAACCCGGAGGTGCCGAATTGGCCCACCGGATGGATCCGGTCCCTTTGAGACGTGTAAGTCCGCACAGTGGAAGTCACTAGTTGTCACCGTGAAACAAGAGTATTATGTACGATTGAGATTGCATAATGGTGTGAACGGTGAAAGACCACGCTGATTGACAGAATTCATTCTAACATTCATTCTATAATAGATCCTTCGCAGATATCCACGCACCCTCCTGTGCTTTTTTGAAAAATTGCCCCACGATGAGCAACAAATTGAACTCACGGAAGACACATGGGTGTAACAGCTACACTTTCCCACCAAGAAAATGAGTTTTCTTGAAGAGTTTGCAAAACAATAAGATAGATATACATGTGCACCACTTTAACAGAATCACCTAAATTCTCAGCAATCATTGTCATGTGCTATAAAACTCTCATATTTCTACATAAAATAGTCAATACAACAATGAGAAACTCATCGTACCAAGTTTCCCTAACAATGCTACCAACAAAAAGCATTCACCTCAAAACGGACAATAAACATTGCTCAAAATCACTTATTAAAAAGTATAGTACATATTTAACCAATACTTGTCGCAAGTCAATAAATTATGTAGAAATAGCTACCTCAAAGAAAACAAACCAAATCGCTCGGCACCCCGTACAACAAAGTGAAAAGTGGAAAAAACTGACTGAATTTTGATGATAGCAATTATCAAACATGATCACATCAGAAAAGTTCACAGGATATCAGTTTTTGGGGGATAGAAAACTCGAAAAGGTGATGGTGTTTTCGACTCATAGGCAAACGAGTCTGCATACTGAGTGATATCCTGCGTGAACTATCACAGCTACAAACTTTGTCCAAGGCAAAATTACCTTTGAGCGCACATTACATAAGTATACATGATTCATTTTCGTGGTCCGTCGATCCTACGATATAATCAGCCCGATCCACAGAACGGCTACGCTCGCGTCCACGTCGTCCAGGTAGTCCGAAAGTCTCGTTTAGCTTAGCACTGTTAGCTATGGCACGATGGGCTCGTAATGAGCCACCCGATGGCGGTGAGGCTAATTTGAATGAAGGTGCTGAAATTTTGTCTCCATCTGGAGTGATAATATGGAATGTTATGTGAGTGGATAAAGCTCAGAATTTGCAACTGTAGACTAACTTTTGACGACAGCGGGTGTAACATGAGGTGAAGAATTATCTTTCGTGGCTGCTTGCTTCGGCAAACCAACAGCTTCTGCCACTATATCGAGATAGGCCATGAACACATGCAGAATTGATACATAGCCAAGACTGAAAATTTGTACTGTACAAACAAAACGGAATCAGAAATTATCCAAAACAATCCTCCAAAGTAATGTGATACGGAATGCCTAAGATCTGACTCCGTCTATCCTTCGATAGCTTCAACCCATAGCTATGTGAGATCAGCAAAACTATAACAGCTTGATCAAGTTTTTTTTGTCAAGGAAAAGGAATTGGTTGATAAGCTAATGAATCGATTTCAGCGCTTTGGTGATGCCACCATACCGTCTGCCAAAAATCACTTGTTTCACTAAGTCTCTTTCAGCAACGCTATTAGGCTATCCGGACCAAATTTTTTTCTGTGAATCTTGCTCAAACTTCGTACATAACGGTTATTTGACATGCTGATCAAGTATCACACTTTCTAGGCATGGAAATTCTCCCGTGGTTATGGTTTGTAATCAAAATCGTGGATTTGGATGGAATTCGGTCCAGAGTTTATTCGACGTGCTGATCACGATCATCATACCCTTGTTGCGTATTGGGACCTTTTCAGGGAATTACGATAGGTATACAGTATGTGGTCAAGACCACGGATTTGCTCTGAACTTCGCCGAATAGCGCCGGTTCAGCCAACTCGCTAAGATATAGTGTCTAAGACGAATAAACTTCACATACCAATTCTGTGCAGCCCAGTCCACAAGTTCCCTGCAGCCTTTCAGAGTTTGCTTTAGCGCATCCAGTCCCGTTTTCCGCACTGTGTCTGCATTAACTTCAGTTCGTAATCGTACTATATCTCGAGAAACAACGCATAACTGAAAGAAACGCCAAGATAATTTGTAATTCATATCAAGCAAAGTGTATATAACGCGTACCAAAAACACCCAGTCTATGCAACCAGAACTAGAAAACCACGAGATCAGCTGTGATATCTGCGCTAAACTGTCGGCAGAGCCACGATTTGGATTTTCTCCAACCAATAAATTCACATCTGTGGAAGATTATAGAGAATATCGGAGAATATTGTGGGATGCGGCTTTAAGAACTAACCTTGCCACTGATCCGTACTGATACTTTTGCCATCAGGTGTGTCAAGAAAATGCGTCATACTACTGGAAGGCGAACCTAGTGTGGAGCACGGTAGTTCATGATTCCCTAAAGCGATTGCACCGTTAATAGTTGACATTCGCAGAAAAGGATCAACGGAAAGGGTTCTTGCGAAAGATATGTTGCCATCACAGTAGCTTCACTCATCATAGTACGTCGTTCATTATCAAAGAACCTACCATTCTCGCGAACAGGCATGAGCTGTGCATCCTCAATCATTACGTCAGACTGAGAACTACAACTCATTGCACCTGTAGTTTTCTCCTTGGAACTGCTTGTACTCATCGGAATGATCTGTCGTGATGATTTTGTGACATCATTCGGCTGCGTTCCTAAAAAAATGGCCAAGTCTGTGCAAATAAGTGCGAGAATGCTCCCACGCTTCATATCAAGCCAATCCATAAGACAAAACAACAGTTTGCAAGCACGATAAATCATACTGAAAGCTACGCTTTGATACTTACCGTTCAACGAAAGCGCACTTTGGCTACAGCGCATACTTCCAAGCTTTTTCTCTAACTGATCCACAACTTTCTTGCTTGCTACAGGATAGGGCCAGGAAAACTGAGAATGTAGGCGGGTAAGGGCGAGGGAAAAATCCTGCACCGGCTTTCGCTTGGCTGCAGACAGAACACGGGAAACATCGAGTTCCAAAGCAGTCACAAAGAAACCTCAAATGAAGATCTTGTAATATAAGACTGACCATATGCAATACGTTCCAAAGATGACCCACCAAGATCCCTAATGCAGTACTCATCTAATAAATGAACAGCATGCCCATCAAGGATAGTATTCATCTTCTCAGCTATTGGATTAATTTGAGTTGGAGACGGAGGCGCCATATCATTAGAAACAGCCTAAACGATTTTGTGCACGAAAGGTACTAAGATGCTCAACAGATCAAAGAGTAAGGGACGCACCCGTGCTGCAGTTCGTTTTCCAGTGCTTCCAGATGAATCCTTTCTAGTGGCATCGCGGGAGTCTGCATGTGAGTGCCGAACTTTCGAAACTCTTCCAGCTGTAAATGACTCCTTTTAGAAAAAGAAAAGGAACCTAGCAACTTGGAGGCAAATAAGCAGGAAAAAACCAAGTAAGTCGAAGTCACCCGCTTGGAATCGTGCAAAGACGAGATCATCCGCTTCCGCTACGCTGTTGATTGAGGCTGCATGTCGACGAGATGACGTTTTAGAAGGAGGTGGGGTTCTGCACAATAAAAACAGTTTGTTTGAAGATAAGGTTATAAGGTACCTTGCAGGGCTATCCATGTCTTCCGATCCTATGGCTCGCGTAAAACGTACCATATCCTTTGCAATGCTCCACTCACCAGCAGATAGCGCCTCTCGCAGAAGCCGCAACGCTTGCTAGAACGAAAAGAAGATTTGAGCAGTAAAGGTCAGAAACAAAACTCGACCGACCTCTTGACTTGTCTGCGCACTTTCGATACTTTGCAAAACAATCAAATAGCTAGCAGCTGTATGCAACTGACCATCGCGGATGCAAACCTTTGCAGATACTGTCATATTCATACAATATGTTTAAAATATGATTACCTCGAACAAATCATTCGGTGAACCAGTGACTGAGAACAGTGAAGACCACAATGCCAATTCAGTTTTTCGAGCACAATGAGCAACAGTGCGCAGAAACTCCGGAAATTCTTGGATGAATGCAACGCATCTGGGTAGCAGGGGATCTGTAGTGATACAACAGATTATAATAGGAAACAAGTGCAGAAGGTATAACTGTTGTACCAGGTATTGGTTCACTACTCGTGGCTTCTTCTTCTAATACTCCATGAAGAAGCAACTCGAGAGAGTGCGCAAAGTGTGGCAGATCACGACAAGCAGCAGCTACTTCCAACGCAAATACGCCTAGATTCCTCTTAAGTAGCTGTCGCAGAATGTGATGGGCGAACACCTAAAACTACGCTCCTTCAAAAAAATTGTTTGGAATGGTCTTTATAGCACAAAAAAGTCAAGATCGGACAGAAAAGATACCCAGCGGATGCAATAAAACCTTATTTCAGCAGAACAACTGACACTTAATGCACGCCATATTTTATACTGATGGACGGGAGAAGTTAAGTCTACCTTATGGAGTAAACTGTACGCCATATTGAGCAAAACTCACTTCACTGTTTCGATGTAAACTATACAGCACTGTCGTACGCTTAGCACCATTGTGAAAGGACATTGGTAAGCTTTCAACTCCAATTGCAAGGCAATCGTTGGAACAGATGACTGAAAAGAGCAGTTGAGTACACATGTCCCACGCACTTCCCTCACCACATGCGCTAAGTTCTCACGGACCTAATGGACAGATATCCAACTCAAAAGGCAGCATTATTCTCTTGGAGATGAAAGATGTGTCCTGTGTAGTCATATTACGTCGTGCAGACACTAGCGGCAACCAAACCTAAAGGATTAAGTTTAGATACGTAAGAATCAAGCTCATGAATATAGGCACCCTCATGCCACGCGATCCGCAGTTGATCCATAAGGCATTGATTAGATGAGGAAGTCCTTTAGGTTCTTCATCAGTAACTGCTCGATAATGCCAAATCTGTTCGACAAAAGACGCTACCATAATCGGTTGACTCAGCTATAAAGCGCCATATTATATCAACACAGATACTCTTGAGATCAATACAAAAATACCTGGAACTGCTCTTCGGAATCGTCTTTCGTAGATTTACTAGGATTCAGCGTTAGTAACCGACCGGATACGTTGATAAGAACCGTATCAACTCCAGGGAAAAAACATAATGCTGCTAAAAAACTTGGTTTGCGGTGTAAGTCGCGAAGCGCTATGCAGGAGCAAATTTTCATGTCTAATTATTCACAATTCTGCAACTCACATGAATCTAGACTCAGCTGCGTCAGGTGTATTGACACCAGACATGCGGGATGTGTCACTAAATCGCCAACGCGTATCTCAGCAATCCTTTCGACTGAAACCTGAAACAGAAAACACCACCAAAATAATTTTGGCAGTAAACTATTATTATTTTAGAAAACGAGGTCCTCACTCTGATGTAATCCTCTCCACTAGAAGCCTTTTTCGACATATGGTGCATAATTATCCTTCCGTCAATGTCAAATGTTACCAAAGCATCGCTCCTAGATGATAGTAAATTCAATGTTATCGTCCCGCAAACGAAAAACTTTAGATACCTGAACGACATCATGATCACACGACATTCCAAATTATGTACGGAAGCATAGCGATTGTCGAGCTTTTTGTTCAGAGGATAAAATCGCAACTGTTCTCGAGACAGATCTATATCGTAGCAAGCAGTACCAACAGTTCCCTTCCACACGAGCACTCCACCGGTCACCATTAGCGAAGCTTCCTGAAGAAAATATTTGATCTCTTGTGCTGCTCATGACGTCGACAAACAAGCTACCAAGAATTCTGTTGGACCAGCATAAATGACTTACATGACTTTCGTTGCCAAAGATCTTCCACCTGCCTGCCGGCAGCGTACAATGTGCTAAACCACGGAGCCCTGCCACTACAAGAGTTTTGGCACAGTCCTGATCGACAGCAGCGTACTGACAAGCACATGTTCAAATTTTGGGTATAAAAGAAATTCATTAAGTATTCTTACTCGTATAGGCCAGTTTGAGGCGACATACTCGTGTGGTGGATTGTGAGTAGACCAGACAGCATGTGGAGCGCTGGCGTTGTTTTCACGCTCACGATTCGAACTGATGAGGATTCTCGAGCTACACATTAATACGACGTAACTTGCATGATCCTGTGAGAATAAGAGTTCCTTGTCATTCACGATCAAGGTGACTTCAAACCGCGCCAGCTCGCCGTTAGCCGCCCGTAGCCGCTGGCAGTCGCTCGTAGCCGCGTTAGCCGTTAAAAATCCAGTAGCTTTCACAAATCCAATAGCTTATATGCAGCCGTCTAGTGCTCATTTTCCATGTTTCTTTTTCTCGCCCATGTATGATATTATTTTTCACTGTCGTCATTACCGAACTGTTCTGGACCTTTAATAAGCTATGATTGGCCAAATCATATGATCCGGTTGTCTAGAACAATCTAATTAAATAATTTACCCCTTCCAATTTGAACGCGCTAATCCTTCCAGGAGTGCTTCGCAATTCTTCAAGTTTGATTAAGTTTCTGCTCATATATAAAGCTAAAATCATGAAAAGTTCTGCACCTGAATCATATTTTTTTACGCTTACGCCAACGTATATCCCTTGTAGTTTGAGGCAAAGCGTTTGTCTATACAGTCTTCCACCAGCAACTGAAGAGTGACGACAATAATCAGATGAAGTACCTAGTATGTCACTGCGCATGAGGGAAAAAAAGAGCATGGAGGACGACGCGTAACCGAATGTATCAAAGCTAGCGAAAATCTGATAATCTCGCGCATCTTTAGAACAAAGCGACTACCCTGAATTTATCGGCGGCTATAGGCGGCTGGCAGCGTCTAACGGCGCCCGCCGGTGCAGAAATAAGGCAGCCTTACATTGCACAGAACGTACCATGATAGGGTTGCATAACGCAGCCGATCTAGCCATAGGTAAAATGGCTAATCCGTCGCTCCGTCCCAACCATAAATGATACCCTTCAGGTCCCCAGTCAACCGATGTGTATGAAATCGAGGGAGCACCATCGCTGAGATAACAGCATGCACATAAGGACTTTCGAAGACAAAGCAAAGCACTTACCTATCAGCGACAGATTCTAGAGAACACCACGTCTGAGTACCGAATGGCGTGAATACAGCTAATGTTGGAGGTAAATGAGCTGCCGTATCAGATCCATTACTCTGCATTACTTTTGAAGACCATACGGCAACGAATGCACCTCCATTACTCAGCACTTTTATTCCAGATACGCTGCCTACCCGATTGGCAACATCTGAAAATAAGTGTTTCTCATTGCTAGAATGGAATAGGGACTAAAAAAAGCTGATTTCCCTCAGTGTTCAACTTTCACAATTCGTTCGCAATGGTTTATAACCGACAATAGCACATCCTCTCAGTACAAACGTTGCAGATATGAACTAGCAAATTCACATACTATGAAAATCCATCGATAGCATCTTATAGCAAAGAAACTGTCATTCGTCCATTCATAAAATGGTCAACGAACAAACTATGGAAAAAAGTTCTGACCTGGGCCATTCTGCACCTTGAGGGCAACTCGAAATGTTTGAATAAGTGACCCATCAGCATCATCCAGATGATATGCAGCTACGTCTCCGCTGAACGTTATAGCGTTTCCCAACTCAGTCTGACAAAACAAAAGAAAAGAAGAAAAACTTACTTCGCGCAGCCAAACGTCAGTAGTCGGAATTTGTGATTCACATCAGTGCATGTTGCATCTTTCATATTTAGCGCCCAAACACCGAGAACACTCTAAAGATGTGAATAAGCTTCTATTAGTACATGAAAATATAAAAGAAGCTCACATTCGGATGAAATCGTGAGTCGGATGATGTGAGTAATGCAGCGCGACCATCTGACAAAACTATGCAGTATCCACCCACGAGCGGTGCATAGACTGCATCTACCACGTGAGCATTCTGGTCGGTGACAAAGTCAGCTAAACACAGCAGGATTGGAATAGATTGGCGAGTTTGTAGAGAGCATATATTCGAGCTTACTTACGTTTCGATTGCAGCTGGTCGTGTGCGAAAGGGACGGCTGGAAGTCTGATGGAGTATTCTGCGCTTACTTGGCCGTCCCAGGATATGTGATGAATGAATCCATTCCGTAAACAAACAAACAACTCTTCGCGGAGTGGAACACAACTGCAAAAGTAAGCAAGACACCGTATAAAACCCAAAGAACATGACATCCACATTTTCAACTAACCAAGTAGCAGATGAAGCCAAATTGATAACAATTGAGGGAGATAAAGTTAAAGAAGGACGAGGTCCTCGAAGAAACAGCTCTTGCGAGCTTCGCCGAAAATGTGCATCAGGGGGGTCGATGAGGTTGTAGCAGTTTTCACTTGAGACAATCACCTTGTATATTAGGAGATTGTTACGCGAGGTCTGTAAAGAACGCAAAATGAGTTGTTTTTAACGTGTTGTCGGACAAGCAACAGGATGGAAATGAAGCAAAGCCCAAACATTGAAAACTTCGTGATAATACAACATGTCACATGATGAAAATTTCCAAGAGTAAAAACGATAAAGAGTAAGAGACAGTGAAAGCGTAGCGTGACGCCTAGGATGTCACGGGGTGTAGATGTATGAAACAAGTAAAAAATACTTAGTTGAACAGGAAAAGCAGATAGTGGGGTTAGTTGTAAATGGATTCTACAGAGCTGAACTCAGTGTGTAAAAAAAAATTAAGTAAAAAAGATATTGAAAGAAAGACCCACCGTTATCACTATATGTGAGGAATCATAATTCCAGTAGGCTTTGTTCAATGTCCCCCTTTCGATTACGTCGCCGGCTGATATTCGCAGCGTACACAAAAGGAGTTGAGGCTGGAACTCATAGCGTCTATTCAGAAAAAAAGTTTTTAAAAGCAACGTACATAAGCGAGCCATATATAGATACAATCCGAAGTCACTATGGCCATAAACATCTTCTCCCTATTCGAAGCGATGCATTTGACGATACGATGCTCACGCAAGTCGCCATCCTCATTGGGAACAGGCAAACGGAACTTAGTTTCACGGTCAACCTGAGAAAGAGTTCTGAGTATACAGTTCATGTGCAAAAAGCATCAACTTACCGGGATATACATAATATGGCGAGATAATCAGAACATTTATGCCCATAGATCAGAAGCAACCCTCCACAGCGAAAGCATCTGTAGTACCGAGGTTAAATGAGGGGGTCTGAAAAACAAGCGAAGTTTTCAACTACAAAAAAGTAGAAGTTGGGAGCAATCTTGACAACGGAAAGGAAAAAGAAGTAGAAAGCGACATAAACAAAACTATAAATTTGGAACTCCTTTCTAATACTTAGTCAGCACATGAAGACCAGGAACTTTGCAGCAAAAGATTGATGCATCGAAGAAGAGCAGAGCAACTGAAAGCTGCATTGGCGTCTATTCCTATGCAGATGGCGTACTTGCACAAATCTATTTGAAGATAGAATTTTTGACTTATGGTAGGCGCCAGACTTACCCGGTTCAATCGGTTCATGCGGTTCACTCCTTCGCTATTGGTCAAATCACTAGATTGACTAATAGTGAAGAACCAGGACAAACCAGTTGAACCGGGTGAGCCCTGGCGCCTACCTATCGCGCTGCTAATTTCTAGTTTGACTCGGTTAACATGCTGTCTTTTTTGGTTAGCATCATTTCCAGCTGTTCTTGCAAAGTCGGAGTCTCGAGCATATTACATCAACCTTACTATAGGTAGGGTAGGAAGTTTGTGGCAATCAAATATGTGGCAAAATTGGCACTCAGCCTTGTTGCGCTGTAGGCGCAGCGCTTGAAAATGAGATATATACATGGAACTCCTGCAAGTCCTTTTCTTTATCATCCAATCTGTTGCGCTGACTTTATCCTTTACTTCTTTGGTACACAGGTCCTACAAGTTTGCTGCATCCGTTTAGTTTTTCGGTCGACTCATTTTCGTGTGTTTCTCATGCATATATGTTTGGTCAGCGCTGTTCCATCTTGTATAGCACAATAACACAAAGTGTTGTATATCGCTAAAACTTTACCTGGATTGGTTATTTGCTTGCCAGACTGATAGATATCATATTGATGTCACGCGATAGCGCCAGTTCTGTTGATAGGTGGATATACCCTTCACGCGTATAAGGCGCGGGGGATTTTTTTCCGAAATCGACCAGCTCAGACACGCCAAAGGACTTTACAACCAAAGGGCCCTGTAACGTGCTGTATATTGCTTGAGAGAATCGTGCGATTTAAGGATTTCTTTTTGGGATGCAGTGAACCGGCTGAGCGGCTCGCTTGAAAATTCGAAAAATTGCGCCTTATACGCGTGAAATTAGGGTAGGTTAATTGCATCAAATCTTCAGATTGCTCTAAGCTTTGCCTAGAGTAATTTTCAGCGAGACAATTTCGAACTTCTTATTGTTATTTAGCCTAAAAGCCTCCACGAAAAGCGGTGTTGTTTATGTACTACTAGTTGGCAAACCCGGCTTCGCCCGGCCCTGTCAATAACATATTTGTAATCAGCATGCTTGATTACCCCCTGTGCCAACTCCCAGCCCTGTAGCTCCTGTAGCTCAAATTTTGCAAAAAAGATAAAATCGATATCGATCGATACGAAAAGTAGCCTATGACACGCTCCCGGCCCCGAAGTGTATGTGTGCCAAGTTTGGTCCAAATTGGTTCAGAAATAAAATTTTCTATTCCGCACATACGTACAGACAGACAGACAGACAGACAGACAGATAGACATTTAACTTTATATATAAGATAAGATATCACTCATGGTGATTAATCCATAATTATGGAAAATTTTTTTGCAAAAGCGCTATCGCATTCGCAAACATCATGCTATATAGCCTCGTCTTAAGCAAATTTAGGGTTTCTGGCATCTATCCTATATCGTCCGCTTCCGACTGTACGTTGGGCGTACAGTCGGGAGGGGACGAGCTATGTAGACATGAGAACACATTGGTAAGCTTGTTGAATCTCTACCAAAAAATAGCCTTGGCGATTTGATAGCGAGAGATTATGAAGAGCAAGGTTTTGAAGTATTAACATGTTTACCAATGTGCTAGAATGTCTGCAAAGCTTCGCCCAATGTTTAGCGTGGAGGCGACTTTAACTAACGTTTGAAATCAGTTTGGTAGCAGTAACAGCGGCTCTAGCACTAATGTATGGCAAAGGCTTACTTGGCACCAGATATCCTCTCCGACTTACCATCGTCGCATTTTTCATCCAAATGTAAGAATCATTGCTACGACTTGCAGATCATAGTAGGTCGATGAGTCAAGTCCGTGGTAGATGCGTGATCTGTACATCAACATTCGTCAAGAATAACATCGCTGCTTTGCAGTGCGGACATACTTTCCATTATGACTGTGTTCATAAGTGGATTGAGGTGAGTCTGATATTAAGGTCCACTCATCGTGTCATTTGAACTTTTTCTAGCGTTCGAAAACTTGTCCGAACTGCAGGGTTCGCACCACCGAAAGACAAATTATAAAACATCTTTTCTTCGACGCTCCCGATGATTTGAATACCACGCAGTTCTTTTCGAGTAACGGTGCTCAGGTTTGTATCCTTTGCTATAATTCTTTTTTGTGCAGTATTTCTACTTCCAAGCTCTGAATCTTCGTCTCTTTCACTCATGAGCCTATTAGAACTGGTGGTTCTTTGTAGTTACCGTACGCTTCATCGACCTTCTTTTCATCACATTCTTTTGAGGTCGAGGCCCTATCAATAGCTCTCGAGAAGGAGAAAAGTGCTCATCTCGATGCTCAAGAAGAACTGCGAAAGCTTAAGGACTGTAATTCTAGTCTCCAGTCTAAGGTAAAATTTCGTTATTGCTTCTCCTGTCCTTGTTATATCATTATTTCAGCTCGATGCTGAGAAAGCTCGTTTTCTGAAGAAAGTACCGTCGTTAGAAGCACGGAATCGGCAGCTAGAAATGATGTTGGTCGACCAGCAGCAGCTTGAAAGAGAACTTGAGAAGACGAAAAGTCGATTGAAGGCTTGCGAATTGTATGTTCCATGGTTTATCTCTGGTATTTGGTCATGCTGACATTCGCAGCTGCAGTCGAGTAGATTTAGCGGTAAATATAGTGTGCTTGCACAGAAGGTGAAATGCGGTAAAATTGGCGCGTGAAGAAATAGCTTCGACTGTGACGCCGGCCAATTGCGCGCGCAAAATACCCGCAGTACTGGCGTGGCTACTTGTTCACGCGCAAATTTCACCGCATTTCACCTTCTGTGCAAGCACACTATAATTACCGCTAAATCTACTCGACTGTACATTGAAGCCTGTGCGATTTTGTTGAAATAGAGCGCAAAATGTTACTATCTATTTTTTTGAGCATGTGGCTTTTGTAACAATCTTGTTACTTATATAAATTTCTGTTTTCCTCATTTTCCAGCTACAAAGCTATCACGGCAGGCAAGAACGAGGAGGCTTTGGATAAATATATCAAGGATGACGGTTCTGTTGAAATGGGACAGTTTCTGAATATTCTGAGAAGGTTTGTTTTCTGTCAAATAGAATATTCAGTGTAGTTTCTATTGATTACGCCTTTCAGACAGGTAGAAGAGGCGAGGCGACAACAGATAAGTGTAGCTGATGAGTTGCGCGCTGAGCGGGAGCAGCTACGCTTGTCAAAACGCAAGGAAAATGACCTGAAAAATTTTGTGAAGGTAAATAGTAGTGAAACTTTTCAGACATGTTGATTGTAACGTAGTTTTTCACTGAAAATACTTCGAAGGTGTTGGAACAAGAACTGCGAGATGTTCGTGCTGCGGCCAATATGTCTAAATCGACTCCATTCAATCCTAGGTTAAAACATCTCGTTTTGGATAAAAGGTAGGTGAACTGGTGTTTTCTTTGTCATTTCAGGTAGGTGAACTGGTGTTTTCTTTGTCATTTCTTTTACAGAAAAAACTTTTTCACACTGTTTATTTTAACTCTTTCAGTCCTCAAAAACGTGGTTCTCTCGGATTTGACGAATCAATCGATCTCAATGACGCCTTTATCAATTCCGCTTTGAGAAAACCTCCCAGACCAGTGAGTTCCTAGTTATATGTATATGTAAATAAGGTGGTTGGATATGAAATATCTTATGATGCTTTGAGGTTTGTGTGCGAGAGAAGGTCGTTTCAAAAGTTAGTAGACCATTGTTCGATGAGTCTTCGGATGATGATGGAGCTGAAACCAATGCTAACGTGTCACTAGAATATCCTCCTTCACTGGACAAGATGTAAGAAAGCTTATTGCAAAAGTTTGAAAAAAGTGATTTCCTGAATTTAGATCTAGCCCTGTAGTGCCAAAAACCTTACGCGATCGAGTTTTGGCAGGTCAGTTTTTACTGTCGTTTCTTATCCTTGCTGCTTCATGTTGAGATGTCGCTTTTGCTATCAAAAAACATTTTGCTATCTATGTGGGCTAGTCTATATGTACATTAGTCAGAGCAGCGCTGCATAACGTAAAGGGCAAATCAGATTGATTTAGGAACGGTTGCGTTCTATTCAGGAAATCTTGGGATTTGCAGTGTTCATTCGATATTAGATACAGACGAATCAAAACTTTTTTGTTTGCAAAGTGTAATGATGTAGCACTTGCATCTTCTTGACATGTGTAGTTTTTCCCCACTTGGGACAACAGAGAAACAGATATTATTTTTGAGCTGCATCTTTCAAGCATCATCTTACGTATGAGGTATGTTTCTTTTACACATTCTGATTTCATATTTGTTACTTAAGGATCGCTTCATGCTAAGCAGAACAAAGTAGGAACAGCTCATCGAGCCGCCGAGAAAGCCCTGGAGAGTTTGGAACTAAGGTAAAGTTACACCAGTGAACTTTAGTAGCTGGTGCTATTCCATTTGAAGCTCTATGTCGCATCTTCAGGAACATAACAGCAGTGCCGAGAACTGTGAGGAGGCCTTTACTGAAGAGGAAGAACGAGAATTTGTTGGCAAATCCGCGTCTTTCCCAGTACTTTCAAAAGAAACAAAAGAACGATGAAGTCATAGAGCTGGACGACTAACAGAAGTACACCATTGATGCAGTCTGCTTTACCACAGATCTCTGATGTGATCTTTCCCATGTATGTACTAACTGTAGATTGCTCAAATCAATTCACTTGCTGGTAACAATTTTTTCTCTTGCAGTCAGTCACTCTTAAAAGCATGCTAAACTCTTGTGCAATCCCATTCATGTAACAATTCTTTCTTATTTCCGTTGAAAACAGGTGACATCATGTACCTCTTATGCTAACATATCGTTAAAGAATCTCATTATAAGTTTATTATCTTACTTACTATGTCTGTGATCAGATCATCTCTTATAAACATTATTTGTCTGATGTCTTTTTTGCGCGATTGCCTTCGTGATAACTTACCTTCTTGGTTATACTTCTACATGAACGAATGTGATGGTGAAGTGGGTGAGAAATAGTTCGAGAAAATATACAAAAAGCGAGCTTTATGAACGATTTACGGTCATTCTATTGTCGCAACGACGATGCTAAAAAATAATAGTAAAATGCTGTGCGTTTAAACAACTGTAAGCAACCACTTACAACAAATAAGAATGCTGTATGTGATCTTTCTGTATGATTAAATAAACACTAAATTTTTCAGAAAAACATGCCTACAGATTGAGTCCGTAAAACTTGGAGCTTTAATCTGATTATAGTTCCATAGATTCAAAGGGTATAGAGCTTTCTGTACATCATTCAGCTTTTGAAGAACTATCTTGAATGACTCTTAGACAGGGCTCGGTACGAGCTGGTATATACCAGGAATTTTGAAAATGAAGTCCCCCTTGACTATAGCTAAGTTTTATGAATTCGCCTTTGACCGTAAACGCTAAACGTAGAAAACCCTCAAAAAACGAAAGTGGACTGAAAAATACGTAATTTTCGGCCACAAAAACGATATCGCCTTTGCTTTTTCTCCCAAAAACTATATCCACCTTGTCGCGTGTCAGCTGGTGCCAGGCCTGCTCTTGAATGTTGAAAGCAGTGTCCAGGCCAAATCTATCTTCCTCCGATTAGCGCTGATCTTGAATTTAGGCTTCAAGAGAGGGCATCCGCGTTGGTCCTGTCCTGTAATATTGTCTCTGAATGGGGATAATGGACCTGGAACAGTGGAAGTGCTATCAAGCCACGCCCAGATCCTATCAAGCTCCGCCCAGCCCGAGACTGTTTCAACACGTATTGACTGAGTTGTTGCAAAGCAAAGCAGTTGTTGAAGCAAAAGCAACGCCTGCATGCAAGTGCAACCATGCAGTTGCAGCTCCTCCCCGCTGGCATGCCGACGGAAATGAGCAATCCGAAACGCGCCCGCAAAACAGGGTCCCCAGAAATTGGGTTTTTTGGCGGTTTTTCGACAATTTAGATTTCATAACTGTAATCAGGGCCACGGAAAGGCCCCAAAATGGTAATGGCATAGGAGGCAAATTTTTGGGTGGACACTGCCCCTAACAAGGGAAGTAAGGGTGGTCGAAATGGCCTTTTGAAATGAGATGTACACTATCTTGTAGAGTTTGGAACGCTGATTCCAAATCTGCCTTCGCTATCTGCTGCAGGCTTCTGGACGAGGAGTTGTGAAGTTCTTGAGTAAAAAGTTACATGCAAATTTAGTGTAAAATCAGTCGTAACATTTTTTCTAGGGCTTAACTGGTAGGGTCACTCGATGCAACAAAAATTCTTGATACAAATATATCAAATCGCTGCCGTCTTATGTGAACGTTAGGAAAAGGTTTCGACTGATTTCACAATAATCTTGCATTCAAATTTTCGCGCACAGAAACCTTCATAACTCCTCGCCCAGAGGCCCGCAGCAGATAGCAAAGTTAGATATGGACTCAGTGTTCCAAGCTCTACAAGACAGCCTACACTCATTTTAAGAAGCCAATTCGACCAACCTTCCTTCCCTTGTAAGTAGGCCTGAACTTTACAGCACAGCACACAAAGGGTTGGACTCAATCATTATTTTGCAGATGCGGTACATCAAGGTAGGTCAAAAACGAGGAAATTGTCTAAAAAAACTCGCTGGCTTACCCGGCTCCGCTCGGTCCTGTCAAATACTATGATATCTCATCCCTATCCCTGCACGACCTTTCCCTGTCCACTTCTATGTCAATTCCCTGTTCCCGCTGTGTTAGTAACCAGCATTGCGCACTTATCCCTGTGCGAATTCCCAGCCCCGTAGCTCAAAACTTGCAAAAAATCAATAAAATCGATAAAATCGGTAACGATCGATGACGAAAAGTAGCCTATGACACGCTCCCCGCCCGAAATATATGTGTCCCGAGTTTGGTCCAAATCGGTTCAGAAATAAAAATTTCTATTCCGCACATACATACATACAGACAGACACACACACATTCAGCTTTATACTAGCTGGCTTACCCGGCTCCGCCCTGCCCTGTCCAAAACACTGTAATAAAGGTCCCATCCCTACCTGTGCCCAATTCTACACTTCATTTCCCATTCCCTGTGTTGTTTTCGAAAGTATATGTGTACCAGGTTTGGTGCGGATCGGTTCAGAAATGGAATTTTCTATTCGGAACGTACGTACAGACAGACAGACAAACATACAGACAGACAGACAAACATACTAACAGACATTCAGTTTTATATATAAGATGCGCTGAGCAAACCCTACTGTTTTGGAGGGATCACTTTGAGGGCTTCCGACTACGTATACAACGGCAACCTACTTGTCCGCATTGCAGGAATTCCTTCAGAAAGGATGCAGGCTCTCCAAAAAGTGCATACATGTTCACAAGGTTTTAGGGTAGCTAAGGCTGCATTCATACTGATCCCGAAGTCCGAGAACGTTCCAGCACAGTGCCCAGTTCGAGCGCTGTGCTGAAACTGTTCCCAAACTTCCGGATCGACGCAGCCTGGTCTAAAGTGCGGTTCATAATTATACGAACATCCAAAATTTTGTAAGTTTTTGGATTTTTGGGAGAAACTTAAGAAGCCGTTGGTAACACGCGATAGAACACATCCGAAAACGGTATATGATTCATAAGAATGGAAACCAATGTCAACTGTAGGAGTGTTTTTGCACCCAGTGCGAATTTTTAGCGGTTCATAATTATACGAACACCTCGAACAAAGGTCCATTTTTTCGTTCAAGATTGCAATTATTTGAGTCCAAATTTTGTGTAGAGTTAGAGTAACAAAGTCTGACATATCTGCTATACACTAAACCCAGTGCACTTCAAAAAGAGGACCGTCACTTTTTTTTCAAAAGCTCTAAATGCTTTTGGAGTGATTGCGCTACAAAAACATCCGATCTTCTGTGATTTACGAGCTCTAATTAGCTTCTAACAAAGCTATGAGATGAAATAAGCTCTTATGATAGGTATTTTATTTGACGCTTGGAAAATCTTTGCGTTTTCGTGCCGTTTTTCAACCAAGTTCCAACCTTACCACAGAGTTAGCACGATTTCGAGCCTCAAAAGTCAGCTTCTGAAGCCGTACAATAAAGTAAGCATATAGTATGTAGAAATTCACAAGACTTTATATTTGGCTAGAAAAAATCAGCAGCGTTGAGCGTTTGTTTTATTCACGCAGACGTTATTTCATCAGAAATACTGTTTTTACTATTGCAATCTCACCTTTATTTGGTTTGTAGCTCCACAGCCGCAAGATCAGTTCTAGAAAAAACCCAAAAACTTAGGCACAGAAACATCATCATGCAAGCAATGCAGCTGCTTCATATCAAATGTTTGCGCAAGAGAGAAGGCTGAGTTTTGAGGCTCGAAATCGTGCTAACTTTGTGGTAAGGTTGGAACTTGGTTGAAAAGGTACAAAAACGCATAGATTTTCCGAGCGTCAAACAAAATACCTATCGAAGAAGCTTATTTTATCTCGTAGCCTTGGTAGAAGCTAATTAGAGCTTGTAAATCACAGAGAACGGATGTTTTTGGAGCCCAATCACTCCAAAAGCATTTAAAGCCTTCTGAAAAAAGTAACGGTCCCCGTTTTGAACTGCACTGGGTACAGTGTGTAGCAGATATGTCAGATTTTGTTACTATAACTCTTCAAAAAATTTGGACTCAAACGATTGCATTCTTGAATGAAAAATGGACCTTTGTTTGAAATGTTCGTATAATTATGAACCGCTAAAAATTCGCACTAGGCGCAAAAACACTCCTACAATTGACATCGATTTCCATTCTTATGAATCATATGCCGTTTTCGGCTGTGTTCTATCGCGTGGTACCAACGGCTTTTTGGGTTTCTCCCAAAAAGTCCGAAAACTTACAAAATTCTGGGTGTTCGTATAATTATGAACCGCACTTTATATGTGTGCATTCTCAAAAGAAGAACAAGATTAGATACAACCTCCAATCTCCACATCTTCCTGTCAGAGACAGCAACAATCGATGACAATATTGTTATTATCTCTGAAAGGAAGAAATGGAAGTTTTATTCAATCTCTCATCTTTTCATCTCGTTCCATCCGCTCTTCCACTCATCATTGCATAATTATCCTTCATCCTACCACCATCTAACACAAGCTCATTGAATCTATATTTTCTTTGGCAATGTCTACTCGGCAAATGCTTCTTAGTGCTTTTTGATGTTTTTTCTTGAAAAATCCAGCTAGATCTGAACTGAACCTGATAAAAATTCATTGTCTTTTAATTTCGTCTCTTGTGAATAGACATCATTCTGTCTTTGATTTATATCCCCAGCCTTTGTAGCACGCCTTAGAGCGTATTGAATAAATAAATGAATAAATTACTTACTGAGATTTCTCTTCAGGTGATTTGACAGCATGATCGACACCCACTGTCACCTGGTGGACAACAAGTTCAAAGCGGACATCGATGAAGTCGTCGAACGAGCTATGCAGAATGGAGTTAGACATGCGGTCGTGTGCACAGAATATGCGAGTCAGTTCGATAATGTACTGGCTCTCTACGCAAAACACCCCGAGTTTATCATTCCTGCCGTTGGGATACATCCTATTCAGGTAATCCCAGTTAGAAAAACAATAATTTTCATGGTGAGCTTGGGTTACCATACAAGTGGCTTGAACTCTGCGATCTTGAGCTCATCGTCTACCACGGGAAACGGTGACTTGAAACTCTGAACAATCTTTGAGATTTTTGAAAATTTAACTTAGCCTTGTAACGAAAATTTTTGGGGCGTGGCCGCCGCCATGCCTGTTCCAAAAGTTCGGAGTTATAGGCCCGCAAAATTATTGGAAAGCATTCCGAAAAACTTTTCGGAGTGCGTGGCTAACGCTACACATCTTGATCCTAAGCAAAACTGATTGCTCACGAGCATATTTAGTCGCCCAATCTCGACACCGTAAGCCCACACATTACGCGAAAAATCTACTAAACTGTTCCTTTCAAAGATTTGCGAAAAAGGTACTCTCATTTTATGTGCAGTAAAGGGTAGTTTCTATAACTGTGCCACAGATTCGCCATACTCCTAGAAGTTGATGTGGGTAGATCATTCCTCAAGTTTATGGCTCCAGCATTTCTCATCTATTTTTATTGGCTCACATATGTGCAAAAAACATGGAGGTTCTCAAGAAGATATTCTGCTGGAGTTATTGCAACTTATGTATGCTTGGGAAGACGTTCAAAATTTAACGAGTTTCCCGGAATTTGCGGACAGGGTTCGGCTCGGAAAATAAAAGCTTTGGGCGCATATTTTAAGTTTACCGTATTAATTAGACTTCGAGAAATACAATACCGCTCTCAGAATGTGCAAAATTTCCGTGAATTCCGCGAAATTCCGAGAATTCCGCGAACTTCCGCGAAATTCCGGGAATTCCGCGACATTCCGGGAATTCCGCGAAATTCCGGAAATTTCGCGAAATTCATGTGAATCACGCAAATTACGCAGGGCCATAACTTCTTTCCGAATGAGTATACTCAAAATCCGAAAACAGCATTGTATTCAGCTCGTCAAGGCGAATCTTTTGGTATACAGGTTGTCTCCAATATCCTCTTTTCAATAATCTTGAATCGGCATGCGGACGCCTTTTCGCGTGGGTGTAACGCAACAAGCATCACATATAGGAGATTGCGGCGGGCACCCTTCGATAGTACTCTTTCAGTAGATTATTCTGCGCTAAACAGCAGCCGAAGACTCTCTTTTAAAAGAGATAGAAGAGCTGATAAACTCTGGAATAATCAAGCTGTTCCAAGTTCTACTAGCCGTAACTTCCTTCAGAATGAACATCTTCGAAATCCGAAAACAGTATTGTGTTCAGCTCGTTAAGGCGAATCTCCGGTATACAGCATGTCCTTGAAATTCGATTTCCAATTTTTTCAAAATTTTCTGCGCGCATATATTCGTAAGGTCGCAACGCAGCGCAGATCAAGCATAAAAGACTCCAATAAGCACTATTGGATTGTGCTGCTCCCGCAGATTACCGAGCGCTAAAAACGAACTGGAGAACCTTTTTCGAAAAAGATAGAAGAGCTGGTGAATTCTGGAAAAATCGTGTTGTGTCAAATTTTGCCCACTGTAACCCTAAAATGGGAAGCTCTCCTGCTAAGCAGTTGTGCTTTTCGTAATCAGCAGGTCAGATAACCTCTATGAGCAAGTTTTCAAAGAAATTCGGGTGATTTGATTTTTTCTCGTTCTACGCCCTGAAGCTCGCCGATGGGTTTTGGTCAAAATGTCGATGATCTTGGATTATAAGGAAACTTCGCTCAAAGAGGTTATCTGATCTGCTGATTACGAAAAGCACAACTGCTTAGCAGGAGAGCTTCCCATTTTAGGGTTACAGTGGGCAAAATTTGACACAACACGATTTTTCCAGAATTCACCAGCTCTTCTATCTTTTTCGAAAAAGGTTCTCCAGTTCGTTTTTAGCGCTCGGTAATCTGCGGGAGCAGCACAATCCAATAGTGCTTATTGGAGTCTTTTATGCTTGATGTGCGCTGCGTTGCGACCTTACGAATATATGCGCGCAGAAAATTTTGAAAAAATTGGAAATCGAATTTCAAGGACATGCTGTATACCGGAAGATTCGCCTTAACGAGCTGAACACAATACTGTTTTCGGATTTCGAAGATATTCATTCTGAAGGAAGTTACGGCTAGTAGAACTTGGAACAGCTTGATTATTCCAGAGTTTATCAGCTCTTCTATCTCTTTTAAAAGAGAGTCTTCGGCTGCTGTTTAGCGCAGAATAATCTACTGAAAGAGTACTATCGAAGGGTGCCCGCCGTAATCTCCTATATGTGATGCTTGTTGCGTTACACCCACGCGAAAAGGCGTCCGCATGCCGATTCAAGATTATTGAAAAGAGGATATTGGAGACAACCTGTATACCAAAAGATTCGCCTTGACGAGCTGAATACAATGCTGTTTTCGGATTTTGAATATACTCATTCGGAAAGAAGTTATGGCCCTGCGTAATTTGCGTGATTCACATGAATTTCGCGAAATTTCCGGAATTTCGCGGAATTCCCGGAATGTCGCGGAATTCCCGGAATTTCGCGGAAGTTCGCGGAATTCTCGGAATTTCGCGGAATTCATGGAAATTTTGCACATTCTGAGAGCGGTATTGTAGAATCGTAAATTCAATTTTTTTTGCTTGAGGTTTCCGGTGTTTTTCTCCAGACATAATAAGTGATAGTCGTGGAGGTACTCATATCAAAGAGAGATTCTGTCTACGCAGAAATTACGTATCTCACTACCCACTGACGAGGGGAGGATACTTGTTCAAAGTGGCGTGTTCATATGAGATGTACACTATTTTACAGAGCATGGAACATAGATTCCAAATCTGTCGGTATCTGCAAAGCCCTTCAGAGAGAGGAGTTCTGGAAGTTTTGAGGTAGAAATTCAGTGACTTGGCTGAGATAAAAGTAGGTGATGACGTCATTTTGGCGCTTGAAAGCAGTAATGACTGACATGAGTTTCAAGCGTTTCATTAGCTTCAAGATCTTTACTCCACAAAACGCCCTGGTAATAATCATGGCTCCATTTGAGCTCAGGGATTAAAGTTTTGGTCGGTTTAATTGTGTCGACGCTTTCAAACTTTTGCATCCAAAAATTTCCGGAGTTCCCCTCAGAAGCGTTTGCAGATAACGAAAGCAGGTTTGAAGTCAGCATTCCATGCTCTATATGATACATACATTTTATATGGAAACGCCACTTCGACAAAGTATTCATCCCTTGTGAGTGATATATAACAGCTCGAGAATAAAGTCTGTACGGAATTTTGGACCAAAGGAATGAACAGTCTTATTGACTACGAAAATCCAATCTCCGAGATTTTTCTCTAGAATTATGCTACAAACGCTGCTTTCAAACGCATGCATTCCTCTTCAACAAATATCACAAAGCATAAGATGAAAGCAAAAAAAATGACCAGCATCAGGACAATGCCTCCAATCTAATTTTTTGCAAAATCATTGTACGTTCTAAATCACTCGCCTCCTCCCTCTCCCTCTCTCTCATCAATATGAAACACATTGATTTGACAAAAAAAAAGAAAAAACTTTAGTTTTTTCGCTTTCCTCTCAGAAGAAGAACAAATCTGTGAAGACTAGCGACATAGAGGGCATGGAAGCATTTTTAGACGAACACCGTCACGTCATCAAGTGTATAGGAGAGGTAAGCGGGCCACCGTTATATATCCTCTCAATACAACTTTCTTTCAGATCGGCTTGGATTACACACAGTACTACAAAATAACGCCCGAGAACATAGTAGTACAGAAAGAAGTCCTCGCAAAGCAAATCGGATGGGCCAAGCAGTTTTGCCTGCCTCTGTGGGTTTCTCCATTGTAAACTAAAGCATATTGTACGAATGAGCGGCATGAGTTCAGAACTGTGCACTCTCGCGCTGCCACCGGAGACACTGTTGATTTCCTCATTGAGAATAGCGCTGATCGTGTTGCTTTACATGCTTTTAACGGATCTCTAGAGGAGGCGTTGCGTGGACTGAAAGCTGGATTCTATTTCTCTATTCCTCCATCATTCACTACTGGTGATCACGTAGGTTTTGGAGTAACCATGATTAGTGTTAGGTTGATGCACAAGTTTTCCAACAAAATTTACGGAAATTTTCATGAAAAAACTGAGACCATTCATATTGGTATAGGTTGGCAACGAAGTCCATATGATACCTGCGTTGAGCAGGTCAACTTATTCCAATATGCAGATTCTCAGCAAAATCTGGCAGTTCCAACTTTTGGCCCTGATGGATTTTTGGCAGCGTTGACCCGACTCCTTCGACTTCTCAAGGGCGCCGTATCTCAGTTCTTCTTTAACTTACAGCTCCTTCTTCGCTGATATCAGTAACAGCTTCTAGCAAACTAGTTTACAATTTCGGCTTCATGTGCTTTATTCAGGATGTGCAGGCTACACATCTGTTTCAAATCTTGTAATCTCGAGTTTCACTAATTTTTGTAAAAGGCTAAGATTTTATTTCGTCCTCGACCAAGCGCATATTTTGAGCACACTGTTGAATCATATCATAGTGTACATCATGCAAAAGAAAGCTATGAAGTTGTTGCGGAACTTATGCATCAACCAGTAAATATATCCTCAACCACCGCAATGATATTTGAATAAATTACAGAAACGTTTCTTGATTGATGCGATACCCATGGAGAAGTTATTGCTAGAGACCGATTCACCAGTTCTGGGTCCAGTAAGAGGAGAAAGGAACGAGCCGGCTAATGCCAGACTTTCAGCCAACTTTATTGCTGAGGTAATGGATGTCGGGCAGCGTGCAGCGTGCAGACTTGCCCCTGTGCCAGCGCAGTGCCAGTACCCTGATGGAGCCCACGTCGCGCATGAATCTTTCGGCTTGACGTTAGAACGGCGATGGCACCACTGGTACGGGCAACTCTGGACGCAACCCAAGTCATTTTCATAGTTTTTCATCACGCTTTCAGAAAAAGCTACCTTCATCTCCTGTACATATTCCAGGTGAAAGGCCTAACACTGGAAGAAGTCATAACAACCACTACTGCAAATGCCTTGAAGCTACTGGAATTGCCAAGTTGCTAGCAACATAACAACATTGATACATGTATCATCAGTGAACTCACAGCAAAGTGAACAGTACATACCAGTATAGTGACTGAAGATTAACAATCTAAGGCAACAATAAGAACGAATTATTCCTCGTCAACCGGTTCATACGACGGCCGTACTCGAAGTTCCTCAGGAACAGTGCAATGTACAAGAGTTGTTAGTAAGAGTGAAAAGGCCATGAATCCACCCATGATTAGAAAGAACCTATTGAATCCTATCATTGGAAGAACGAACTGAGAGAGCAGTGCTGACGCCACCCCGGCTACTGTCTGAAAAGCTTGGTGTGCGAAAATCTGAATCCAAAAGAAAGATTTATGTACTCACCAAAGCACACTGAAGGCATCCGTACAGTACGCCAAAATTGCTACTTCCGAAGCATTTATGGGTGATGTAAGGAAAGAGAGAATATGTCCCGCCGATGCAAGTAAAGGCTCCGCATATCTTGAAACAAGCTCATAGCGTAAAAATGATAGAATTCGAGTTAAGAATAAAAACTACATACTATAATATGCAAGAAATAAATGTGTTGTCAAAAAGAGTTTATCGATAGAGAGAATTATGGCAAAAGGTAGTTTCATACTACAATTTCCTTTACTGCAATAAGGGCATGATTAAGTGTCGTCGCCTGGATTTCGTCTTTCATTCAGAAAAATACTAGTCATACTTCACAGCTGACAAAAGAGACCCCTATTTCACAAATGCAAGGTCATATCTACATCCCTCCGCCTACCCAATGAAATTATGATATCTCAAATTTAGCTTCACCAAAGAAGCAGATTAATTTGTCGCAAGTCCCAATTTTTCAAAGATTTAGCACTAGCAACTTTCATGGATCCAAAGAAATGACCTTGAGTGCTTTTCCAACATTTTCGTGCATAAGCATACCTTTGCGCTACAAAAATTTGTGTGCTTTAGGACCAGACGAAAAAAAATTATATGCAGGATCTAACCTGTTTAGTTTCGTTATGAAAAGGCCGCAGTTGACATAAAACAATCTTTATTTGAAAGGGCTTGATTCATTCTTGCAATATTTGATGTTATGTGGAATTAATTTCAAATAGCAGATCCCTTACGAATAAGTCATTTTGTTAGTGGAAATAGTATGACTTGGCTATTCATTGATTCAATTTTTTTTGACGGCCAAACACCAAGATTTTCTTGTGGAATTTGGTAAGGGATTCTTCAAGGTTTTTCGGGACACTTTTGCATAGAATAGGTGAAACCAAGATTTTTGGAAGATTTGCATGCTATATTTAATCCGAAAATTTTCTACTTTCAGTCACTATAATTCGAATAAGTACATGATTAGCACTTACCACAGCTAGAAACACTAAGTCATTGCCTAGCAGTTGTACTGCTGGCAATAACCAAACCAGCATTGCCCCAAGCGTACAGACAATCGACATCGTCAGTTGAAAAGACGTCTGTAAAAATGGTTTTTGCAAGACTAATCTTTGCGATTAACAGTCAAGTACGCGTTTATACTCACTCTGTCGGCGACTACTCCCCAAATGACCCGACTAAGAGCGTTAGAGATAGCAGCTAGTGACCCAACAAGTGAGAGGAAGGCATCGCTGTTGATGAACTGCTGACCGTAAGCCTGAGAAAGAGCTCAGTAGAAAAAACTTTTTGCATAGTCTTTCCTTTAAATAGTACTTTGTCACTCACCTTGTAAAGTCCGCTGACCAGCTGAACCCAGAGTGCATTGAAGGTCAAGGAGACGAAGAGCATAATAAATGTGGGTGATTTCAAATGGGTGGCGACTGATCTGCCTCTATTCTCCATTACAAGCGGCTCAGTTTCAACATCAAGTTCCTAAAACTGTGGCGTGACGAATTTGCTAGCAAATGACCGGCAAGGTTACCTCAATCGGTTGTCCTATGAGAGGTAAGCCAACGATTTGCAGAAGTGCAAAAACAACAGCCATTACAATGAATACTTGCGGGACCTGAAAATACAGACTTTGATGCCTTGATGGGGGGGGGTGACTCAAACTTTGCAGTAGGAGAAATTTTGATAAAGAGTTAAGAAATTGCTGCTTCAAGTCATTGATGGGTGATATGAGTAAAGAGGGAATGTATTCTATCAGTACATGTAAATGTTCCCCTTATGTTCTCTCTTTCTTTCGCTTTTCCCTCTTCCCACTTCATTTCCCTCTCTTCTTTCATTTCCAATTTTCTCTCCAGTCTTAATAAGAGTGCTTTAACTTTTCCATATCTATATAATAGAATGATCAACAATAGACTACATTCCTACCAATTTCTCTTTACTTCTTTTCTTTTCCAAGGAAACGGATGCGTGCTCAAGAGTTGACTGGAGCGCTTAGCTTACTTACCCTTTCCAAAAGATCCACTTGTGTAAAGAAACCATCCTTGTTGGCTCTATAGTCCAGCGGATTGATAAAAGCGGTTTGTAACGGTGCAAGAACAAATGCTCCAGAACCGTATCCTGCCACAATCATTCCACCTGCCAACCCGACTTCGTCTGGAAACCACTAAAATAGTAAGCGTAAATGATCGAGTGAATTTTTGAAGGCAGTATGCCCCTTCCAAATGAATGGACCACTTCACTTACACGCTGAGCTGTGGTCAGTATAGCATTGTAAGCGATGCTCTGTCCAGCACTGGCGAAGATACCCATTGAGAGAAGAAGGGCGACGAATGAATGTTGTATGGAGAAGTAGGTGAGACCTATACTTGAGCTGAAAAATCAGGACTTGTGTGTTATCCCATTCCTTCTGTTCATCGAAACGTTAGATTTCGATAATTTGATTTTAACATCATCACTGCTCATAATTTCTTCACTTTTCTCCCAAAATTGTAATAATAAGTAGAAGAACGGTGTAAAATGAGATTCTCTCCTGTAAGCGCAGAAAACTCACGCATGATCTACGTCTGCAGTGACCGCCCGAAAAAATTTTTCGAGGAGATAAGTGACAAAAAAATTTTAATGAAGAGGCATTAGACACACCTTAAAATTTTTAGGGTATTTTCCAAAGATTTAGTTGGTCTATTTCTCCAAGATTTTGGAAAAAGGAACGTAGTGGCTGCTATGCCCCTAAAAAATTTTTGAGGCTAATTGAATATTCAAAGCTTTTTAGAAAGATCCTTATTATTTGAAAGCAAAATGAGTCACCTGCGCAATTTTAGAATTCAGTGAGTAACCTTCAAACCGTCCCCTCGGTCCGCCACTAGCTTGCACTCCAGTAATCTACGGAATTTTTCGAATTCTCCAAAAATTTTCAGAGGTGATATTTAGAGAGGAATGAAGCACTGAATTTATGATTAGTGAAGCGTTTGTAGAATTGAATGCTTTCGATTCAAACTTTCCTCGGGGTGACGGGTAAGGGCGAGGGTCGGATATAACTACTAAACCATGCACTCAGTTATATTAGGTTGTCCCGAAAGTTTTGTCCGTTTTTTCAAACCACTATAGAACCACGCACAATAAACAACTGAAGGAGCTTCAAAACGCATTCGATACAGCTTTTCCTTCTCTTTCATGTGGGTACATTTTCGAACCACAGTCTTGAATGCCTTCTTGATAATTGCCAAAATTCTCCACCCGTCAATTCTATCTGCTCCAAGTTGGGCTAATTTTTGAAATTTTCACTTTTTCATTCCAAAGTTTCGTAAAGGTTCAAGTGTGGATCAAACAGAGTAATCCTCGGACTACAGGGCGGTATTTTTAGATTCTCCTAATCTGCTATTAGGTTGTTACATAAGTTTTGTTACACTCGACTGAAAAAATGCTCATAACTTTCTCAAATAATTTTTCCTTGCCTCCAAACTATGTGTAATGCTGCAGATTTTTGATATATACATGCCACACGTGAAAAATCAAATTTTGGATTTTTTTGAAATTTTTTCAAATTATTTTTGGCCAATTTCCATTTTTGGTTGATGAAAAGTTTGAACTTCCAAACTGCATCAGTATTACTACCAATGCTCCCCAAAGTCCATAAAAAATCTAAAAATATGGAAAAGAAGGATAAGAGTATTTTTAGGAAACAAAGAAAATAATGAAGGTGGGGTGCCCCTATAGTGTCGCCTTTATATTCACTGTAAGTCATGTGGTGAGGGCATAAGTGGTGCCAGCAGATAGCCCTTTATCCCTTCCCCATACATGCCGGATATGAGGTCTTGCCGAATTTTCTAGAGTTTTTTAGAGGAAGGCGAAGAAAGTGTAACAAAACTTATGTAACAACCTAATATTTTCAGCTTCAAAAAATTATTTCTTCAGACGTCTCGATTTTTGGCAAAGTCATGAAATACACAACTGCAGCAAATACACGGAAGCTTTTGAAGTTACTGCGAATTGAAACATGATTTTCATTAAACATTAGTCATGCAACATAACCAAGTATGATTTGTTTTGAAAAAGCAGCTTTTTGGAATTATCGGTACTTTTAGGTGGTAAACGTAATCAAAAAGCCGCGGGTTTTTAATAAATAAATAATTATAACGGAATTAGTAAACGTGGGCCATGTAATCTAAAATGAGTGAAATGTAACCAAAGGTTTGTTCTACATAGCGGTTATCAGCGCTCTTTGTAAACGCCAGGAAAAAATTTTCAAAATTCAAGAAAGATTTGGCATCACTGCTGAACTGCTCAAAATGCCATGGTGATAACATTGCAAAGACAGGGTATATCAGAGAGCAAATCTAGCTGTAAAAAAGAGGATGAAAATCTAAATCGAATGATTCCTAGATCGTCCATGGATTAGTGTTCTGTAGTTTGTAGTTTTAGTGAGCGATGAAATAAACGGACAAAACTTTCGGGACAACCTAATATTATCCAAAAAAACTTTCATTAAATGACAAAAATTTCAGACTTTCCAGAAGATGACTCCAGCAGACTCAAATCTATCACCAACCTCTTTGCTCCGTATTCCTAACACAAAAATTTTTATCATCCCTGTCGATATTTTCGTTTGTCATAAACAAATCACGATTTTGTTTACTTTGAACATGCAACCCCTTCACACTGCAAAGACATCACTTATAAATTCCAGTCACTACCATCTCTCTTTACTCAACCACTTCCGACATCACTTCCTTCAGTCTCAAAAAGCTGGACCGGTTATTCCTCGAAGACTTAGCTAAACCTGCCAACGCTCACAAAAAGTACTCGCTCTACCAAATGTGATGAATCTGTGTTGACTGAGTGTTCCCTATCGATGTTAACTGAATGACTCAAGCCCTCCCACCCCACTCACCTTTATGGAAGCAGCCGCGAGCACTTGGCGAGTCAGTGATATGCGTGGCCACCTGCGAGTGCGCCAAATGTGCGCTTTATTGCTGGATCGCGAGTGTGGCCGTAATGAAAGGGTCCGTAAAAGCAGTGCTGTGAATCTGGTCACCGTAATCCACCCCCTGGTTGTTCAACGGCCAGTAAGAGGGGCCATATCGGCCCCCTGGGGATGGGCGCGATGCTCGATGTCAAACACACCCATCTAAACACTGGCTGCGTGGGCGTGTATGAGTCAAGTTGACAGTTTTTGTGGTGCGCGCCAGGATTTGGGCGGTAGCGACTGTCAGGTAGCAAACAGAGCAGCCAGTACCCCTGATTGATGCCCAAACAGAGCGCTGAATAAGGCACCATTGATGGCACCATATCCAACACAAACAGTAACTACGAGCAAAGCGACGCACACCGACAACACCCCCTCCCTCGCCCGATCGTTGCACGCTTGGCTGAGTTGACAAATGCCGTTTAGTACACGACAATCAGTGCGCAGCTCAGGTAATTCCCAGCAGACGTCAGATTAGGTTGTTACCACATACATACAGCTGGCTAATTACGAGACGACGCGCTTGGCGACGTCTTCGATGTCCGCAGAATACCGCAGCTTGAACGAGCAGTACTCACGTGTAGATAATTGAGCCGATGATGGCCGTTTTTCGACCGCCAATCTTCCGTTCCAGAACACCGCCCATCAACATCGCAAACGGAATGCTACCTGAAAAACAGTGGATAACAACATGAACATAGATAGAGACCCAAAAACTGCTTCCGCTTGAGCGCTGGAGTTCTTGAATATATAGGTCTTTTGTCTCTGCATTCGGTTTCTCAGGAACAAAAAAAAATCGGAATAATGGCGCGAATTTTAAATTTCGATATATTTCGTTCTATTAGGTTGTTACATAAGTCTTGTTACACTTTAATTTCTTACGACGATAAGTCGTAAATTTCATAATTTTGATAGGGCTCCAGGGTACCATTCGATAGAGCAAAGCAAGCTCTACAAGATAGTATGCAAAATTTCGCACCAACTTTGACCCACCGTAAGTTTGCGTCCGGAATATGAGTCGCACCGAAGGCTCAAAAAATTGCGAAAAATTCATATCTTTGTTCAAAAAAATCCTCCGCATCTCCAACTTGCTCATAAAAATTGCCCACTATATCAGGCACTCATATGTACCGTTGCTGTATTTTTTCCCTATCTAGAAATCGAGAAAAGGAAATTTTTTTAGTTTTCACAAAAATGGAGCTATGCTGTTTCTACTCATGTAGCTGTATACTACGAGCCCTTAGAAGTATAACTGTAAAATTTCAGCTTTCCAGAAGCCCTAGCTTTCGAAAATTACCTAATTTAGCATTGAACATCCGAGTGAGAGAAACCAAATTTGGTAATTTTCGAAAACTAGGGCTTCTGGAAAGCTGAAAATTTACGGTTATACTTCTAAGGGCTTGTAGTATACAGCTACATGAGTAGAAACAGCATAGCTCCATTTTTGTAGAAACTAAAAAAATTTCCTTTTCTCGATTTCTAGATAGAAAAAAAATACAGCAACGGTACATATGAGTGCCTGATATAGTGGGCAATTTTTATGAGCAAGTTGGAGATGCGGAGGATTTTTTTGAACAAAGATATGAATTTTTCGTAATTTTTGAGCCTTCACTACGACTCAGATTCTGGATGCAAAATTACGGTGGGTCGAAGTTGGTGCGAAATTTTGCATACTATCTTGTAGAGCTTGCTTTGCTCTATCGAATGGTATCCTGGAGTCCTGTAAAGAAAATCAGGTGCATGAAATATCACCGTTAGAAGTTAAGTGTAACAAGACTTATGTAACAACCTAATATTTCATTTGTCTCTGAACTCCACATGAACTAAATGCATATAAATGAAAATATGCAACAATTAGATAGTTACAGCTACCTGCAGCAACTCTTTTCAAGCTAACCCTTCATAGTAAGAAAACATCAGCATTAGTGGTACGGTCCGATAGATCCAGCTAAAACAGTTGAGAAAGCGCCATAATAATTTACAAGCTATTTCGTGCAAGATCTTAGAGTTCCATATGGCTTTACTATTAGGTTCTAGGTTCATCCTATCAAGGGAAAACTGTTAAAAATTTAAAGTTGGTTTAAATACTATAATAGGCAATAAATTATTTCAAATGTGGGAGAGAGCATCCCTTGCAGGGGATGAGCGCGGCGCAAGAAGTTTTTTTTTGAATGAAGCGCACTCCGAAAAATTGGTTGGGATGCTTCCCGAATTTTTACGGGTCTATAGTCACGGTCTAGAGGATAGAGGCGTGCGTGGTTGCCCCCCGAATTTTTTTTTCGAAAGACTGATTTGAATTTTTAAAAGACTAAAAATTATTTGAAATATTTTCAAAACGTTGTTATAAAAAGTAGTAGGGGTCACTGACTTGACATATAAGAAAATCTGATCGGAACAGAGCAGTACTACTCTTGAACCGTCAGGCCAAACAAAGTTTTTGACCAGCCTCAGCCAGCGGCAACTATCTCACAACCATAAATTTCCAGATCCATATCGAACTCAAACATTTCTGCTAAACTTGAAGTTTCTACTCAGGGCTCGGCGCGAGCTTGCACCAGGGAAATTTCAAAACAAAGTCCCCTTTGATCTTAAACATTTTGTACGATGCCCCCTTTGACCCCCAAATCCTAAACGTAAAAAATCCTAAAAAATGAAACGTCGACTAAAATTGATTTTTGTTCTTTTCAGCTACAACGATATTCCACTGCGCTCAGCCCCAAAAACGAATCTAACTTGACCCGGTGCCAGCTGTGCCGAGCCCTGTTTCTACTCTTTACCTATATTCCCCAGTCTCCTCCCCACTCCCTAACTGCACGCGTTTGTGGATTGACTTTGGATGCTGTACGTTTTTTGCGACTTATGGGGCCCTCACTAATCACCCAAGTTAGAGGCTAATCAAAAAGTACAAGGACCGATAAGTAAGAGTTGTTTCTTGCTATCCCCATCCCTTCCTCCAACTTCTTCCTCACTCCCTCTCCGAACAACAACTCCGTGTACGTTATTTGTAGAGGTAGGAAGGGTGCGTCTGCCGTACGCTGGCCATTGATAGCGGACAATGTCAACGGGATCATGAAAAGGACTCGATTAGGCGCCGCGGCTGAGTAACGTGGATCCGCGCGCGCCAGCCCGGCACCACCGCCGCCGCGTACTCAAACAGACAGCACTCACTCATCAGCGTCTGTAGCCACATCAGACGCCCAAATCGCATCGTCGGATCCACTTTCCATCGCAGGTACGACGCCAGGTACGGTAGGAGATTACCTGGAAACGAAAGATGGTGATGTGGAGGTGTTAAAATAAATGATGAGATTATGGGTGATTTTGAGATCTCAAGAATTCTAATTTTGGTATTATCACTGTTCTTCAAGTCAGTTGGCTCAATAATTCTTTTACTGAATTTGCTGAAGAGGAAAGAGAGAAATGGGAAAGAAAAGTGGCAAATGAATCCAAGCTGGTGAACAGAATGACACAGGTATTCTTCGAGTCAATTTCTTGTAAATTGGGAATGAGAACATTTTGGCGCAAACTGCCCAAAGGAATCTGAATGAGGGCTCGGCATGAGGTGGTTTTGGAAAATGCAGAAAACGAAGTCTCCCTTGACTTCCGCGAATTTTCACGAAGGTCCCGTTTACCCTGAACCCTAAACGTTAAAAAAATTGAAAAAACGAAACATCGACTAAAAAAACCACAATTTTTCTGTTCTTTCGGCTTCAAAACGATACCCCCTTTGCTTTTTGTCCCAAAAATGATATCCGTCTTGCTTACAAGCCAGTTGTGCCGAGCCCTAATCTCAATAATCATCCAGAACTGATGCCTACTTACTAGTAGAAGTTCGCAGGGATATGTTCTATATTCCGAACTTGTTTTAGAAAAAAAATCGCATTGATGCACAAGGATCAAAGATAGATCAAAGATAAAGTAGAATTTGGTGCTTGTATGGTGTTTTTATACGCATAGATAGCCCAAAAATAGGCGTGTCATCCTCTCAATTTTTCCATTATCTGAATGTCTAATTAAAAGAAATCATGCTACGTAGAGAGTAATGCAGAGACTACTTGGGCAAGGCAGAGAACTTCCTCACTAATCAGATCAATGTCACACTTCTTGCCGAAAGAAACAACGGCTTTAGTTGCAAAGCACTTTTCCATTTTGTTAAAAACCGATCGATCATTCATTTGAGTTTCAGGTCCAACCGTTCTTCGGAATGAAAAGGGCGGTGAAAGCTGATTTGATAAGCACTATCGCTCGAAGGCTTCCATTTCTTACTAAAAGTGCCTATAAGACCTGGATTGAAGCTTCTACAAAACGACTGGACCCTTCTGTCATAGAAGCTCTCATAATGAAATGACGACGGCCGCAAACAGAGCAAAAAAAATGATTGTTTGATTATGTGCTGTAAGAGTTTTTTTTTAAAGATAAACGATCGCTCACTGAAGTGTATGCAGTTTTTTTTTGCTGGGAACATCATGACTTTCCCGGGGGGCAAGCGTTATGGAGCAAAGCTGCGCCGCATTTCCCTGCGGCATATCCTGAGGGCCATTTGCGCTGCGTTGTCTTTGATTGCGCAGGAGAGTGCTGCTCCTGCCAGCGGATTGAGCCATTCCCTATCACTACGACCGATATATTCAAACTTTATAAATGTAATAAAGAAAACAAAAAAGACTGCAATTCAAAAAATTCAAAAATAGATGAATTCCAGGAACGAATCAAAGCTGAATCTGGGATGATCCATTGCCGGACTTTAAAAGTTTTTAAGAGAAGTGGAACACGAGAATTGGTAGAGAAAAAGGATAGAAATTTTCCGCCAGAGAATCAACTTACTCATCTTTTACTTTCTCTTGGCTTGCTTTGCAGACACTTCTTCGTCATATTCTATATTGATTCGCCTTTGAAATGCGTTTATCATTCACATTTTGATCTTTTTATCTATGGAAAATGAAGAAAATGGTTTAATCCGTTTGGTAGCGCTAGCTCCCCTGCGACTGCAATTAGGAGCGACGCAGCGCAGAGGGTCCTCAGGATACACCACAGGCAAATGCGGTGTACCTTTGCTCCATAACGCGGCGCCGCCGACTTTCCCAATGTAAACCTTGATGTGAAAGTTAGATGAGTAGTATACAACGCTAGCGATTGAATAGCATGAAAAAAATCTTTTACACCCATCTAGCTCTTACTCAGTCTGCAACAAAAAGAAGTTCTATAGTAAGAAAAGTTTGTCAACTCTAAGACGAGAGAAAAATAAGCATGATTATACACTATCGCTCTGTCCTTAAACAAGATCATGATTATGCTGCATCCGGTCAAAGGAAGTACTTATATCAAAATCACAGGGTTTGTCCTTGAGCTGCAGACATTGCCTTTTTTGTTGTGCACAGTTTTTTCTGGATAGTATGAAGCGATGAGCAGCAACTGGTTTTTCCTTTTAAGCAGCGATGATGGAGGATGGGATAGAAACCGAAAAAGATGGCATTTTATCCGGTTTTGCTTCGCAAAAAGAAAGCAAAGCAAAGCAAACTCGAATTTTATCCATAATGGATTGGATAAGCTACGTAAAAGACAAGAGATGATGTTCTGCATTATATGGAAAGTGGATTAATTACGAAACGAAGGAAATAGAAACAATGCAATGACAAAGGTACATCTCGAAGCATCGACAAAAGTTGAAGCGCATAACTGCGGAAAGAGCAGAAAGTTGAGAAAATCATAACAAGAGTCAATGGAAGTGAGAGGAGGAGATGGGTGATGGAAAAAGAAGGGAATGAGAATTAATAGGAATAAGTAAGTAGTAAGCAGAATAGGAATAATAAGAAGTTTCGAGCAGAACTGATTTCTGTACAAATGCTTACCGAAAGTATAAACAACTCCATAGCTGAGCATGGAGAATAGGCCGCCAAGAAGTACAGTTGCAGGCCTTGCCTGGGGCTTGATCCTTCGCAGCACGAAATCGTTCGTGTCCATCGGAGCCTTGTGATATGAGTCAGTTTGTTAGTAAACAATACATAACGGAGTCGAGTTTTGAGGTGTTAGCTGGGTGCGATCGATATCGCGGCCAACGAGTGCGATTGAATCATGGGGAGCGGAGCGGGTCGGATGGGTCGCGGATGAGCGCGGTGACGTCACCGTACGTAAACGAGTGTCTAGTGTTTCAGGTGGTAAAAAACAAGCGGCGGCGGAGCGAACGTGCTTTCTTTGGGCAAGAAAAACTGTTTTTCGGAATTATTAACCGGTTATGTGAGAAAGGAAACGAAAAAAGCCTTGGCAGCAATGGCAATAAAGATAAGAGCAAGACTCGTGCGTCTTTGCAAATAAAATGAAAGCAAAAAGTAAAAGAAGCTTTTATTTCTGGCGAAAGCTGTGAAGCACAATTATTATTATTTATGTGAAAACTTCAGAATAACAATTATCTGTTTTAAAATGATCACCACGGAATCTTCATGCCTAGGTATCTTTTGGCACACAGAAAGAAAGTGTGATAAGTGGAATCATAGTGAATCTCAAACAAGTTCTTTGTCAGCTTTCGAAATTTGCTAGTTTTAGTCCTCTGGTTTCCTCCTCAAATGACACTTTCCGTACTGTAGAGATCAGGCTAGGCTGATAGGCCCTACTAGGGCATACACATAGTACCATACCCTAGGGCATACTTCAGGCTATTTCATTTGCGACTCGGTCTGGCAATTTGCCAGATGCCTTCGATTGCAGTGCCCACCGACTACAAATACATGCCTATAACTTTCGCAAGTTTAGGAAATGCCCTTTTGTGCATTCGAAACGCTAAAGACTGAAATCGCATGAAGTATGTCCGGAGCCTTGATCTCCGGGTTAGAACAATTTTTTTTCTCTTGCAACCGAACTTTACTTCATGAGAACAATCATAGTGCCTATGCCACGGAAACGAATTATTGGCAAGTATCCAATCCCTCGAATATATTTTGCTGAAACAAAGTAGATAGTACCAAACAACCTTACTAATTATAACTGCGTGAGAAGTAGTACAAATGATAGATAATACCAATGGGCACTTTTTAGTACCACAGATTTGGCCTCATTGAGGCTATTCAAATGAACAAGTAATAATATACAAATAATTCTCATAATAACATATTGCTCCCATGGAAAAAATTGAGATATACGTACTCTAGTGAATTGTGGCAGAATAAGCTGCAATCACCCCCTACGCTGCTACTATCAGTGACCACCGAGTCGGAAAAGATAAGCGTAGAATCTATTAATGTACTTGTGACTATCAGTAAAATATTCAGTGATCACTGGAACTAGCCCTAAAGCACTGGACGCTTAATCGTATAAAATTTATTTGAAAAAAAGGATTTTTTTGCGCTGCGCGTCACTATGAAGAGCAACTTGAGTGTAAGCAGATTTCGGATGAAATTCTGACGAAGATTAGGATTGATTTTCTTATGGTTTCTATAAACCGCGACTCAAAACCGGAGGTCCAGTCGCAAAGGTCTTCAATAAACTCTTTGCACTGCGCATGACTTACAAGCGAACGATCCCAACCTAAGGTGGCGAACTGGAATGAACAGCATATCATTACTTGCTCCATGATGAGCTGATTTCAAATCTACCTTCCATATCTGCGATGCAGTTCGTTTGAAAAAGTTATGAGCGTCCAAAAGTCCTTCGGTCAACAATCGGCGCCACCCCTTCAGAATTAGCTGTTCAAAAGCACTTATTTGTGTTTTCGGTGAAGGTGAGCTTTCCTTAAAATCAGCACTATCATGCTAGTCATGCACTCCCAAGTTGGATTTTGAAGTACATTACGCATAGAAGCCCCAATGACTTCGCACCTTCAACTGCTCATAAATTTCTTTAAGAACGGCATCGCAGGGGAAGTTAGATTTGGAATTGGCTCATCAAGACGCATTCAATGATATGAGGTTCATTCCAATTTGCCACCTTCAGTTGGAATCGTTCCCGATTAAGTGGATCAACCCAGTTTGAGTAGGAATAGCTTTTCAGTAATAAGCGCACTCTTCTAAAGTTATGGCAAAAATATCCAATACCTTTTTTCGGATCATAAACACCAATCTAGCACATAGGCCTCCCCGCAGATAAATTGCAAGGTAGGATAAGTCCTCCCACACAGATAAGGCCGCCTATAAATAGGACCCTTGAACGCAATCTGCTTTCTTTTGTAATAAAACGGGCATCTGTGAACGAACTTTATGCTAGTAGGACTTTCTTTAAGAAAAAAAAAACGCGGTGGACTTATAGGCTAGGTAATAGATTAGTTTGAACGTTTCTCGCAATCGTCAATAGACAAGACCTCTTAAAAGGGCTAAACGAGCTCTCGAAATAGTGTACGTGGAATGAGTATAGGCCAAGCATCTTGAAAATGATTTCTTCTTAAAATGAGAAATGTGCTTGTAAAAAGTTTTGCCATTAGTTCGAGATAGATGTTGTTCATTGATACTCGTTGATGTGCTCTCTTCTACAAGATAATTTATTGATTCATGATTCGACACTTATTTTATTTTGGTGTAAAAAAGGCGAGTCTGAGAGACTGCCAATCAGAATAATCTCTTCTGTATAGTTATCTAAGTGCTCCTCTGAGAAAATTACTTACTTTCCCAGCGAAGTCATGCTTTTGACAATCCCTTCAGAGCTCCGAATGTATGTCAAAAATGGCAGTCTTCCCACAACAAGTTGCTCAGATGCTTGTTCATATATCACCTTGACAAGTGCACTCGAGCGCACTTCGCACGATGCTTTATCGTCGATAAATCTCTTCAGCGACTTCGGCGTGTACCGTAATTGGAGAGCGACGCGTATGCATAACATCATATCGAGAGAGGATTCGCCCCGGGAGCGTTGCGAATACGGTAGCGCCCTCATTGCATCAGCTTGATCTCATCAAATAAATATGTGAGCACCCAATACATGCGAGATTACCTGTGTGCGCCCGTGGAGCAATCACGCATCTCACAAACACGCGCTGCGTCTCTCGGCAACGCTCGCTCCCTTCCCGCCCACTGACTCATCAATTCTCGAGTACCGTTGATTGGATAGGTTACTGCGGGAGAGCGGGCTCCGGGACGGACAGACAGAGACACACACTCACCATCAATTGCTGATGACCATGGCAACGACGACGACGACGACTTCACCCGAAGACACTTCCATCTCCACAACAGCCTCCTCTGAGCTCACGCAGATGCTAACGAGCCGAGGTACTGTATCTGCCGAAGCGGAGTCAAGCTGAGCACGTCGTGGTGACCAGTCAGACAAGACTTGCATTGTGTAGTCCCGAACGAGTTTAAGGGAAACCTGAGCAGTCTCTGGAAAGAAGTAACATGCGTAGTATGGATGCACGATGTTAATGAGCAACATAATTCGTAGCCGTGTCCTAGCGATGATCACCAGCGATGCCGACCTGCCTTGATTTGAATAGTTAGAGATATCTCCAACTATTGCATTTGCTTCACTAGAAGATACGTTTTGTCAAGTGGCAGAAGGAGAAGCAAAAATCGCACTACACTTTCGGAGAGGAATGAATGTGTAGTTGAATTTCTGCCTTTATGACTACGGTTTGAACTGATGCTGAAGTAGAGCGGATCGTTATAAATAGGTATGGTCATTGTCATAATTATTTAGACTCCAGAACAGGTATGAAATATGAGGGAAATTTTGTGAAAGGATGGTATGGTAATGCAGAACCTATCGAGAATAGAATGAACAGTGGAAGGCAAATCCATCCATGGGCAAGCTACCTGACTCATTCTATAGAATCAATCTTGATCATAATTCTAGAGTTTACGATTTTCTATACGCGCTTTTGCATTCACTTGTCCCACCCCTAAATTATAATAAAAATTTTGTGATTTAAGGAACCTTCCAGAAGAAAAGTATTTATTGGTTTCATTTTTCTATTTAAAATCGCGCATTTGATTAGCATTCGGTTGACTTCGAACTTCCATCAAGAGAAGAATAAGCATGTGCTTCCGATTAGTCTTCTATCAGAGTTCGGCTGTAGAAGATATGTTCGCTTGATTATCCTGAAAACGCATTAGAAAAAGAATCTATCGTTCTCGCTCGTTATGCTACAATTTCTAAGAATAGCGGTAACAAGCATCGAGTTTGAAAACTCCCCAAATGAGATGAGTGGGAGATGAGTGTTGGCTGAAACGATAGTCTATTCACACATCTTTCGCACTTTTCTGGAGCACTGAAAAGAATTCTGTCTTTGAGTGTGTTTTCTGAGAATCGCATGACTACACTCCATTTTGTCAGCAACCCTATAGGCTCTTCTATCAGTGGGGGCGCGCACTGCACTCAGCCCCCTTACCATCCTTGAATGGAGGCCCATCCATTGCTCTCTTTCGGAGCACTTCGTCACATGAATGTTTGACTTGCTGCGTTGAACCTGCACCACCCCAACACCTCACCCCCGAACGCGATCCCCCACTTCTCAACCGTAATCACAGCCACAAATAGAGAACCTCCTTCTCGTCTTTGCCAGCCCACGACTCTCGTCGAGTGCATTCGGCACATCTTGGCGATTGTTGCCGATGCTGTCTTGCCCATTTGGCACCTAGGGCTGTACTTCTTCTGGCGGCCCAACTTTTATGCTTTACCGCCTTTCCATTGTGGGCAAAGCAATCTCCGTCGAAAATGCGATTAACCGCTGACGTCTCGCTTGATAATTGCTCGACATCGACGATACCATGTTGTCCAGGTGCAAAATCAGAAGAACGTTCATCCATCGCTTTCCAATTCACATAACAGCCTCGCTCTACGGAATCCTTTTGTAACAATAACAACTCAGAGTACTAAATTGAAGATCTTAGTATAGTGTTCTTTTGACCCAACAACAATCATTTTTCCTGCGCGCATTCAAAATCTATGGTACAGTATTTGTCCTAGCCATGTAGGATTTTTACTGTCATCACTCCTAAATCCAACTTCAAATTATGCCTTGCCTAACTCAGAAATTAGATTCAAGGTTAATCATAAAGGCAGGTGATACGATGAGAATAAACTCCTCTTACTTTTATCATGGACATTTATGGAAAAGTTGGAAAAAGAAACTGATCGAAACATTTTGCTAGCGTCTATTTTTGAACATTTGGCATAAAAATTTCAGAGTGTCAGAAAATGTCACTTCGATCAGTACTTTCCCCCTTCCGTTTTTACGACCAATTGTTTAGAAGAATAAGTCAATCACATGCCTTTCTAGTAAAGGCACTAGAATTTACCTAGTAACAGAATACTATGAAATTATGAGGCATATTCTCAGCTGTTTACGCCCTTCACTTGGCAATAACATCATTTCATTATTAGACACAGGTGCATTATATTGTCTAATGTCTACAATTCATACTCAAGCAACTATATGGCATGCGCGCTAACACGATAGCTCTCACTCAACGTCAAGTGCCTCTTCGAGCCACAAAATTATGGCAGAATGGTCCTCGGGATGCGATGATGATGGTGGAGCGGTGGGGCGGAGTCGAGGAGGGAGGAGCTGTCTGTCACCTATCACCTGTCCTCATTTGGCCTCCTAATCCTCGTTGTTGCAAATCGCGTCTTGACCCGCGCACCTCATTTGCTCGTCAACAAGAAGCGCTTTATCCTGGCTGAGCGCTTCCCCAATTGAGCCTTGTGGACAAGCGGTGTTTCACCAGAGCCCCTAGGACATTGTTCTTTGTTCAGCCAAATTCTCACTCGGATTATTTGCTGCGGGATAGTTGTCTGGATTCGCCTCGAAAATTGACAGCTGCGGCTCTGTTCGAACGCGACTCTCAGGTGTGCAGAGAGAGAGGGCCTCGGCTCGGCCCGACAATTCATTGTTAGGAGTCGCTACGGTACGCATCCTCGAAAAGCGACTATTTACACACAAATATTGGTCTTTCAATTAGACATCCATCTCATATTGAGACATTTTGCCGCGCGAAAATTCTGGGATGGTGATAATTTTAGAGCTTTGACAAGTTCGTTTTGGGGCAGCTCATTCCATTTGAGTGATATGTGAGGTTGTTGGCTTTGAAAGAGTCTCTGCACAAAAGCTAATTTTTCCTCGAGATAGCGTATAGAAGGATGATGTGGAGATTATGATATGTGCTATTCTGCATTTTTATGTTGCATTGAGCCTTTTCTCAATCATGATCCTCAATCTAAGCCCCCCTATTCTCGACTGAATCTACTCTATCCCCCTAAACGCAACACTTTCACAAGCAAATCTTCCCGTGCTCATCATTGTTACCATCTGCCTAGCGATGCTACCGTAATTTGTCAGCTAGGCGCATCCGAACGGGTCTTCGCGTTCTCGCCGCCCCGCCCTCCGCCGCCGCTGATTGGCCAGCTCGGCCCAGAGGCGGGGTGGAGGCGCGGGAAGTTGAGCATCCCTCAAGCATCCTCGCCGCTTAAGGTATCAGCAGCACGACGACGTCGACACCTCGTCTCGCCACCTTGGTTACGGTAGCCACAGCATGAGCATCGACGGAGAATTCCTGAGAAACGTCGAGGTGCGAACCGACGAACGTTTCGGCAACTCGTTGAGTGCACTTTCTATTATTCGCTCCGGAAAACTCATTGGAGTTATTGATAAGGTGGGAACTTCTCGTTTTGACGCAGAGCACCTGCTCTAGATTATGGCTCCTTGAGAGTATTGATTTGGCGAGAGTTGTATACAACCCGTTTGCAGGAAGCTACAAATGATCCGAATGCTTTGCTTATCCTCAATCTCATCAAAGAAGCCGATGACAAAAACCAGGCCAACATCACTTTGAGACAAATCGACAACAAGGTATGTTTAGCTTAGAAGGACTTCACTCATTATAGACATCAAAAGTCTCGTAATTTACACTATGCGCTAAAATCTCATAGCCCGTCGTTACGAAAATGGTCTAGTAAAGATATGAAATGCTTGAAATCTACTTCAGAGATGATCTGAGTTTTATGCTGTCATGTTTGTTTTGAATTTCTCTTTCCACCTGCACCTCAAAGGTGAAAAAAAACCAAAAGTAGCTACTGTCAAATGTTAAGAATCTTATTTCTATATTTCATCCCCCACCTACCATAATGCTTATCAAAGAAGAGAGAAGACAATATCCCACACTTTGCGTTGAATGTGAAAGTCACAGAGCTCCAGTGATTCATGCTTTCTTTTTAGAATTTTGAGTTGTGAATCGCTAGGTATCAATCTTGCCAAAATCATACTTCGGTTATGTGTTCGCTCAATGGAACTTCTTTCTCAATTACCACTTTAGACTTATTTGCAAACATCGCGCGACATTGCAACTGGCGAACGGCTCCTCATGCAACGCTACACTGAGCCTGTCAGCGATGATGAAGAAGAGGAGGAAGAAGTGGAGCCAGAAGGCGAAACCGAGCATGGTGATGAAGAGGAAGAAGATAGCGAGATGAAAGACGACCGGTAAGACTTCACGTTCGCTGTTTCCCCCTCAGCTTCCACTCTGCATGTCTGGCAGCGGTCGCTCGACGGTCGGTGCAGCCGCGCCGGCGGCGGTCCGCCCGTTCAGCGGCCGTCGACGCACTCCCGAGCGCGCGCGACCGTCAGCAGTTGTTATTTCATACACACTACAACTATCTCGCGTTTTCTTCGCTCCACCTGCTCTACTAACCCCAATTACGACACATGAGGAAAGCGAAATCACATACACAACACTTACATGCACACATCAGCATCCTCTCATCTTCATCGTTCGTGACATCTTTCGGAAGATCCTCGATCATGATCTCATTGCGCTCAAGATCATCGAAATCGTCCACGGCTCATTCATTTACCGACTCTCTCAATTTGACGCTCTGGTCTTCTTTGTCGCTGTGAATTTCTCTCTGACACTAACAATAAGTTTCCGAATCTTTCTCCTCTAATAGATTTCCTAGAATAGTATGAGCTCCTTTGTGGCTGTAGCATAGATAAGCACTAACGAGTCAAGAGTCGCCCCATGGATGCAGTTCGAGAACTGCTTCTGTCATAATTATGCACAAAAGGTGCCAGTAAGAGGTCTAATTATTTTTGAATATCTTTGGAAGTGTAGAGTACTTCTTTGAGAGACCCATCTTCCAGCATTTCCTTCCAATTGGGGTTCAACTGTTTTCTAATTTTGCAAATTCATTGCTTCGTGATTTATTAATTTCTGACAATGAGATCTGAGATAGAAAGAGCTAGTTAGCCTACTGCAGCTATTTTTCTGCCAACGAAACGCACTCTGATAAGCTCTCCTGCAAGGAACCGGCAAGCCATGGGAAGGATGGGAAATTAACAACTTTTTCAAGACTATTGTATTTTAAAAAATTCTCCCTGTAGATCAGTGATAATCACTGTCAAAACGTCAAAAGTTTTGTGTGCTGAGAATTTTTTTTTGACGGAGGCAGGTAGTTTCGTACATTGCATCATCTTCACAGCTATCTATCACGATCTCTTTTCCACTGCGATCACTCACCAACTTTTTTATCCATTCCTACCTCAGTAAAAAAAATTTTCTTCCTGGACAGAGCCCATAACCGCTCAAGAAGATGAACAAATTGTTGGAATTTTTTTCAGGCTTAGCTCCGAGCCAGCAACCACCAGAAGTGAATCGCGTGAACACGGTGAGCTCGAACCAGGACAACTAGCTCCAGAAGGACAAGCTCATAAGTGTCCATTGTGTCCGAAGAGTTTCTCGAGTGCAAGGTGAGCGAAGAGCGTGACGAGCGCATCGTAGTTTGTTTAGCAGTTAAGTACCAGCTGTCCGGATGGATGACGAGGGGTGGCTGACGATGAGGAGCGCCATGGGGATACGGTAATGGTGAAAGGGATACGGGGCTGAGGAGTGCGTCCTCAGGTGCGCCAGGATGCATTAGCTACGGCTATGCATGCTCCGCTCGATGTCTCTCTGTTTGCTCAGCTCAACGCCAAGCATCATCGCAAATCTCTAGTTTCCACCTTATCTGAGGCTTTTAGAACTCCAAAACTGGTTCTGTCCTTGATGGGGTTCTGTTGGGCAAAAAACACTGTCCTAGGCAGAATTTGTGACTCTGTATGGAGGCATAATTTAATAATATAGTGATACCTTTTTACCTTCTACCATAACCTCTTTAATGACATAAATGCCGACGTAGATTAATCAGAGCAGTTAAAAGTACAGTCTGATTTGTGATACCCCTCATGACTCTAGTACTATACCAATAATTAGCCTCCTTGCTTATTGTGGCTATCAGATATCTAATAAATTATATTAGATGACCTAAAGCCTATATGAATTTAATGCAATGTTGGTAAAAGTCATGAATCTTCTCTGTAAAGGTCTGTGAAGACCTAGCTTCTCTCAAACCTCAGGAAACTTCTGGATTTAGCTAGGCTGCCATTGAGCTTTTCATCTTTCACTACTATGAGAAAATTTTGCATTTTTAAACAAATATCGTGATTCGCTATGATCTGTTCCATTTCAGCGGACTCAAGCAGCACTCCCACATCCACTGTAGCTCAAAACCGTTCCGTTGTCATATCTGTAACAAAGCCTACACTCAATTCTCCAACCTCTGTCGACATAGACGAGTACACCTGGTAGGCTCAAGTTACCTACATCTCCTTCGCAAATCTTGCTAATGCTGGTTTTGATTTGCAGGATGGATGGCAGTGCCCTCTGTGTCATCAGTCCTTACCGTCACATAGTGCTTTGGTAAAGCATAGACCATTGTGTGAGATGGCCTCTGCTCTTTACAAACCTTTGCTGCCTCATTTGCCGATGCCCGGCATGTCCCCACAAATCATTCCCACTTACTGGCCTCATCTTCTGCATATCGCTTCTCAGGTAATTTTCGTGGAGAGGATAGCGAAAGCTTCGTAGAATCGTAAGACAAGTTTTTAGATGCCTTCGTTCCCTATGGGCATGTATGGCCCAATAGACGCATTCAAAATGATGAATCAGCATTCATCAGATGTGGAAAGTTCGCCGCATTCAAGGTGAGAAGCATTCTCGTTTTTTCCGCCCACTCAAAACGCTGACCTTGCCATTCAACAACTCTGGAAATAATTTCTCATTTCCGTCACCTGAAGTGATTGTTACAGCGGACACGCGAGCGAGCATTCGCCACTGGAAAGAAAAGCGAGCCCGTGCTCTGAAGCAGAAGTCTGCCCGCTAGATTTGACTACGAAACGCGAGGAGCGGAAATCCGAGAGCGAAAGCAATGACTCCGGCAACGAGGACGAGAACGAGCCGGCATCGTATGCGAAGCGAAGCGAATCTGTTGCGCAGCCACCCTGCCTAACACCGTCGATGAATCCGTTCAGGTGGATATTATGTACGACCAACAAAATTTTGAGTGGAACAAAAAGGTTAATGCGGTCAGCTCTAAAATATAGATGTGTTCAGATACAGGAAACCAAGTGCAATTCTCCCGGTTGGCATAAAATAATTTCTAGGTATTCCAACGGCCGTATTATTCATAAAAAATCTTGAAGGCAAAATTCACCTTGAGAGCGCCGTATCCATAAAACACAAGGTATGCTTGACCTCAATAGTAAACGGAAAAAAAACTTAAAATGTACCTAAAGTTACGCTCTCAAGGTAATTTTACCTTCGGTTTGTTGATGATTAAAATCTCACGTATGTGACTCGGATTAAATCTGCTAAATGAAGGTTGTACAAACTTTTTGAACTCAAAACGGGAAGTTCTATCGCACAAAACAAAACCAAGTAATAACTATGAAAAGATGGAATAAAACCAGTTATATTCTCATGCAAATGGATGAAGATATAACAAAAGTATTCTGGCTACAGAGCTTGCCAAGTCCTAGAAAATCTATAATTTATTCTGAGACTAAAAGAATCAAATAGGCTCTGCACATTTTGTTTATACAAGCTTGGACGTATGGTTAACAAGTCTACATTTGTGGTCTACCTTTCCTAAGACTATCCATTACTTGAAACTAGGAAAAAACAAGTTTTAGCGTGTTTAGACAATGTGTGCAAAGCGCTTTCAAGCCTCTTAATCTCAGATTAGTTATTATGACTATGAACAACGCAAGCGACCATGGCAGAATAAGAAATTTTGTTAAATTTTGTCAAAATAAACTAAATCGTCCCATTCCTAATTTTAATGCTAATCATTCCAGCTCGTCAGCCTTCCTGTCCTTGCTGCAACGTCCATTTCCCTATTCAACTCCATCAACCTTTAGTGTGAATCCCCAAGTAGCTAAAGCTACCAAGGATCGCTATACCTGCAAATTTTGCCAGAAGGTATAGTAATCAAGGTCTCTGTTGATCGTTCCAGCAATAAATTATTCTCAGGTCTTTCCTCGATCAGCGAATCTAACTCGACATTTGAGAACACATACGGGAGAGCAACCATACAAGGTATGTGATACGGCATAGTCCTTACCTATTCGAGTATCATCTGGCACCAATTATGCGAGAGGACTTGACCAATGACATACAATACTTTTGAGCTGGCGCTAAATTGACTTGAGAGAAGTAGATGTAATCGAGAAGATGTGGCTTGGAAACACATATCTTCAGACATTTGTTTATATATCGAAAATGATTTCAGTGCCAGTACTGTGAACGATCCTTTTCCATAAGTTCAAATCTTCAACGGCATGTAAGGAATATTCACAATAAGGTGAGAAACTAATACACAGCCGAAGAAGGAATTTAAAATCTGTGATATTTTCAGGAACGACCGTTTCGTTGTCCAAGGTGTGATCGCTGTTTCGGACAACAGACTAATCTCGATCGGCATTTGAAAAAGCACGACGCCAGCCCCGATCTCCCGCTTGCCACAATGCTCAAAATCTAGGTAAATTTTAAGAATTTTCAGAAAAAAAAAACTTCGTTTTCTAGATTAACGAACCATTAAAAATCTTGAGCTAAGGGTTTGTTTGGAAATTCAGGCATTTTTTTCTGTGATCCCTTTTCTGTAGGATAGGTTCAGACTATTATGACCGCCCTATTAGTTCAAAAAAGACTAGAATCAACTTGACAGAGTGATGTACTCCTAGCTGATATCCATTGTTTCAGACTGTGCCAAAGTGAATGCATATAAAATGAAGCTGACAGGAACACACAGATGCTTGTATATATGTAATACATCGTTCTATGTTGATAAATGATTTATCGGATATGATGAGCACCGAAAACAAATTTTAGAAAGTTTTGCACTGTTCCCATCTCAACTATGAAGAAAAGACTCGGAGAAAAAAGACTGGAGAACACCTCAATGACATCAATTAAAATTTGATATGGAATTTCCTATCCCAATTTTCACTGTTTTGTGTAGGTTAGTCGAAGATGTGGAATCAGTTTTGCAGCGGTATAGGGTCGTATGCGTAAATATCACAACGAAAAATTTGAACCTTTTTGGGTCGTACTTCATACTTCCAAGCATAATCAAATTTACTGATGAAGCGTATCTGGGATTCACACTGCTAACCACCAAGAAAACTCTTTATGCATTTCAATTCCAACACCGTAATTAATATAACAGCAGTACAAATTCCACAATGGAACCCATTATGTCAACAAATTATCATGTCCGCTTTTTACCTTTCGACGATTAGCCTGCAGTGACCTTGTAAGCAGAAGCCACTACAGCACATACACAACATATGGCAAGATTCATCAATTCGAATCTACCTGCACAACCAACTGATTGAGGGCCTGCGAATTGGGGAGGGGCACCTGTTGTCGTTAATTGGTTCCGGACCAAGACAATGCTCCTTGAACGAACGGAAGCGATGGCATTGGGGTTAAGCATCGCTCGCAGCCAAGGCTATATGTGGGCAAGAAAGCGAAGAGGTAGGCAGCAGGGGACATAGAGATTGAGGAGACCTTTTGTTAGTTGATTAGCAAACAAATTAACAATCAAATGACCTATATACAAACAAGGGGTTTAGCTTTCACGAGATACGAAGAAATCATATTAGATGGAGTCAATTACTCCAAGAGGCTGATCCCTTGAGATCTTCGAGTAGATATCGTTTACTATAGCCTGTACCGATTCCATATCACCATCAGCATTCACAGTCTGAAAATACCAGATACGTACATCTAATGAAGTAAATTGTCCAATCTCACCTGCCAGTAGCTTTTTTGCAATTCTTTCATGGCCAAGTGAACTTTTCTTTGCAACTGGTCGCTCTCAAGACGCTCTTGCCCATATCCGCCTCGTTGTTTGACCACCTCGGGCGAGACTTCGAAAAAGAGCACCACATCAGGCTTCGGAAGGCCAATGTCAGCTTGACGCACCCAGTGCGAATCCATTCCTGAATAGTCTGGGAAGGGTTTTTGGTGTCTAGTATCATTCGTAATCGCCTTTGGTTAAATGTACACAGCTTGAGTTTTTTGCGGGAATGCACCTAACACCAGATTGTTGCAGAAAGTGTTTGATGCAAACTAGTAAGGCTTCGCACGTGAGATCTCTAAACACAATGTGTTCCAGTCCTTTCTCGGCGCAGTTTTTCCCGTCCCAGCAGCTAACAAGATCAACTGCCAAAGAACTTTCATCGCCCTCTTCCGTCGAAAAGCAAGATTCCAACACGAACCGGATGTGCGAGTGTTATTGGTGGCAGTGCAGCCTTTCCACTACCGTATGCCGGAGGCGCTTCGAGGCAGTCGCCGAGGCGGCGGCAAGATCCAATTGATGTACCACGCTTCAGCACCTCTTGCCACCAGCTGGACGCCAATTTCCTTACGCAACAGGTCTGTTTACACTCAATTACCAGCGTCGCGCCGGCCACTTTGATGTGCACTATACATTGTGGCTCTAGAGTTCTCTCGCCGGAGCTGCTGCTCTGCAGCGCGCGGCTCCGCTGCTCAGCGGCTATCCACGCACAAATTATTCGGCTCAAAGGCAACACCGCCGAAGTGACCATATCATAAATTCACCTTATGGGTTATGGAACCCGCCGTCATGCGGTAATGCACTGCATGAAAGGCAAGCTGGCTGCGTCCCAATTATGGTCATAGAAGCCTAGCTCATGAACACATAGACAGTAAGACGCAAATTTACACAAAAAGGCTCTTTAGTTCGCTTCTTTGGTGTATTAGACAGAAACTGCCGGGAAGGAACGTCGTAGTGCTAATATATGCACAGATTCTAAACCGATGATGTAACCAGTGTACAAAAAGATGTGTTGATACTCAGTACTTGCTGAGTTTGACCTTGACATGTGAATGGAAATTTACTGACTTCGTCCTTCAAGGCAATAAGCAAAAGGGGTATTGTTTTTGAGGCCGAAAAGACACAAAAATTGCGAAGTTTTTTTTGAATCGACGTTTCGTTTTCTAAGGGTGGGGGAACGAAAGCCGCCACGTCCAGCCGCCTTTCGCGGCCAGCTGGTCCTTTCGCAGCGTTGTTGCATGTCGTTCAGGACCAGCAGTCCGCGGAGGCGGCTGGACCTGGCGGCTTTCGTTCCCCTACCCGTTTTCTAAGGGCTTTTTAGTTTAGGGTTTAGGGTCAAAGGGATATTTTTATAATCTTTTGTAAAAATTCGCGGAAGTTAAGGGAGACTTCGTTTCTTGCATTTTCCACCTCTTGTCGAGCCCAGGTTATTATACAAATTTTGGTCAAGCTCAGTAATCACTAAGTCGCAATTTCATGTTAAGTTTGGACCGAAAATCGAAAATTTTAACATTTGAGAAATGGATTTTTGCATAAAAAGTCCTACGAGTCAAAGTGGTCACCATGCATAATAGTATTCAAGAAAGCATTTGCTAAATTTTCACGGGCACAGAAATCGAAAAAAAAGGAAATTAGGGCAACCTCCACCCCAGCTTCTCTCAATACAATGACATTTCTGCATTTCCGTGCTTTTGTCTTCTGATTGTTAGCAGGGAAAAAATCCACAAATGTATTTACGGATATTTCTATGTGTCTATTGACGACCAAGTTGGAAGTCCGTAGAAATTTTCTGGAGGAAGATCCTAATAATACTTGAAAATTTTAGTTTTTGGCCTCAGACTTTACCTGAGTTACGACATCGGTGGATCTAAAGCTTGTCTGCAGAGCTTGACTTGCTCTATCGAACAGTAGCCCAAGTCTGCTGCGGAAACAAATCACTTGACTGACAGAAAAGAGGTTTACTTTTAGGACAGCCTCATGGAATCAAGAAAGCAGCAGAACATTGTCTAGGTAGCGCATGTTAGTAAAATCGCCTGCACGAAGTCGCCCGGGTTGTTATAGGCTGAACGCACGCGAGCGTGCCTGCAACGCGGCTGCCAAGTACGGGCGCTATGATGACTCTGCGCGCGAATGCGAATGTTAGCCCGCAAGAGACACGCGCGCGGGTGCTCATTCCGGGCGATTCGGTGCAGTCAGCTATAGCTACTTCGTCATAGTTTCAAGGTATCCTTTTGATGCAAAACGGATGTATCTAGACTATTTCATCGAAGATAATATATTTTGTGGATCTACTGAAATGCAAGGCAGTACCTACAGTAATATCGGCCAGCCATGTAATATAGTGTAAAGACTTCTTCTTCAACTATGCCCACATCATCTTTCGCGATGCTGCCGAGGACATTCGCGTAGGTGCCGGTGGACAATGCATCCGTGTGGCAAGCACGCACAGAGTTTGACAATGAGAGCGCGCTCGCCCAATCGCTTCCTTCCTTCCGCAATCTTCCCTCCATCAAGCCGAGCGACTAATCGTCCCCTCCACTCTCTCTTGTCGTACACCTACTGCAGCCATCTCCACAAGGCACATCATCTCGCATCGATTATGAGAAAGCCTCACCAATGAGCGACACATCTTAGCCCCGTGCAGTTGTCCACAAAAGGGAACAATGCTTGAGCTGAAGCAAGGCGCCATTCAGGAAACTCGCGCTCAGCACAGATTGACACCTAGCGGATGCCAAGTGAGATGAAGTCGGTGCTCAGACCCCAAACAAGAAAAGCATTGTTGATGGAAGCTCACTACGTAGATCGCTGGTAATACAGTTTTTCACGTCGACTTCTTCCCTGCCTTTCGAACTTTTGCGACATCCCACGGTAACCATAGCCGATTTTAGATACCACTATCTTCTTTTAACACGTTTCGGACCGCGAAATCGCGCGCGGCGAAAAAAGTGAACGTTCGGCCGCCAACAAAGGGACCTTATTTCGTAGACTGTGTGCTATACCTTAATCAGCTTGTCAGATAAGTTCCATACCCAAAGTTCTGCGTGAATTCAAAGTGTTTAAATTTTGTTGCTTAAGAGGGACTTTTATGCTTTCCTGAAAGATAGGAATAAGAACTCAGTTTCTAATAGTATCCAAAAGTGTCCACGTTGTAAACGGTACACATCAGTATTGAAAATACGGTTTTCTCTTTGATATCGAAGCAAAGAAAAGTTGCGACGTCGCACGCGTCGGTCGCGTTACCGCGCTTCGTTGCAACTGCTGTTCTATTTGCGCACATATCTCCTAAACTCAGCTGCACAACTCTACAGAGTCATTTGGGAATTAAGCTTAGGCCTTTGGATTGATAACCATAGACTGAAAGAAAACTCCTGCAAACGTCAAAAAGGTCCTTCAAAGCAGCGTGCTGCACCATGTGCAGCACCGGTCCGAAACGTGTTAAATCTCTAGAAACAATATTGCTTCCAAAATAGAATAAATGAAATTTCATATTCGAAATAGGGCTTTCATCTCAGATATCGGATTTAGCAGGTTCCTACAATCAGGAAAGCTTTAAGAGCAGATATCAAAGGCACCGTTCACCCAAAATAGGGTCGATGAGATTTTGATGCCTAACAGTAGTGGGACCCCCCCCCCCCACTGTATACTTAGAAAACTTCCTTATCGACCTGACAGAAGGCAAGCACTTCAGCAGCCAAAATAGAGTGAGTTTGCAATGATGCAGTAGCTCTCTCGACCCCTACAGCTCTGCAACAAGCAAAAAACAGGACCCAGTTTACTGCGTCCCACATCATAGCCTAGATGAACAAAAACTCGGTTTTAGCCAGTATTTTGTATCTAAAAAATTAACACTTCAATCCATACTTTCGTCCAACTCTGCATTCACGCAGCATACAGATAGCGAATCCAGTCAGATAGACATCTAAGGATAAACGAATCATCTCATCAAACTAAGTAGAAAGTTTACGATCAGATAGTGAATTTCATGCTATAAATGTGATTTCATGTGCGATGCCCCAAAGCGCTACTTTTACCATTGCGTAGACCTGCACAAAACTAGACGGCACCACACTGCTGTCTATCAAAATGGAATTACATACCACTCCGCTGCGATGAACAAAAAAGTGCGATTTAAAGAAAGACTAGTGCAATACTGGAATTCTTAGCTCACCTTTAGCTATGGAGTAGGCGACTCCGCTGAAACAGTACCGGTCACAAATCACATCAACACCAGCAGCAATTTTCTCCTCTATCAAAGCGGCCTTCAAATTACTTTTATTTGAACAAAATAATGACTGCGGACAGCTGAAACCTTTTCCCATCTATTTGCCGAAAAAGCTAGATGAAGAGCGTGTTCGCAGAGATCAATCTCCTTCCGCAAATATCGGTCGATGACTTGGCCAAATGGCTCTTTTCGGTCTGCAAGTTCGTTTGGAACACACAAAATCAAATATCTTGGTTAAAGTTCGACAAAGTCTACCACCAACACCTTAATTATTCAGGAAAACATACCAGGAAAGGGAAGTAGTATAGCGCTTCTTCCCGATGTGTTAATTGTATCAACTAGTCGCCTGGCCTGAGTTGATTTTCCACTTCGGTCAAGCCCTTCAAAAACTATCAAGGCGCCCCGCCGTGTCATTGCCTGCTTCAAGCACAAGGTTGAGAGGTTAGTAGCAAAAAGCGATTATGCGATCAAAGCATTGCGCAAAGGTGTTGCTTTACACTACACATATAAAACAACGGAGCAAGATCATTATGTTTATCGATCAACCTGACAATTCTGCGCTAAAATTGCTACATCATCTACCAATGATACATAGTCTTCTGCACATGAAGGTAACGGTGGGACTTCACAAGCCAATTCAAGAACGAGTAGGCGAAGATGAAGCGGAAAATCGTTTTGACCTCAAAGAAAGGAGTTGGCCATGGCGCACCCGAAACATTCGAGTACGAAAATAACAACTTACGGTGTTAGCATAAACGGGTCCTGAATACCATTTGTTGTGCACCCTCCAGATATTTCTCATGAATTCATTGTACATAGCGGAGGGTGTCTTCTCACGCCGTGCTAACCAGGCGGGGAGATCAGCAAGTTTCACATCCATGAGTTTCGTATCCACTGTAAAATGCGTATGACATGACCATTTATAAGAAAATGTTAGACCCAAATTGATCAATATTAGTCTATTCGAATTCGGTCGATTGCGGATCATTAAAAAATTATTCTAAACTTATTCGTCAATGATAAAAACCGAATATTTAAGTTCCGACCAGATATTATTCGGTTGCATACTCGATGGTCATCGATTCGATCTTTCGATAATCTTCATATAAATGGATATTCCTAACATTTTATATCTTGCATAGAAAAATCCGGAAAATATCATCTGGGTCTCGATTGTTTCTTCTCATGTGTACCTCACACTCGAAAAAATTTTCAAGCCCCCAGGTGTAACAGCAACTCTACAAAACCGGAAAATTATCTGCACAAAAAGATGCTAGTTGAAACATCTTTTCCTTACAGTACAATACGACATTTTGATAACATTGAACGAAAAAGAATCAACCATAAGCAGGCTAGTACTGTAAGCTAATTCAAAATATATAATGGCTGTGAAGAAATCTGGAACATTTCGTTCTTTAAATGATGACTTCTGATTTTCAACAGAAATTCAGTCAAACCGCCAAGAATACTGAATAAGCAAGCAATTGTAGACCTTGTTAAATAGCTTAGATGGCTTGAGCTATACAGTATAGATGAAAAATAGTATCTTATATATAAAGCTGAATGTCTGTTTGTCTGTCTGTCTGTATGTCTGTGTGTACGTATGTTCCGAATAGAAAATTCCATTTCTGAACCGATCGGGACCAAACTTGGCACACATACACTTCGGGCTCCGGCGGGTGTCATAGGCTACTTTTCGTATCGATCGATATCGATTTTATCGATTTTTATCGATCTTTTGCTGAGTTCACCTACGGTGCTGGGAGTTGGCACATAGGGGTAATCGAGCATGGGGATTCCGAATACAATATTGGTTTTCAGGATTATCGATTACTTTTATCGATTTTATCGATTTTTTGCAAAGTTTGAGCTGGGGGGTTGTGAGTTGGCACAGGGGGGGGGGGTAATCGAGCATGCTGATCATCCCCAAGGGGGGTGATCAGCATGCTCGATTACACCCCTGTGCCAAATTTCAGCCCCCTAGCTCAAATTTTCAAAAAATCGATAAAATCGATAAAAGTAATGGACGATCTTGAAAACTAATATTGTATTCGTAATCTGCATGCTCGATTACCCCCCTGTGCGAACTCCCAGCCCCGCAGGTCAAACTTTACAAAAAAATCGATAAAATCGATAAAAGTAATGGACGATCCTGAAAACTAATATTGTGTTCGTAATCAGCATGCTCGATTATCCCCTGTGCAAAATCCCAGCCTCGCATGTCAAAATTTACAAAAAATCGATAAAATCAATAAAAGTAATCGATAATCCTGAAAACCAATATTGTTTTCGGAATCCCCATGCTCACTTCCCCTCCTGTGCCAACTCCTAGCCCTGTAGGTGAACTCTGCAAAAAAATCGATAAAAATCGGTAAAATCGACATCGATCGATAACGAAAAGTGGACTGTGACACCCGCCAGGGCCCGAAGTGTATGTGTGCCAAGTTTGGTCCGGATACGGCGGAGCCGGGTAAGCCAGCTAGTATAAGTACATAACACAATTAGTTTGCAATGAAAAACTCACATTTCCCGTAATACCTCCAGTGACAATAAGGACCATGGACGTTCTTGTTCCATCTCTTGTCGAATAGACCAACTTCAGTTTTGTTGAGGATTCTAAAGTGACTGACGTTGAAAGTAAAGCAAACTTCACTCCCACAATTTCCCGCGAAAACTGCAGCTCTCAAGCAGGCTGCAAGAGTAAAAGCTAGTACACTAGCTTAGCCAATTACTAAAAAGTCGTTGAAGTAGATGCGAAACTTTCGCGTGAATGAATCACTCAGTGCGATGACGAAAAATGGGATGTTGCGCCCAAAGTCCATGGGAAGCTCTTTTGCTCAATAAATTTCAACTCAAAGTAATTACATGCTCCCACTTTTCTAATGTAAATGTCATTTTTCTGTGGTCTTCAGCTCTGAAATAAGAATTTTTTAGCAGACGAAAAACGCAGTGGCAGTTAGACGGAAAAAGCGATGACAGTTAGCAGTTGAGGAATAACACTGTATCCGAAACTAAACCTAATACATAACAAAGTTAAAGAGTGAGTTACAATGAGATTCTAGAAGTATGGGATTGTTCAAAAAGTTATACTTTTCAAAACTGATACTCAAATTATCATGACCTTCAAGAAATGATAACTGCGAACATAATGAGTTGTGTTCCAATCTACAAATCTTTAGCACTACTCTACAAACTTCAAGCTCCTTGCAACGGCAGAGATAAATTATACAGTCAGATATCGCCGAACTTTTCCTTTGAGCACCCCTACTTTGAGGAATATAACCAGTCTGAATATAGGATACAGGAACTCAACTTATCGTGTGGCCAATGGTGTCTGAGCAAGTAAATAAACTCGAATTTCACTAAAATCTTCATGAAGAAATGCTGCAAAAAGACCCGAAAAACCCACTCTGATTCGTCCTCTTCAAAGATGCAAAAAATGGAACTATTGGATTTTTTGCCGCAGAAAGTCGACGTTCTTCCGTGTTTTTTTTTTTGAAACTGAATTTCCTAGGTCCTGCCACTGTATAGGGCGAAACTTCCATAATCACATTGTCCTAATGATTATCATGCTACTCATAGGAACTACAGCTACGCTATGTAGCTAATGTTAAAATTTAAACCTCTAAACTACGTCACGATGAGCATGTATGATACCAGCAACCATTCCATAATTCCATATCCGTTGTTGTTCCTTTTAAGGTACGGTGCAACATGAATGAATATGAAACGAATACGTGCATGAAAACTGGAGATAATAAGAGCTTTCAAATGATGTGAGCCATGTTTATGAACATGCCTCCCTTCCCCCTCCCTCCAAACTAGTCTAGTGAGATTTGAAAGAAACGGGTAGAACTTTTGAAGCAACCTATGTGAAAAACTAGCACTGAAAAGAGCTACATGAATTTTGAGCAAAAATTTGACCTGAAACATAATAAGCAGAAAGCTAGAAACTGTAATAACAAATGGAAGCTGGAAGTTAAACTGCGTATGAACGCTCCTGTCCAAGCACTAGTCACTGCTTTGTCTGATATATCTGCCCATGGATCTAGGTCAACGCAAGAGATCAGAAAGATACGGATACATTTCCCTGGTCACCTCCTGACTCTATATCGTCGTGACACGGATACCTCATACATACAAGCAACTCTGGGAGCTTTAATAAGGACCTCGCATCGAAATTGAAATATCAACGCATAAAGAAACGTCTATGGCCGCATTGAGTGAACTACCTGTTGTAAAAGAAAACACCAAGTCGTTCGAATGCTCGAGAAATGGGCACAAAGATAAGGTCTGGCACCCATGGTCTGAGCTGCGTTCCCGGCGGAGGAGGACGGAACCAGGACATTTTTCTAAATTACAAGAATTCACTCACAAGCAATAAACCAATGACGAATCAAAAAAAACGCAAGGGAAAGCTCCGCTAAAGCAGACAGAACATGTGACCTCCTCTTGTTACTCGGATAAGCAAATCATCTACAATATTTAGAGCAAGTAACAGAATAAAGCGAGCAGCTTTCTGAAAAAATGATAGGCGGTCAACTCCCCACCGTGCGCAAGGAATCGTTGCGGGATCCTGAAAAGTCGTGATTGGAGCGCGTCAGCCTCCCGACCAGCTTCCGGCTTCCAACCAAACGCTCGCAACCTCTGCATTAATAGACTGCCAAGCTTTACCAGTGTTGCAGTTTGCTGTTCCATGCGGAGAATGACGCAGAACTAACGGCGGAATGTCTCGAGCTGTAGCTTCCCTGAAGGACTGAACGGTTTTGAATTGAGCGTTTATACCATCCTTGTCTGTTGATTACTGTGCTTCTAGATTTGTAAATCACAATTCAACGTTTATTAAAAACTCGGAGATAAGACAATTGCAGTGAGTTGACAAGAAAGGGTCACTATTAGCATTCAAAATGAAAGGTACGATGCAGGCGAAATAGTTCAACGCAAAGGGTAGGACTGATAGTTCACCGCTCCGTCTCAAGCTGCATACGCTGACTACAGCAGTGTTCACTAAAATCTTTAAAATTGTCCAACACGATGCGATCAGATCCAGAGAAGCCAACGAATAAAGGGGCAAAAGTTGTTGCCTGAAAAACAAACTTTTGATTGTAAACTATTCGGGTTTTATTGCAATGAACAAGAAATATCGAGAACTTCGTCGATAATTTAGAGATAAACCAAACCAGTCCAAGAAACTTACTCCCGTTGCAAGAGCATCTTCGGAGTTTCGACTCAAAAGCTGCTTGGATTCCACATGGGATAGTCGTGATATGATTTCTTCCGAAGTAGGAAAGCTAATTCCAGCTTCACGCGCACAAGCAGACATGTGTGCGCCTTTGTGAACAGGTAACCTTCGTTCCCATAACCGTCGTCCAATAACCTCAATGGAACTCAAGAGATAATCTGGGGCTCGGTGCTTCACTGAGCACAGAAACAATGCCGGGACTATGCTACCATTAGCCATTGCGGAAGCATACGTCTGAAACATATAGATAAGTGGCAGTCCCAGGATTTCTGTTCGGAAGGGGGGGGGGGGGCGGACTTTGCACACATTGTTTGCACAAGCTTGACCGTGTTTTAACAACTTAATACTTGCATTATATGACAATGGATCTCGGAATTAATACCTGGAAGAAGAAAACAAGTTCAGGCTTGTTTAGACAATGTGCGCAAAGCGTACTCGTAGCGTACACTCCTGGGCCAAAATGAGTGATGAGTACGGTGCATCCCCGGAATTGTTCCCATATCAACCATCAAAGTGGCTGTCTTTCGATCATTTGAACATGTCAACTTCGAATAAGCGCCTTAAAGGCACCGTCCACCCTAAGTTGAGGGTGTTGAGCTTTTGGCAGCTTATAATAGTAGGGCCCCCTATCAATCCATTACCCAAGTCGCGGCGCAAATTGCCGCTTCGGAAGCGAGAAAATCGCTTTGGAATAGCGAAGATGCACGAGGACCCCCATCCATGGCCGCCCTCCCCCATCCATGCCCGCCCATTTGTGCGCGCCTTTTCAATCACCGTTCCGGAAAGCCGACCTGTGGGTTCTCCGGAACGGAAATTGTCGGGGTTTTTGCGCATTCTCGACTTCATATTCGGAATCAGGAATATGGGAAGGCCCTGGAACGACAAAAACATGGAAGTCGAGAATCTGGGTGGACGGTGCCTTTAAATTTGTTGGAGTTACCTTGTTAAAACGATCGAAAGGCAGCCACGTTGATGGTTCATATGGGAACAATTCTGGGGGATGCACGGTATTTATTGCACGCTGCTCAAAGGCCGAAAAAGACAAAGTTTACTCAATATAATTCTTTCTTTACACAGCATTCTACTTCCTACAAAAAGTTAAGCCATTGCTGTGCCATTACCAATTCTTTGTGTACTAAATACTATGACTTTCGAAACCGCCATGGTTTTCTGATGAAATTTAAAGAGTGCTAGTAATTTGGTCGAACCAACATGAAATGTATTGTTGTTGAATCATGGGTACTAGTAGTAACCATGCTCATCTTCTGCCGATCTCCCAGTTCATTCGGTCTCACAAAATCATGAAACGAGCAAGTAAGCAACAAAATACAATGACTGTTCCATGATTGTTTCATTCTGAACCAAAGTGAGAAGTATCCACTAAGTTAAATTCATTGTTTGTTGCCATTTAGAGTAATGAAAATAGCATTTCGTGAGATGCAGACGTTAAACAGCTAAATTGCTAATTGTTTAAGATGACCATGATCATCCCTGACCATTTTTTCATTTAAAACCATGATATGATGGTTTCTCAAGTAAGTAGGGGTAGGGGAATCATTCTCAAAGTTAATATAAGAAAGCTCACTTCATTACTCTTTAGATAAGATTAAGGAATGCAAGGGCTAGAGACCGAACTGCAAATTCGATAGTGCAATGAAGGCGGTCGAGCATGAGAATGAGGAGAGCTTCGATCTCCTTTAATGAAAGCTTTGCTAATTGTCTACGTCGTGGATTTTGATTGTTACCGCGTGGTTTCGATGTAAAGCTGCTGTTAGCTCGTGTTATGAAAACCTAGTTGGGAAAATGGTTTCAACCAAATTACTAGCACCCGAGATGTTTTCATTTAGAAGCGCTTCGTTCACCATTCACCATATGAATCTCCTCGACTTTTTGATGATAACTACTTCGTCAGAAGGCGCAACGCAACATCATGTTTAGTTTCAGTAACCACTGCAGACTTTCTCAGAAATGACTAAATCTGATACGCAAACGACTATTTGCGAGAGAGAGGACCTAGCACAGGAACAATATGCAGAAAGATGAGAGCGTTGCTCGAACGAAGGAATCAAAAGAGCAATAAAAGAATTGAAGTCAAAGTAGGTCGAAAATGCAAAAATTAACCTCTTCCCAATTCACTGGTGGCACATAACCTTCCATGGCAGGTATCCTTTTTTGGAAAAACTCTACATTGCCCAATAGTGTGAGTCGATCTGAGGCATCGGCATCTAAATCCTTACACAATTCAATGCGACTGATCAATCTGCTATAGCAGAATTGCGTGCTCCAACCTTATGCTCACGACGTACTTTCCTCCAATCACCTGCACGAATTATAGCCAGTTTTACGTCGCAAATAGGGACGAATTCCATAGCAATCATAAGATTTTTCATTTTTTCGCTCCGCAATAACTGAAATATTCGCAAATATAAAAACCCCATGAAAAGTAAATGTCAAGCATAGTTGCGGTAAGAAGAAAGCAAGCAGTTTACAAAATACCTTGAAGCTAGTCCAAGAGTTTGGGCAGACTATATCGAAGAACATTTTCCATTGCCATCCTGCCATTCCTCAATACGCTTTACAAATGCAAACGTATTTATGAAATTTGTCGCAAGCGGCAAATCTTGATCAGCGGTGCAACTGCACACGCGAGCAAAATATCGTACGCCTATTATAGCCCCTCCACATTCTTCTAACCTCCTTTGCGTCTCTGACATGCGACAAGTTTGGTAACATGCTGAACATGCAACAACATGTTGGCGTTGAGTCCAACAGCCAAGCATGTTGTCAACATGTCCTTACATGTTGCCGACAACACGACTGCTGCAGCGGACCGGTCGCCCAATTGCTCTTTGCTACTGAGCCGCGGCTCTAAATATATACCCGTTAGGGATCGTTCAGACCGCGCACGAAGGCGCACAAAGGCGCACGAAGGCTTGCTTTTCAATTCGATCGATAATGAAGTCGAACATACGGAGCCTTTGTGCGCCTTCGTGCGCCTTTGTGTGCGGTCTGAACGATCCCTTATAGTATCGTCCCCTCCACAGCTCGTGCTACCCTTGTGGCTTCGCGAAGTGCCAACACGTTGGCAACGTTGGCAGAAACACGTTGGCAACATGCAGCAACATGTGTAGTCAAAATGTTCTGCCAACATGTTGTGGCATGTTGCAAACATGTTGTGCCACGTTGCCAGCATGTTAGCCACACGTGGTAGATCTGAGACGCAGATTAAGGGTAGCACGAGCTATGGAGGCGACGATAAGTTTCCACTCAGTTTAGGTGAAAACTGGACTGGCGGGAGTCCGCTTCGCAACAATTCGCGCCGCATTGCCGTCTGCGTCCCTTCATTCTGGTTTATCTCGCTGAGCCAGTGGCGGCGCGGACGTGCTGCCCCACTTAGAATGCTTCGCCCACTCCGGGTTGAAAAAGACTGTACATGCATCAAGCCTAGCAGTGGCCATAGATTTGAGCTGCCGACTATGATTCGGACCAAATCGAATGATTATTCGATCATTCGAATAAATCACTCGAACGGGAATTATTCGAAAATTCGAACATTGAAAATCTAAGATTTCGAATATCACTCGATAGTCGAATATTCGATTTCATTTTCGAATATTGTTCGAAAGTCGAATATTCGAGAATCTCAGTTCGAATATTATTCGATGGTTGAATATTCGATGGTTATCAACTTGATTATTCGATGTTTATCGAATATTCGAGTAATCAATGAGCATCGAATAATCGAAAATTCGATGAGCATTGATCACGCGAAAATTCGCTGAGCACCGAATATTTGAGAATTCGATATCACTACGTAATATATAACGAATTCGTTGATTACGCAATAGTCCTCTGATAGTTGGATTATGGCAAACGAGGAGGCCGCAGACGTAAAAATTATGATGAAATACACTGATCTTTGGAATTGGATTGCTGCCATTAGCGGTGAGTAAGTCAGTTGGCACGATGCCAGATTTTCGTAAGCTTTTGGAACGGTGCCAAATTTCGTAAGTATGGGCAACTGAAACAACACACATGCATAACGGCATGCTTCGGGCGTGTTTTCGATCGATATCGTCATTATTTTTCACGTCTGCAGTTTTGACCATCCTAGGAACTGTTCTAATTTCCACGTTCATTCTAGAATTTCTTCCAGTAACTGTTGTTCTGGATTCTTCTCATTCGAGAATATCTAATAAGAGATTGTCATCGCCGATGATTTGGTTTCTAAGGAGAGGGGAATCTAATCTGACCGGAAGTGCTTTCGCAGTTGGATCATCATTCTCTTGTGCTTCTATGTTCTTTGACATTTGCTTCTAATAAGATTGTTATCGCCGAAAATTTATTTTCTATGGAGAGTGGAATTTTGAGGTAGAAATTTGCCAAGCGTATTCCCGGTAACATCGGAGCTAAAATTGAGTTCATTACAAATTCGACTCTTCTGTGTGAGGTGTTTAGTATCTTGAAAACACTCAGTGAGAGAGATTTTACTCCAAATATGACATCCGCCTGTAGGTACAAATAGCAGATACAAATGAGCAGATGTAACGGAACGTCTGAAAGAACTAACAAAACAAACGAAAGATGAGTGAAGAAATTTGTTTTTATTTTACTGAAATCTGAGATGAGTGATATTTAGGCCCTGTATTCTCTGCAGGTTTGCTGTGCAAGAGAGGAAAACTTGTCACCGTTTTGGTATACAAAAGTCTGTTGAAACCCGATCGAGCAGAGAAACAGATTTTTGCATGTTGGGGCTGTTCTTATAATTTTTAAACGGTCTTCAAGCGGCACGTAGGGCATGAACTGTCTTTTAGATAGATAATATTGGTTTGTAAGCGGCACGTAGGGCAACCCGATCGGGCAGGGAAACAGATTTTTTTAATGTTTGGGGCAATTCTTGTAATTTTTGAACGGTTATCAAGCGGCACGTAGGGAATAAACTTTATTTTTAAATAGTTACTATCGGTCTGTAAGCGGCACGTAGGGCAACCCGATCGGGCAGGGAAACAGATTTTTGTATGTTTGGGGCAGTTCTTGTAATTTTTAAACGGTCTTCAAGCGGCACGTAGGGCATGAACTGTCTTTTAGATAGATAATATTGGTTTGTATAAGCGGCACGTAGGGCAACCCGATCGGGCAGGGAAACAGATTTTTGTATGTTTGGGGCAGGTCTTATAACTTTTAAACGGTCTTCAAGCGGCACGTAGGGAATAAACTTTATTTTTGAGTTACTATCGGTCTGTAAGCGGCACGTAGGGCAACCCGATCGGGCAGGGAAACAGATTTTTGTATGTTTGGGGCAGGTCTTATAACTTTTAAACGGTCTTCAAGCGGCACGTAGGGAATAAACTTTTTTTGAATAGTTACTATCGGTCTGTAAGCGGCACGTAGGGCAACCCGATCGGGCAGGGAAACAGATTTTTGTATGTTTGGGGCAGTTCTTATAATTTTCAAACGGTCTTCAAGCGGCACATAGGGAATAAACCTTCTTTTTAAATAGATAATATTGGTTTGGAAGCGGCACGTAGGGCAACCCGATCGGGCAAGGAAACAGATTTTTTTTAATGTTTGGGGCAGTTCTTGTAATTTTTGAACGGTTATCAAGCGGCACGTAGGGAATAAACCTTCTTTTTAGATAGATAATATTGGTTTGTAAGCGGCACGTAGGGCAACCCGATCGGGCAGGGAAACAGATTTTTGTATGTTTGGGGCAGTTCTTCTAATTATTAAACGGTTATCAAGCGGCACGTAGGGAATAAACTTTATTTTTAAATAGTTACTATCGGTCTGTAAGCGGCACGTAGGGCAACCCGATCGGGCAGGGAAACAGATTTTTGTATGTTGGGGGCAGTTCTTCTAATTTTTAAACGGTCTTCAAGCGGCACGTAGGGCATGAACTGTCTTTTAGATAGATAATATTGGTTTGTATAAGCGGCACGTAGGGCAACCCGATCGGCAGGGAAACAGATTTTTTTGATGTTTGGGGCAGTTCTTGTAATTTTTTTGGTCTTCAAGCGGCACGTAGGGAATAAACTTTATTTCTGAAATAGTTACTGTCGGTCTGTAAGCGGCACGTAGGGCAACCCGATCGGGCAGGGAAACAGATTTTAGTACTCTGCGTTGATAACACTGCTTTTTTTTCGGTCTTCAAGCGGCACGTAGGGCATGAACTGTCTTTTAGATAGATAATATTGGTTTGTAAGCGGCACGTAGGGCAACCCGATCGGGCAAGGAAACAGATTTTTGTATGTTTGGGGCAGTTCTTCTAATTTTTGAACGGTCTTCAAGCGGCACGTAGGGCATGAACTGTCTTTTAGATAGATAATATTGGTTTGTATAAGCGGCACGTAGGGCAACCCGATCGGGCAGGGAAACAGATTTTTGTATGTTTGGGGCAGTTCTTCTAATTATTAAACGGTTATCAAGCGGCACGTAGGGAATAAACTTTATTTTTAAATAGTTACTATCGGTCTGTAAGCGGCACGTAGGGCAACCCGATCGGGCAGGGAAACAGATTTTTGTATGTTGGGGGCAGTTCTTCTAATTTTTAAACGGTCTTCAAGCGGCACGTAGGGCATGAACTGTCTTTTAGATAGATAATATTGGTTTGTATAAGCGGCACGTAGGGCAACCCGATCGGGCAGGGAAACAGATTTTTTTGATGTTTGGGGCAGTTCTTGTAATTTTTTCGGTCTTCAAGCGGCACGTAGGGAATAAACTTTATTTCTGAATAGTTACTGTCGGTCTGTAAGCGGCACGTAGGGCAACCCGATCGGGCAGGGAAACAGATTTTTTTGATGTTTGGGGCAGTTCTTGTAATTTTTTCGGTCTTCAAGCGGCACGTAGGGCATGAACTGTCTTTTAGATAGATAATATTGGTTTGTAAGCGGCACGTAGGGCAACCCGATCGGGCAAGGAAACAGATTTTTGTATGTTTGGGGCAGTTCTTCTAATTTTTGAACGGTCTTCAAGCGGCACGTAGGGCATGAACTGTCTTTTAGATAGATAATATTGGTTTGTATAAGCGGCACGTAGGGCAACTCGATCGGGCAGGGAAACAGATTTTTTTGATGTTTGGGGCAGTTCTTGTAATTTTTTCGGTCTTCAAGCGGCACGTAGGGAATAAACTTTATTTTTGAATAGTTACTGTCGGTCTGTAAGCGGCACGTAGGGCAACCCGATCGGGCAGGAAAACAGATTTTTGAATGTTTGGGGCGGTCCTTATAATTTTTAAACGGTCTTCAAGCGGCACGTAGGGCAGTTTGATCGGACAGGGAAAGAAATTTCATGTGCGTTTGTGCAGTTCTTATGATTGACGGTCTTTAGGTGGCTCCCTTTTGTAGTAAAGCTTCATATTCCTTCAGCGAAAAAATAAGGATTTTTTAACAAAGTTCTTAGACGATTGATTTCGTTGCTGTCGAAATTGATTCTGAGAGAAAAGTGTTTTTTGTAGTACACTAATTCTTATGGTGTATTTCTACTTCCAGAGCGATAGATGTTCTGCTACTTACTTAACGAACTTTTATGGAACTTGTTGAGAAGAAGTGAAAGAGCAAATTCTCTTTGAGGGGGTAGAAAAGTGGGGAGGGGGGTATCTGAATGTTTCTGTGAGGAGGGGATTTGCATAA